GGTTAGCCATGCCCTAATCTTATAATAGCAAGGTTGGAGTTAAGAAAAACTAAATTTATAACCCTCTAAGAAAATATAGATAGGAAATATCTTATTCTTTTAATTAGTATCCTAAACCGAAACTCTTTATTATTGCCTTTTCTGTATATTTCTCACACTCTCAAAGACACCTTTTCGTTCACTTTTAAATAACTTGTAAAACTAGTTAATGAAGTATATCAAATTCTACTTTGGGATCAGATTCTTACTGAAAAGCTTACTGGAATCTTTCCCCTTACTTCAACTCTTTCAATTTATTTTCACATAAGTTTTATTTCAATACGTCATCATTTCTTTTTAATATCTATGTAGAAATAGTCTTGAACAAAATATCTCCGTTGGGACGTACTTGCCATTTTAAATTAACGTCATAGTTGGCCTCTAAACTTCTATCCAATCAGGGAATGTTGATATTTAATAGAATTGTAAAATTTATTTGGTTATTCCATATTCAATTATATTCTCCTCTTTTATAAAATCAATTTCCAATCTTATTTACCTCCTGCTGATTATTTTAAATAAAAAAACTTTTTCACCCTTATAGGAACATATGAACATTCAAAAGACTCCTAAAGATTTATTTGATAACAAGAATGAAGAAAAAATCACTAAGAAACTCCATCCCGAATACGGTGTCTACTTTGGTGCTCTTGTATCCATTTTAATTCCTGCCATTATGATTTGCTTATTTGAAGAGGATACCATAAAAAAAAATCCATTTTTTATATCTCTAATGGTTGGTTTTTCATTTTTATATTCTATGATTCTAAATGTCTATACATTTATGAAAATTAGGAAGTGTGATTGGGAATCCTTAGAGACTTACTACTACATATCCAAATTCTTCCTTCTTTTATTTTCCATCATCTCTGCCCTTTCTCTCATTTCAATTCCCATGGGTGGTAACTTTCCTCGAAATGATCAGAAACTTTATACTTTTGGGTTCTTCCCGTGTATTGTATCGACTGCCTATTTGTTGTTTTTTAATCTTACACCGAAGTCCTCCCCATTTATGGGCCCAGTTACCGACATTTTTATTATTCTACTGTTTCTAACATATTCGATAGGAATTTGGCTTTGTGTTGCTCTTGAAAACTCTAATTTTTCTTTTTTAATTTACCTTGGAGTTCTCTTTCTTGCTCTTATTCCGTTGAAATTACTGAAAGATCAATATAATCCATGTAGAAAGGATGATAAAGCTTCTACATTGCAGAAGCAAATTCTCTTTATCCTTATATTGATTACTGCTGCAACCATCTACGGACTTTTACTATTCTTTGATTTGCATTCTCTCCCATTCTTTAACTTTAATGATTAGAAATAAGATAAGTTAATAAATATCAATAGTTTATTTATCATAATCTACTATGTCCAATATATGAAATATGAATATAACTCTATTTTTGCATGTGGTATCCCTTTAATGCATGGATAGTTCTACTCATAATATATTTATTTATTGATTCCCCTTTGCTTAATTGTTTAAATATAAAGTTCTCGCATATTCCATAATTTTTTGCTCAAAAAGTTCCATGTTCGATTCCCTTTCCGCCTTTTTGGAAATCATTGTTTCGCTTGTGTTCTCACTTCGTTTACAAGATTTACTACAGGCGTTCAGACTATACCAAAAAACTAAAAAAAGATGGTGAAAATAGAAGTTAATCCAAAAGTATTGTTGTGATTTCAATAACAATAGTACGGACATTATCGATATCAGCCCAAAGGTGAACGGCCCTCTTTAAGACAAGCATTTTAAGTTTTAAACAGATTCAATTACCTTAGAAGAAACAATTTTAATTAAAAATTAGAGCTCTTCTCTTCCTATTTCCTTCTCTTCCCCAGACTTTGCCGAGCTAAGGAATTCTTTTATTCCGTTGTCAAATTCCTGGAGTTTCTCTTCAATATGGATTCGGGGAGCTATCTCCTTGTGTTTTTCCAGCCACAATCTCGTTTTCTGAACATATTCAAGAGCATCCTTCTTGATATTTTCTGGAATTACCTCGACAAATTTAGGGCTCTCGGCCTGTTCCAGAGCATATTCCAACTTTTTAACTACTTCTCGTTTCTTCACAAGTTCCTGATTTTCCTCACTGTGGACTCTTTCTTCAAACCTCTCGATCTCCTCTGGGGTCATGTTGGCAACGGCAGAACTGAAATATGCATCCGCGGTTTTATCGGTTTGCAAATCCACAGCCTTCACATAAATCTTTCCGTGTGTGTTGATTTCCAATGTAACAGCAATTCTTGGGACACCCCGGGGTTGGTTCCCTGGAAGACCCAACTCAATATCTCCAATATGAACATTGTCTTTGAAGCTTTCTAAGCCCCCAAGAGCCACGCGGATCCTAACTTTTGTCTGGTTGTCTTGGGCCGTAGTGAATTCTTTTGTTCCTGTTGCCGGAAGAAGAGCACCCTTTGAAATAATGGCTTCAAAATGATCCTCCTCTGTACAGATTCCAAGCGAAAGGGGAACGCTATCAGCAGTTACAATCTGCTCGGACTCACTAAGCATGTTGAGCTCATTAGCTGTGTATAAGGCTGCACCTCTTGCAACTATTGTATCTGCATTAATACCTTCGTAGTGAATTTTATCTGCTCCAAAAATCTCTTCAACAATGTCAATTACTTTAGGGATTCTTGTCGACCCTCCTACAAGTAGTACCCTATTGATGAGATTCTTGTCGTATCCCTTATTGTCCTTTCCGTCTCCAGAAAGTAAGGAGTTCATAATACTTTTTATCTTGGAGTAGAAAGCCTCGTTCAGCTCGTTGAACTTTTCATTTGTAAGTTCCAAGGTAACTGACTTTTCTCCATCATAAATAAAATTCTTGGTGATCAAAGGATTTGCTTTCCTTCCTGGAGATTTGCGAACCTGGTCACAAAGATCCTTTTTCATTTCCTCGACAAGATTTCTCAATCTAAGCTTAACATTCTGGTTCTCCATAACATCGAACCCGGTTGTGCTCTTGATGTAAGCAGCAAAGTGTTTTGTAAGGTTATCATTGACATTTTCTCCTCCAAGGAAGTTATTTCCTTCATAGCACGGCACCATCATGAATCCTCCTGATGATTCAACAATGGAAACATCAAATGTACCTCCTCCAAGATCGAATACGCAGATATTCATGTCATCCACCTCCTCCTTAGTGGTGATTCCTTTTCTGATAAGATCATATGTATGGGCAAATGCTGCTGCAGATGGCTCCTTCCAGGTTAAGGGTGTGGGAAGTCCTGCCATTTCTGCTGCTTTGATGGTTGCTGCAACTTGGTTCGGATCAAAATAAGCTGGATAGGTAATGGTAAGCCCCTGAATCTTATAGTCCTTTAAAATTTGGTCCTTCAGCATGCGCAAGACATGGCTAGAAAGTTCTTCTGGGGTAACCGACTCATATCCGCTCTGGTTGGGCTCCTGGATCTTGTAAGCCACCCTCTTCTTTCCTCCAACATTTTCCACAAATATAGGGACAGATGCATTTCTCTTGATGTCCTCAACCTTCCTGTCGATGTTTGCAAGATCTTCAATTCCAATGCCTCTTTTGAAAGCATAGAAATAAGTGTTTGCATTTCCTTCGGAGTTGTACATCTGCAATCCAGCCCATCCTGCTACTGCCTCATACTTAGACTTCTTTCCATCTCCCTCAGGAAGCTTCTTGAAGAATACAACCGATGGATAGGTTTCCTCTCCACTGGGAGAGAGAACAAACCTTGTATCCTTTAAAGATGGGCTATATACAGATATGCAGCTATAGGTGGTTCCAAGGTCAATTCCAACTGCCACAGATTCTCTCAGATCAGCGTTTTCGGTTCCTGTACAAAAAATCGTTGCCAGAGACAACAACAAACCTCTAACTTGCATACCCCTATCTCTAGAGAAAAAATTTATACAAAATTCTTTCCAATTTTTACATGTTGAACCATCGGAAAACGAAGAGGCTTCCATATTAGGAAGTGCCCATGTAAACAAATTATACAATCCCGCCATTACAGAATAAAGCACAGTCTTGGATACCTTAAGGAATTATCTGCAGCCTTGGAGTTGATGCAGATATGCTCCGAAGACTCGATGTACTTAGCCCCGTAGATGAATCCATTTTCGAACACGTAGGGCTGATTGGAGTCGTCCATTTCTTCTCCGCTTCCCCGGCACAGTAAGATGCTTATCTCGTGTTTGTTGAACGGTACATCCTCTCTTAGTCGGAATGCCTTGCAGCATGCTGGGCAATTGTCATTTTCGGTATCGATGCATCGATATGTTTTGTATGCCATCATTCCATATTCTATTCGTTGCATAAGCCTAGACTTAGGTCCTCTTCTAAACAATTTCAGTGCACATCTTAGAAATTGCTCTGCAGTTTTGGTATGCCTTGAAAACGGATATTTTCTGAAGTTTGAGTTCGATACAAGAACAGGTAAGTACGACTTTATCTGTTCTGGAACTCTTTTAAACTCTTTATTGATGAACTCTAGAGCCTTATCGAATTCTTGTGCATGACACATCTCTATAAACTTTTCAACTTTCAGGTCGTTTTCAAGGGAAATCGCCTCTTCCCATTTTATGCTCCTAAGCTCCATCCTGTGCTCTCTGCAAAATGCTAGAGCATCTTCAAAAGATCCAGTCTCCACCTGGTTCCTGATCTCATAAATCCGCTTGTAAAAGTCTGAATCAGAATAACCTCCAATGGAGAATTTCCTAGCCATCAGCTCTGCAGTATCGAAGTATCCCATATGCTCAAAATGCTCCATAATGAACACATTGAGAACGTTCACCGGCTCTTTTCTGGCCACTATTGTTTTTGCGTTTTTTTCTATTTCGTCGATGTTCAATTTTATCACCTCCTTAAGCTTTTCAAGCTTTTGCATGTATTCTTCTCTGCTTATCCTTCCACATTTATACATCTGAAAGAGCCTTTCCATAAGCTTGCATGTTGTTCTGAGAATGTTTGATATTCTCGCCTCCTGGATTGTTGAGAGATCCATCAAAACAATTTGCTTTCTTTCAATATATACACATGTTGACATCCCACTCAAAAATCAAAGTGTTCTAAATTGGAAATCGGCGTATTTATTGGAATTAGCTCTAAAAGCCTAAGAGGAGAAGGTCTATTCAGCTAAAATCAACCTTGTGTAGCTTATTTGTAATTGAAAGATAAATGTTTTTGTTGAAAATCCTTCTTGGCCTTTTATCTACCAGGGCTTCTCCGTTCTTCTTCCAAGAATTACCATCCTTCCTATATCTTTTTAGAACAGAAGCATCCTTTACGCGACTGAACGTTAAAATAACCTGATCCTCTACAAAAACATCCATGACATTTGAATCACTAATTAAGTTCTCTTCGGCAGCTCCATCTTTCATTTCAAAGCTAAGTACTCCATCCCTAGGTAATGATACAAATAATGTATCACCAGAAATTCTAAAAGATGTAATTTTTTCCTCTCTTAAAATCCACTCTTCGGATTCTACTCTGAATATTCCACATTCATCAAGTAAGAAAATTCCATTTTTTGTCTCTTCAATTTGCCGAATATTTTGATTGATAAGGCTTTTTGTGATTCCAGGACCTATTACTTCGATAAGACTTCCATCCAAATATAAGAAAAGCTTTCCCTTGGAAAACACCATGTCTGCAGGTGTAGCCAGTGTTTCAACCGAGTTATACTTCCCTATCAATAACAACCCATCACTTTCTATCTTATAAACCTTGGCAGTTCTCCTCCCTTTTTCTCTTCTATGTTCTAATCCAATAATGAATCCTGATGAGTAGAAAAAATCAAATCCCTCGAGGTAAGCTATTCTTTGCATCTCTTCCTTTTCAAGGTCATATATAAAAATATAATCTCTCCTTACTGCAACTATAGAGTTTTTGGAGGAAAAAAGAAAATCCTCCTTCTGAAATACATAAGGCATCTTTACCTTGGTTTTCTTTATATTATGCTCAAAGATTTCCTTTCCAGGGATTTCTTCTTCTCTGTTCTCAAAGCCATTAAGAGACTTGCAGTATTCAAAGTTCGGAAGAGAAAATATCTGTTTTTTGGTACTCCCCACCTTCAAATCATATACCAAAAGGCAAAACACAGTCAAAATGTAAACATTACTCTCGTCTTGGACAAAATCTACAAGGTCTCCTTCAAATGTTGTTAGAAATGTCTTCTCATCTCTCTTAGTTTCTATTCGAACAAGCTTTCTGCTTGAACACACAACTAGAAGACTTTCAAGAGTAGTTATTATAATTCCGGTAATCGGACGAGCATGGTAATGGTACGATAGGCTTGACTTTCCCTTCAGGAAATTCAGAACATTCGCATCGTCTGTATATGCAATCATTCCATTCTTCACTGCAAGATACTTGATATTTACATCCCGAAGAACTTCTGAACTTCTTCTCTTTACAATATCAAACCTAATTAGGCTTTTATTACTACATATGTAGAAATCGACCCCGTCCCAGAAATAAGTTCCTGCTTCAAAATCAAACAGCATTTCCTGTTCCTCATTGATTCCTAAGTATCTGTCCATTTCTTGTACAAGATAAAAGAGTTGACCGTGATGCACATAAAAGTCAAAAGTCTTCTCGCTTGGAACTTCAACTTCATGAGCCGGATCTTCAAATAAATTTTCGTAGATAAATATCTTCTTCCTTGTCAAGAAGTAATATTTCCGATCAAACTCTCTGGCTACTTTAATCTTAAAGAACTTTCTTCTCCTTAATAATACAAGGTCCTTTTTACAATATTCCTCAATAGAATTCTCTCCTACTTTATAAACCACCTCTCCATTGATAAATATCTTTCTGTTATCCCCGTTTAATATCATAAGGGCCATAAAATTTTCAAGTTTCTTTATAAAATTGGAAAGCTAAGCCAGGGTTTCATTCCTAGAGCCCTCCTTTATCTTATCTCATACTTCCTTCCATTCTGCTCAAGATATCTCTGGAAAAAAGGCTGCTCCTTCAGGCTGATCATATCTTCTACATACTTCTTGGCTATAACAAACTGAACGCTCATTCTTGCAATTTCTGGAGACTCATAGATTTCGGTTCTTTCCAAGGTCTCATCAATGAGCTTTACAAATCTAATATCGTTTTCTACTGAGCCCTGGCTTAACACAAGCAGTATTTTGCTGATAGCTTCTTCTTTTATGGCTTCCTCATGCTCGATAAACCTTTGTTTCAGCAATCCCAGCAAGTTCTTAATTTTCAAATCTTCGTATTTCAGCATTACATCTTCTCTTTCCCTCATAACTTTGCTATGGAACTCAACTCCCCTTTCAGCTCCCTTCAGGATATTCAATCCAAGTCTATTGATAGAACATCCCACTTTTCTCTCCACATTTTTGGTATGATCACTATATTTACGGGACCGTTGGAAGCTCAGCAGCTTAGCCGCCATGTCTGTATTGTTATAAAGACAAGAGAGTAATGCAGAGACTCCTTTTTTATAGTGCTCTTCCTCTATGTTCTTGATAGGTTTTCCAACTTCGGACTCTAAAATACCCTTTTTCTTTGCATAAACAGCTTCTATATACCCAAAGCTCTGTTCTAATATCCATTCATGGAACTTTCGAAGTACCTTACATATTTCTAACTCCATAAAGATCCTTTTTTCTTTCTCCTCTACCTGAGAGTCAATATTTCGCTGGTAAAAAATCAAATCCCTATAATCTTTGAATCTATCTTCCACTTCTTTGCTAAGACTGGCCACTTGCAATGTCTTTTCCGTGTTTTCTAATGCGTTCTCGAGATACACAACAAGATCCATTCTACCATCCTTTCCACCTTCTAACTTATTTCAGAAGGTTTCAGAAAACACAAATGAAATTAGAAATCTCACCAAGAAACACAGCAGATATGCTGTTTGAGGAAGAACAAAAAATCAACCTTTATTTGCTTTTGTCTTTAGGGATTTCTCATTGTGAGATCTTCCGAGATCATATTCCTCCCCAAACTTCTGAAAATCTTCCTCCGAAAAAAACTTGACGACAAATAGCTGGGTTTTCTTTCTCTGTGCATCTGTTTCAACCGTGTCTTCAGTGGACATCCACATCCATCCGTTACTGACCTTTCCATGGGGCTGTGCCTTAAATCTCGGGTTGATAAAGTGGTTGCATCCAAGCCTACCAATCTGATCCCTAAAAACTGTTATCTTCACTAGATTACTTTTAGTGTGCATTCCAATAACCATCGTTCCCTCTGCACGCTCCTCAAGTGCCTTAGTCTCCTCAGAGAAGTAATAAAGCTTGCATCTTGCTTTAAACAGGACATCATCGCTCTGATTCTCCTCGAGATGTTTTCTTTGCTTTTCGACTACCTCCGTCACATCAATCTTGTCCTTTTCCTCTCCTCCCTTGGAATTGTCCTTCCGAGGAACTGTATTAGTTAGAAAGGGACTTTGCTGTGTTTTCTTAGTTTCAATTTTCTCCTTAGAATCCCCCAACGATGTTTCTTCTTTTGTATCACTCTGTAATTCCTCCTCTTTCTTACCAGAAACAGCTTCTATTCCCATCTGCTCTTCCTTTTTTTCTACCTCTGCCATTAGACTTTGGGGAAGGAATTTTGAACAAAAAAATACACAGTCTCAAACTAGAAATGATTTAATATGTTAGTGGCAGATCCCACCGGAAAAAAGCGAGAAATCTGTCGTCTTTAAGCGTATATCTCTTTTGAATCCATCTCTCCCATTGTCCACTTCTTCGAATTCTACCATGTCATTCAAGGGAGATCCGGCTGTGATAAACAGAGCATTGGCAATTATAGACTCAATCTTCATTGGCTCAGTCTCCGTGAATGTTGCCACATCGTTTGAGCACTCAGGATACTTCCTCTGAATAACGAGAGGTGTCTTCTGCCCTGCCAGAATAAAGTCCTCACTATATCCTTCAGACTCGCAGGTATAGAGAAGAATTATCGATGCCCCTGGCTTATCTCTAGCTGCTTGAACCAGATCGTATTGGAATCGGCTTGTGTCCTTTCCACATTTATCCAAGTCGATCTCGGGAGATGTCATTCCACTAACACTCCAGTCGAAGTGAAACTTTCGTTTGTCTGTGCTTGCCCTATCTGCATATACATGTTCATTCATCTTCTGCTCCAGCTCCTCAGCAACACTTCCCACAATGTCTTCAATACTTCTACCTTTATCAAGAAACTTCCTTCTCCCAGCTTCAGAAATGTACACCTCTACTGGAACTCTCCTGATACCTATTCCCTGCGAGCAAATCGCCAGGCCCATCAGAAGGATCAGGAAGTGCTTATTACCAAACATGCATTCCTTAGAAAGGATGTATTTATTTCCAAATCTGAAACTTACTTGAGGCATTGATGTTTCACGACCACCCTAAACTTGGATCCAGGAAATCAAATAGGTGTCTTTTCCTCTCATATTAATAGCAGAAGACCTAAGGTCTCTCTTTTTTAAAATTATCAAAGAGTCTCTTTCTTGCTCGATCGCTGCACTCGTTAGGTATCCACTCTGAAACTAACGAAAACAAGACTAAAACCAAGCGTTAATGGATAAACAATGAAGATTCTTCTTCTATCTCCTCTTGTGCTTGCACATGTAATCAATTTGGTTATTCTTTATGAAAAGACAGGGCTTAAGGAGGTCAAGGAGATGTACCACTATGTGGTCGAAAGATTGTTGGACAAGTTCAATGAGCATCTGCAACGAAGAGGAATAAGAATTAGTCTGATGGACTTTCTGGCATACGACGATTACCTTGTCAAACCTGGGTATCAGGATATATCGATTATGGGTGGAGAGGAGAGTCTTGATGCAAGAATCGAAGCATTGAACGGAATCCCCACTAATGTTATTCTCGTTGCCTCAGCAAGTCCCGAAGAAGAACGGGAAAAATTTATACCAAACTCTCCGTGCACAAGCCGGTTTATTAGCAATATGGTTTCCAACGACATCGTTGACGACGAGTTACTTACCAAAATCATATATGCAGTCCTCGACTGGATGAGGGGCCTTTTTAAGGTGGAGGTTCCAAGTCCTGTAAAGGAGAGAAGCCCTGAAGTCTTTGACAAATTTGCAAAAGATGTTACTACACCCGAGTTTATAGAAAACTTGAAGCAATGCACAAAAGAAACAAGAGACAAGTTCGAGAAGTTTATCCGAGCAATGAACTGGGATGAAGAAAAAATGCTTAGCTTGAGAATGATGTCTGAAAAGACTGACCATTCCCAAAACGAAGGAGTTGAAATATCAAGTCCTTTGAAGTGGGTCCTATCCAAGTCAGAAAAGAAAACCAAAGATACTGAAACCGATCACCAATGCTCGGAAGAAAATAAATCAAAGAAAGAACATTCGGAATCATCTTCCGAAGACGAAGATTCCTCCTCCAAGAATGATAAAAAGAAGCCAACTAAATCCCATAAACCTAAAGAAGTACCTTCTAAAAGGATAAAGAAGATTTTGTCAAGAAAGGAAGAGTCAGATGACTTTACAGACTTAGAAGAGACAGACAAAAAAGAAAGAGACAAGGAATATGAAAAAAGCCAAGGTAATGGCTCTCTAAGATACCTAGATAAGAATACAAACCTCCACAATATGCGAAGGTTGAAAGAAGACGAAGAAACACTAATGGAAGAGAAGATCAGGGAGGAACTCCAAAAAATCATCTCTCATGAGCCCCACAATACAAAAAAAAAATTTGAAGACTCCATCTTTACTGGAATTCCTCCTTATAGTGATGAAGAAGCAAGAAATGGCCCATCCAGAATACTATTTTCAAGTAGAGCTACCCCAGTAAAAGGGACATCAAGGCTTAATAGAAGCTTATCATACGGAAGAATCCCATACAGAGGCGGCTAATGGAAAATTGAAATCTTGTTTCACAACCTTCGTTACTTTATTAAAAATAGAATGTGATTCCAGGTGTATCCCCTTTCAAATATCTCCTTAAAGATCTGAAACATATGTTTTCTTGTTAGATGTGTTGTTCACGATCTTTTGTTTCAAAGGTTGTATAATAAATCGAACAATGATTTCAGAGAGAAATAGATGAAGTCGAGGCTGCTAGTATTTGCATGCTTTGTCTTCCTTGTTTATGCAAGAGAACCATTAAAGATAGGTTTTTTAGAAGGGATCTTTGGGAAAAAATCATCAGATAAAGAAACTGGAAAGGGTAATGGAGGAGGAGGTGGTCCATTACCTCCCAATCCCGATGAGGAAGAAGCTATAAGAAAGTTAAGACTCCAAGCTTTAATGTTGGGTACAGAGGTCGAAGATCTAGGCAAAATCATAAATCAGCAATCTAGGGAATTGGAACAAAGAAGGGAGGAAGAAGGAGAAAAACTAAAAAATAGTTCTCAAGGAGTGATACAGGCGTCAGAAAACATTAAAAGCATTAACGAAGAAAGTAAAAAAGGTCGGAGAAAAATTCGTAGACTTCAAAAGAGGATTAAACCACATACATCAGCTATAGAAAAAATAATTAATGATGAAGAAGGTGGAGAAGACAGAGATGATGATGATAACGATGATGATGATGACGATGATGATGACGATGACGATGACGATGACAAAAAGAAAAAGAAAAGCAAAAAGAAAAGCAAAAAGAAAAACAAAAAGAAAGATGGTAAAAATAAGCCCAAATCAGGAGGACTAAGAGGATTGTTAGGGTTAGGAAAGAAAGGACAAAAGGATTGATTTCTAACTATAGAATGGGGAATAAAGTCGTTGCAATATATACGGTTATCTTATTTGAAAGTGTTTTGTAAGTTTCGATTAATATTTAAAACAAGTACCGAAACATTCGAAATAAATTGGACCCAAAGCAGGTAAACAAATGAGATGTCTTCCTCATCTGTTTCTTACAACATTTTTTCGTATATACACCATGAACCTTTCCCATGAAAATCTTTTAGAGAAGGAGAGTGTGAAAAATGCTGTTTCAAGACTAAGTGGAATGATAGTTAACAAAGGTAGTAATCTTTTGAATGGCTATTCCAAATCCCTTTATCTTTCCAAGGCAAAGGAGGAGGAAAGTGAGGAAGAATCATCAAAAGATGATAGTAGTAGTGACTCGGAGGAAGAAAAAGATGACAGCGAGAAAGAGGAGGATAATGAAAGTGATGATGACGATGAAGATGAAGATGAAGATAGTTCTTCCGGTTCTTCTGGGGGAAAAAAGGATCTTGGAAAAGCCGCCCTAGAGGGAGCTCTGACTGGACTAGGTGATACACCACAAGGAAAAATGGTTAATAATGTTAGAAAATTATTCCCATTTGGATAGAAGATACTTAGAGTCAAACACCTTCACCCAAACTTCTGAAACTAATAAATCATTTATCTTTCATTCTGATCTTAAATCTATTATAAAACCCGGCATAATAATGGGAGAATTCACATGTTTCGATTTTGTTAGAAACCTGAAACCAAATAAGAATAAAATGAACTATTCGATGATAATCCAATGAAGAAAGGCATCATAGCGCTCTGCGCTCTTGCCGTTTCCGATGCAAAAAGCCTTCACTTCCCTCACGAGAAGGAAAGTAGCAAATCTCGTAAGGAAATCAGCAGGATGGAAGCCTCTAGTTTAATCTCTAGTTTGGACAAGGGAGGTTATCTACTTCCAATGTCATCTTATGCTAAGGGAAAAGATAATAATTCCGAGTCTGATTCCTCCGAGGGGAAGAAGGAGAAGGAGAAGAAGGAAAAGAAGAAGAAGAAGAAAAAGAAGAAGAAGAAGAAAAAGAAGGAAAAAGAAAAGGAAAAAGAAGAGGAAGAAGGTGAGGGTGAAAAGAGAAAGAAGGACGATAGTAAAGAAGACGATGATGAAGAAGAAGAAGAAGAAAAAAAAAAAAAAAAGCATAAAAAAAAGAAGGACGATGATTAATATTTTAGAACCAAAGCCTCAACGGAGAGATGGCTTGAATTCAATAAACATATACGGAGGGATTAGGATTACTATTAAATTTCTGCGGATTCCAAATGTGCTTCTACTTAAGTTTTATATTTTAATCTGATACCTATGGATGAGATTTATTCTGGATACTCCACCAGGAAAAGTCACTGAATGAATGATCTATAAATGGGATTGTCTTAGCGGACAGATATGGAAACATGCTATCCACAAAATCATTCATTGTCCTGTATGTACCGGATAATGTTTTTACCAATTCCACATACAACTCTCCTTTGTGGTTGATTGTAAAGATCCTTGAGAGAGGAATTTCCATGGCCTTGTAAGTAATCACGTCTGTGATTTTATTGCCAAACCCTGCAACAAATGGGTTTGAGTCGCAGAAAAGACCTTGAATTGTTTTTAGGCATGCTATTTTGAAATCCTCCGGTCTTCTTATTATCAGTTCCCTATATAGTGCAGCAAATACGCCATCGGGAGACAAAATTACGGGGCCGTCGGGGAGTTTGTATCCGTCTTGACAAACGTTTTTGAGGTATGACTTTGTGGAGAATGATTGGCCCAAAGATCTGGCAGTCAGATAGACTATTTTATATCCATTCCTGACTATTTTTGTGTATAAAGAAGCCACACCATGGTGAGTCCAGTCCTTACCTATCATTCCATAGAGATGGCCCCACACATCACTTTTTGTTATTGTTCCATCAATATCTGAGACAATTATTTTTGCATCATCTTTCCACAGGTAGATGTTTCCCTCCAAGTGCTTATTTAGGCCGCTAATTTTGAAGACTGCTTGGTTTTTTCCCTCTTTCAGGTTTAGCATCTTCAGCTCTTCCGAGTCCAGCTTCAGGGAAAAGGACACATCTCTTTTGATGATTTTCTTTGTTCCAAATATGTTCCATCCAAGATGCTTATTGTGTTCATTCTCAAGAATTTTCATGATCCTCTTTGCCTTATTGATCCTTGAGCCCTGGATTTCAAAGAAGATCTTGCAGAATATGTCGTATGGTAGGTAGAAGCGAAAGCTGCATTTTTTGCATCCTTGAACTCTCACCACCAGGTTTTCTATGTTTCTTATTTCCTGAACCAGGAAAGAGTTGAATGTATGATCTAAGGATTCCTGTATCTTTTTGTTGTAGCAAAGGGAGAATGATATGCTTGCACCTACGCATCCTTTGGTGTTTCCATCGCATGTTTTGTCGTTAAAGGGAGGATATAGATGCAGTCCGACAATAAGATGAAGAACAGAGCGATATCTTCCTATCAAAAAGTCAAAGTGTTCGGTAGAGTTGATTAGATTTCCGAACTTGACGAATTTCTTTTCGAAGTCGTGGTAAGAATCCTTATATTCTCTTTGGTGCAAAAATTGGCCATACATCCTTTTCTTGAGGTTCTCTGCTCGCTCGCTTCTTAAGTACTTTTTAAACTCGATGTCCTCGATGTTGAAGTTCTTTTCTTTGAACTTTGCCAGAAAATCAAAGTTCAGAGTGCTGAGATCGGAGGCATTTCCCAAAGAAAGCTGCTCAAGTCTTTTACTAAGGATCATCTCATCGTCGGAGTCGAACATAGTGGAAAGTTTCTTGTTATACTCGAGTATAATGTCGTAGTCCATTCCAAGATCATCTTCGGTATCTTTTTCAAAGAACAGCTCTCCTTGGCTTGTTATAGACATTACAATATCGCACATCTTCCCATTTATGAACAAATGAACTGTTTGGTTATTGACTCCGTAGAAGTAGAGCCTTCCAAATCGTAGTTGAAACTCTGTGCACCTCAAGATTCCGTCTCTGCCCTCAACAACAATAACATCATTAACTCCGCTTAATGTTATTGGATTAATGTTGTTGTACAACCCAGAGACGGAGGTTATAAGTTTATGAACTATCCCCATATTCTAGGGCTTTCTTTTCTATTGATTTATCTGCCGAGGAAACATTGCCCGATCCTCTGTCCACCGCACATAGGACCTTGCTTGCCATAAGATATGGCCTACACCTTTCTCTTGTGCTAAGAGTAACCTGTATGTCTTTGCTTTTATTTCCCAGCCCATTAAATGGAAGAAGATGGGCCGAGACTAGCCAAGATGAGGCAGGCTTATAAGCGAGCCATACAAGAGATCCTTAAGGAAAAAGAGAAGATAAAAGAAATACTTATTGACCCAAACACCTCTGCCGAGGATTCTTTTTTTTTAAACAGCTCTAAGGCTACCAACACATCTCGAGGAAATCCTGAGAGGGATACCGAGGCAATCTCGAAAGCAATTGAAAATGTTTTTCAAGATCTCAAGTCAAGGCTATCTAGTATCTTTAAAAAGAAGCTGGAGGTTAATGATATTGAGAATAAGCTCAACCGGCTGGACAGAGATGTTCTTGAAAATAGAACCAGCTTCCGAGATGTAACTTCTAAGGAATACATCAAAGAGATTTTTGAATCGTACCTTGTTGACACCAAGGTTAAGTACATAGACTACATTGAGGAAACCAAAAAGGAAGCTTTGGAGAGAATAAAGATACTAAAAGGCGAACTTGAAAAGGCCACAGAAGAATTAAGGTTGTTGAGGGAGAGAAATGTTCTTTTTGATAATGCATACAGCGATATGATTACCAAATTCACAGAGGCTGTGAAGAACGGAAACAATCGATGAGAAAACGGACTTTAAACCAATGGAAATAAAATTTAGTTGAAGGTAGTTCTTATACTCTTGTTAAACTTCTATACTCCTCAGCATAACAATTTTTGCCTGAACTTACTTTCTTAATATGTCTAGTACTACCTTTTTGATATCGTTAAAACCTTCATGAACTCTCATATTACAAAACACAATAAGCTTCTTTTTAGGTCTTATCTTATTCTTAGTTATCTCCTTCTTCAACGCTTCATCATATAAGTGAATTGTCTCTTCGCATTGACTTACATATATGAATATATGAGTACTTGTTTCTAGGACTTTTATATCGGTGTCGAATCCAGACACTTTGGTCGAAAAGTCCATATATGCAGTCCTTCCGTCTCCTGTGTCCATCACCTTTTCAAATAGCTTTCTTTAATCTTGAATTCATCTCATACATAATTCTTGGGTTTCAACCTAAAACCAACTCGAAAAATTAAAGAAGAAAAATCATTGGTGTTTCACAGACTTTTCCTTTGATTTGGATGGAGGCTCACTATCCTCTAAAAGGTAGTACGGATATAGAAATACCATCCATGCAAGGGTAAATAGGGAAAGAAAGGTTTCTACAAGAACTCTGTGAATAGGATATATCCCACAGAATCCCAGGCACACAAAAAACAATCCCTCAGCCAAGAATGATGCTGCTATTGAGGAATAGAACTCTACCATAGTTATTTTCCTTGAAGCAATTAGCCTGGTTGCACCGAGCACTAGTGCAAAATATGTGTGCATAGACCCTGAATCTAGATGTCTACTGATGCTGAGATGATTCTTGTACTTTATAAAAATGTATATAGTCTTAGACATTGTGTAAATAAACAACCATTTAGGCAGTAATCCCGGTTTGTTTTTCATTGATTGGGGTTAATATTAGATAGAATTTGACAGGTCTATGCCCTTATGGACAATTATAATAGAAATGTGCTCCTTGTAAACGAAGAGGACAAAATAGTCGGTATAGGAAAGGCACTTAAAACTCACTTCGGAAGACATCTAATGCTTCACCGTGCATTTAGTGTGTTTTTATTCAATTCGAGAAATGAGCTTTTGGTCCAAAGAAGGGCTGATGAAAAGCTTCTCTTCCCAGGTAGATGGACAAACAGTGTATGCTCTCATCCTTTTGTCAACGATCTTTCCTTCACTGATCCTATTCTTGATGTCAAGGTCCATGCAATCAAACGAATAGAGCATGAGCTGGGAATAAGAGGTATATCTATAGACAACCTAAAATTTGTTTCTCGTGTTGTTTATAAAGCAGCACCAACCGAAAAGTACGGAAAGGTTTTACTTGGGAATCCAACCACACAGAAAATTGTAAGATTTTCAGATCCCGAAAGTATTCATGATGAGCCTTACTCTTCCAGCGATTTTTATGAATGGGAAGTCGATTATGTCATTCTTTGCGTATCTGATGCATCCCCCTGCCCAAATCCCAAAGAGGTTTCCGAAACGAAATACGTCTCCAAGGAAGAGTTTCAAAAGATGATTGCTGAAGACTTCGTGTCTCCCTGGCTAGATGAAATATCGAAGCTAATTGATGTGTTTGATATTGTAAAATTATGTTTTCCAACTGATTTCTAAGATAATTATGGATAAAACTCTGTCCCAGAAATGGTCCAGCGGCCTTTAAAAAATGTCAAACTTCACAAGAAGCCTACAAAGTACAAGAGAGTACTTAAAAAAATAACAAGTGAGAGTGATATAATAACAAGAGAAATCAACAAAGGAATAGTAGAAAAATATATGTCTTTGTATAAAAAGAAAGGAAAGAAAAATTCCGATGTTAGATAATTTCTTCTCCAAAAAGATAGAAAGGAACAAAGAACAAATAAAAGGATTTCTTTATTTCAATGTAAGTAATGCTTCTTAATGTTCTATAAATTATCTTGATTGCTTTCCTCTCTCGCCTTTCGTCTTCTTTCGGCTCCTTCATATGATTCGTGGATTCTCTTGAGTGTATTTTTTAATGGCTTGGGAAGGAACCTATGCCTAGATATTCTGCTTATTTCATGAACTTCCTTGTATTTCTCCTTTAGAACCTCGGAGTATCTAAAGGCGTCTTTTTCTTTTCTACTCAATGGACCTAACTTTTTCGAAGCATGGCTCTTCCACAGTCTTATCGATCCTTCATCACTCCCTGACACAATAAATTGAGAGTCGTGGGAATACTCTACACCAAATACATTATGCATTCGTCTGTTATAGTAGGTGTCTCTACTTTTTCTTTCGTTAATTCCAAAAATCCTTATTGTCTTGTCAAAACTTCCAGATGCTATCTCGGTCCCAAGTGGATTGAATGACACTGAAACAACCGCATTTCCATGGCCCCTGTATATTCCCTTTGGTTCATCCAGATACCTTATGTCATGTAAATAGATGCAGAAATCTTCATCCGCCGATGCAAATATATGCCCATCCATCGGACTAAACGATATATCATTAGTCTTATTTCCCACCGATACAGAGTAGGCTATCTTTCCAACCCTAGAATCAAACAGAGAAAGACCTCCCTGCTCCCCAACCCCTATTATATTCTTTATCACTGGGCTTGTACTTATGCATAAAGGATACTTTGTGCTTATTTTCTGCTTCGAGAACTCTCTTTCAATATCAAATATTTCTATTCCTCCAGAAGTTCCCACATTAAGTGTCTCCATAATGTCTAGGCCTAGCACTTCTGAATTGCAGGAATATGCTTGTGAACTCCCTAGTTTTTTAACCTGCTTTCCCTGCCCCGCATATACATTTCCCTCCGTGTCCATTCCAAGACCTTTGATGGAGCAATGGCATTCAAATCTTTCAATAAGACTCCTCTCCTCCATGTCCCACAATACCACCTGGTTATCAAAGCTTCCAGATGCAAACAAGGACCGACGAGGATGCCTTGTAAGAACATGTATCCCCTCTTTATGATAAGATAGCGCTGCAACAAATGGCTTACTTAGCATCCTTTCAATCTTAGTTGCATTGAGCGCCCTTACAAACTCCCTTTCCCTCATGAATGGATGATAAGTCTCGTCCTTGGAAAAGCTCACATACTGAACGTCTTTTTTTCTTTCCTTACAGATTTCTTCCGGTTTGTGGTATATGGTATTGATTTTCATGACAGGGCTGGGGCTTCAGAGAAATTCATATTGGCATTTATCCCATAGATGACATGCAAATTGTTCGTAAGTAATTTTCCCGAAAGCTATTCGGAAGAGAGCATAGGCTTAATTTTTAGTCCTTTTGGAGAGATCAAATCCATTAAGATTCTTCGCGAGCCTAGACTGTTTTCAATTGTTGAGTTCCAGGAACTTCAGGATGCCAAGGCCGCGATCGATTCTTTAAATGGAAGAAAGCTTCATTCACAAGGTTTGTTATTGCATGTGGAGATGGCTTTTGAAAGAAGAAAGAGGGTGGTGGTATCTGGAATTCCCCCAGATTCATCTAAAGAAGAACTTCAGAGATTTTTTGAATATTATGGATCTGTGGAAAATATCACACATTCAGATGCCATGCGAACAGTCTTTATTGACTTTTCATCGCATGAGGATGCCGAAAGCTTTCTTGAGCTTAACCAAAAGATAAGTTTTGGAAAGGAAAGAGACAAACTCAGCATCAAACCCTTTACTAAGAAAGAGTGCAAAGATAATACTTCCAGTCCAGAAAGAAGTCTTTTTATATACAATCTCCCTGCAAAAATAACTAAAACGGACCTCGACGGTCTGTTTGCGAGGTTTGGAGAAGTGAAATCTCTAGGAGTGTTAAGCGGAGGAAAAGCATTTGTCAACTATGAAAGAGAGCTGTCTGCCTTAAAAGCTATTCGTCACATGGATGGCAAGAATGTAGGGGGAAAAAAGATCAGGATAATCCTTAAGTCCATGAAGAAAGGCCTTTTTAGAGGACCTATCTAGAATGGAACAGATGTTACATGCTTTCAAAGATGTGTTGGTAATCTCTGGAGGCTTTTCATGCTTAAATTTTCTGTTTAATTACTCTTTCATATGCCAGCCGGGGTATTTACATTAGGATCACAGGAATCCATTCCATTATCACTCTCGCCGATCATCTCCCCAGGATAAGCACTCTTGAACCCGGAATCCAGGCCTTTTTTGGGAAAAGGAGCTTCATACTCTCCAAATCGGGGCGGTGTGTGATGCTTTTCGTTTAAGTAGTAATATCCATAGGATTGGGGATAGACAATGGATGCAGAGGAGTAACTTCTAAACCCGTTGTCTATTTCTCCCTTCTCTACGTAGTGATATGGAACATTATACTGATCGGGAATCTCCCTAGTATAGAATCTAGAATATCTATTGGAAAGTATTTTCTCATTAAACTCGCTTTGGCAATCTCTTTCTTCGTTACTTCTAGGGTGTCCTCTCCTACTTTTAGCATACGATAAGCACCCATCACAGAGATAGCCAGGCGTGTTCTTGGACTCCGAAGTAAAAAAGGAGATATTACAGGATACACATACAATCCTTTCATGACCACCCTTTAAGGCTTTTGTTCTTCCTCCAGCAGTAATGGTGTATGGTCTTGTCCTGCCGTGAAGCTTCTGATAAAGCCCGCATGCATTGCATAAGAGCGATTTCCCTTGGTCTCCTCTTCTCCACGATGGAGTGCTTGTAGTTGCACAGTTGGAGCATATTCTTTGCTTTGCTTTTCTTTTAAGTTCTTTTGCAATCTTGGGCATCTCCATCGATCCATACTCTGAAATCAATTCCTGGTACTTCCCTTTTCTATCATTGAATCTATCTAGATTTTGAGATATTTGTGCGTTTGTGGTGTAATTATTTGTTTCATTAAGACTCTGTAAAGAAGAATTACAAGGGTCTTCCCCTCCATGCCTTAATTCTTCTACATCAAAAGCCTTCTTATCATATCCTTTTATATCTTCCATTTCTACATTCATGTCGTCTTTGTGAAAAGACTTCTTCTGCTCTTCATCTCGGAAGTCTTTAGTCCATGTATCTTCTATCTGTTTTTGGCCCCCACTTTCTTTGTTCACACATCCCATTGTTTTGTTTTCAAAGTGCTATTTTATAGTGAAATTTTTATAAGTAGCCTTATATTGCAAAATTAATATATTTCCGATTTAATCTTTGATATATTTGACAATTACACAAGATCTAATCTTGTACTCACAATTCATGTGCAGAAATATTTATAGTCTTTCTAATGAATATATCTGAATCTTATATTATGTAATATCTTTGGAAGAATGTTATTACAAACATAAACAAAACAGAATAAAACATACCTGGAAAACAAAACAATTGAAATATGGGAAATAAAAAGGATAAAGAGATGGTCCGATGCGAGCTGGAGAACTATGTCGCAGTGGAGATTAAAAACACCTCTCCGAATGCCAGACAGGTTGATGCCATCCAAAAGATGATTTCGCTACCAGAAAGGAATTTTGACGAACTAGTCTCAGACATTGTCAATGAAATGCGAAGAAGGAGTAATGCACTGTCAACAACTCCTGAGACCCCCATGCAGAGAAAGCTCTCTAGAATCCATGAAGATGGATTCAAAAGTCTCATCTTAGACCTCCTTCTAGTAATGAACCAAAGATCCCCGGAAAAAGGATGTTCCTCGGAAAATGTCCATGGGCTTATTGATAATCTTGATAAGCTTATATCCGAACTTAAAGAAGATATGATGAACGAGGACAAAATGGTTCAGGACATATATTCCTCTCGAAACATTTCAGAGAAGCTCATTATGTTCATTGAGTACACCCGGAATGTTTTTGGGCGTAATGAAGAAGATGTCAAGATTCATGAATACATGACAAAAGAAGTCAGAGAGTATTTTGATTCCCAAGCTACCGATGGGCCTGACTTAATGGCTGGTGTAGATGTATTTCTAAAGAAATGTGACAAGTCAAAGTACAGCAATCATCCTGAATATAAATACCATAGAGATAATATCCAGAAGCTGGAAAGTATGGAGTTAGAGCAGGAGGTAAAAAGGAACCTTATAAAAAGCGAAGTGTCACAAATATATTCAATCTTTGTGGCAGAAAACACCAGTCTGAAGAGTGCAGGAGAAAAACAGCTTGAATTGAAGGTTCATGGTCTTGTAGATATCCTGTCTAAGATAAAGTACGAGGCCGAAGAAAGAAGGTCTGTAGATGCTTATGACTACCTTGAAGAAGTGATCAACTCTAGTAAAGACATTCTTGAACTCATTGAAAGCATGAAGTTGAAAAGAAATACACATCTAGATCTGCTGAGAGCCAAAATAGCTGCTCTGGAACAAATACACAATAGAAACGGTAACGAGGAGCCTCTTTTTGCCATGTTTTCAACAATTGAGGCGGTAAAGAAAGCCTTGATGGATATCTCCAACAATCAAAATCAAGGAAATGCTTAGACAAGATATAAATCTGGCAGGGAAAACGGTAAGATATTTAATGGAATAAAATGTTGACTTACAATTTTATTTGAAGCCTCAAATCTTTATGTCTAATTTTGAACTGAGTCGTGCCTTACCCAGTTCATAAAAGTCAAATATCTTAAAGTTCTTTATCGGAAGATTCTTAACCGATATCTCCAGATATGTATCATTTGCAGATCTATTTTTAGAGTTGTATAACACTTTGATTTTGAAGGGGCTTACCTTACTTACCTCCAAATTGGACATACTTGTGAAAAACTCTATCTGAAACTTCCTTTCTTCTCCTCTTACCACATATCCTGGTCTATTGAACTCTTTGTTTGTGTTTTTTTCAAATGCTCCGGATTTCTCAATGTTTAAAATCATATTATTAAACCGAAAAGTGTCTGTCTTGCTGTTAACCTCACTCATCAAAATACTACCATTACAGAATATCTCTGCCAGGAAAAAATAAATGTATATCATGTCTTAAGTTAAGGCACATTCATTTTATAGTTTGGAGTGTTTCATTTCCTTCGAAACATTAGGAAACAACCCGCCCAATACAAATCAAAACACATCTTGTCTGGATAGATGTAACAAAGTTTGTGCTTATGGATTCGGTTTTAACAGCCCATGCAGCAACCGTGGACAGAAAAGTACCGCCCAGAATCCTTACAACAGGTGGTTGGAAATAGGGAGATTGTTGCAGCTCTTAAGTCAATCTCAAGCACAAACAAAATTCCCAACATGCTGTTCTATGGACCTCCAGGGACTGGGAAGACAACATCAATAAGAGCCATTGCAAATAATCTTCCAAGATCATGTGTTCTTGAATTGAATGCAAGCGACGAAAGAGGAATAGCCACGGTGAGAGAAACCATAAAGGAGTTTGCATCAACTTATTCCAAAACGACAAAGTTGGTGATTTTAGATGAGGCAGACATGATGAGTAGAGATGCCCAGAATGCCCTTCGAAGAATAATAGAAGACTTCAGTGCAAATGCAAGGTTCTGCTTAATAGCTAATCATTCAAGAAAGATAATACCTCCCATCCTTTCTAGGTGTACCAAGTTTAGATTTGGGCCTATTGAGGACACAGAAAGCAGAATCAAAGAAATATGCAAGAAAGAAAACATAAAATACTCTGAGGAAGGTATTAAGGGAATCGCAGAGATATCAGAGGGGGATATGCGTAAGGCAGTCAACGATGTTCAAGGAATATCTGTGTCCTTGGGCCCTATCAGTCTGGAAAATGTTCGAAAATTCAATGGAGTTGCTCCTATAGACGTCTACGAAGAGTTGTTTGAGAACCTCAAGACCATGAGTATGGCTGATCTTAGAGTGAAATGCGAAGAATTGAAATATGAGCACGGAATGGATTCCGACGATTTACTAAAAAATTTGAGTAAGATGGTCCGAAAAAGTAACATGAAAGAGAAGATGAGGATACTTAAAGAGATGGGAGATATAGAATACCGAAGAAGCATCGGATGTAGCGAGAAAGTCCAGACAGATGCAATCATTTCTGTATTCTTATTGAATAGAGGCTGACCCCTATGAAGTAGTAAATTTATTAAAACGCCCGTCTTGAGTTTACCAAAGTCTTACAGAATGTCGTAGTATGGAAGCGCCTCAGCCTCTCTTACATCGTATTTGCTTTTTGGGATGTTATTCACAATATTTGAAGCTATCAATGCCAGGACTATCATAATTATGGATCCGAATATCCATAAAGGTAGGTATATTAAGATACTACGGAATCCTGCCAATACAAGAGATAATGTAGCTATATACAGCAGAGGTAAGAGTAGCATACATGCATTGATCTTCAAAGAATATTTCTTCCCGCATATTCCCCAGAGGATTTGCATAAGAAGTAGAAATGGCTTTAAAAAGACAGGAATTGCAGGAACCATTACTAGGCCAAACAATATAGCCCTAATCAACTTTCCCATCATTATGTTCTTCTTTGTTTCAAAAAAGAGCTTGTACTTATTGCTATGGTAATATATGGTATTGACTGTGGACAAGCCCTCGATTCCTAGGAACAAAGCCCCTGAAAAAGAAGTGTTTATGAGTCCATCGACATATGAGGCATAGTTGAACAAATGGAGTGTTGCTCCAATGATTTCCATAGATCGAAATATCATGCTTTTCAACTCAGCTCCCATCCCGTATATCCAGTACAATGCAGAAAGGGATCGGATCATTGGAATGGTTAGAGTTATAGCCGACACCCCAAAAGGAAGAGACATGGCTATGCTGTTATACTCTCCATGTGCAATCATGGGAGGCAGTGCTAATAATGTTCCTAGGTATATTGCAAATGTGACCAGATAGAAGCATATGTTAAGTCTATCAAACATTCTTGTTACAATATATGAGTCTTTGTTGTGGAGAAGAAGCTGCACCGACACCTCGCCAAATATGTCATAAAAATCTCTTTTATATCTGTCTTTCAATATTGTGTATGCCTTGTTGATCTCTGCAAACTTGTCTGGGCTTATCTCGCTCTTATTCTGAAAATATGTTCTTACAAGAAATCTGTAGGACTTTTCCACACTCTCTTTTGTAGCATTCTTTGGGACCTTGAGCACATCGTAGAGACTCATTTGAGGGGATAGAAGGAAGAATTAAAGAAAGACCCTTCCCAACTCTTCTAGTTGCAAAAAATTTACTCCTCGATGCCAAGAAGTGATACGAAGAAAAGCAAAAGGAGAAAGAATAGGAATAGATTGAAAACAAAAAGAGCTCAGGAATTTGGCCCAAAGGGAATCGACCAGGTAAAAGAACAGATTGAGGGTCAGAAGGAAATAGATTACGATCCAGAACTTCCAGGACACGGCCGGTTCTACTGTTACGAATGTGATAGACACTTTATTTCGGAGAAGGTCCTTATTGAGCATAGGAGGTCGGGGACACACAAAAAAAGAGTTAGGGATATGAGAGAAATCCCTCATTCCCAGAAAGACGCGGAGTGGGCTGTTGGATTAATATGATCCTTATACAAATCTTACTTTAAAACCTGGTTGTATCCACGGTATCATTTTAATTCGTCTAGGCCTTCAATCTCAAGCCAACCAATGTCTCCATCTCCCTCCAGAATTGAGAGATTGATGCTATTTTCCTTATCACCTTCTTCATCTACATCATTTGAAGCTTTTCTCCTTGTTCTCTTGAATGGAAAGATAATTCTTGCAATGTTATATGAATTAGAACGTAGAAATAAAACCATATCTTCAAAAAAGGTAGTAAAAAAGGCACTGTTCCAGCATCGGTGTCTTTCAAATACATCGCGCCACGTCTTCATCAAGACTAGGAATGAAGGCTTATAAAAGTACCTCTTGTCGACAAAAGAATATATGTTAGAAAGAAGCCTCAATATCTTTGCGGTGTTGCAGTCTTGGAAACATTTTCCCATCCATTCATCTTCTCTTAATCCCCCTACCGAACAGTCTGACTGGCTATAGGCGCATTCCTGAAAACATGAGCAATCTACATAACTATACTCGAGTAGACTAAATATTTTTCTTATTTTGTTCTCATTGAACTGCTTCTTGTCTAGGTTCCAATCAAAGAGATAATAGTAATTATATAGTACTAATCCACATTCCATAACTATATTGGTGTCCTTACATTCCAATAGTTTTGCTACATGAATCATTAGATCCGAGTCTTCTATCTTATCTAAATAAAGTATCGCCTTCGAGGATTTTCCAAGACTCTCCAGCATTTTCCTATACAGCCTGATGGCTAAGTAACTCCCACTATTCACTAGTTCCTTAAGTCCAGATGACCCGCACAAGAAGAGATAATCCCATTCGCAATAGTTCATGAGATGTAAATTCTTATCCAATCCCAAATCCAATAGGTCAAAGAACGTAGTATTGTAAATATCATCAAATATGTTCTTAAGAACTGGCTGCCCTACTTTGTGAAGGGAAGAAGGCTTCCTAAAGGTAAAATGCATTTTATCCTTGAAGACCACTTCAGAATCAAAATGCCTTCTTTTTATTTCGTGCATAATGCCTTCACCTCTGTCCTCTTCATACTTCCCTCTTGCTTCGTATACCTTGTATTCAAATATCAAGGAATACAATCTTGCGGTCTCCGAAGAGACAAGAGAGTTCAGAAGAATAAAGAATCCGCAGTCATATAGCACACCTGGAAACAGAGAACTCTTCTTGATGGCCTCGCAACAGAAGGAAATAACATACTGGGGACTCTCCATAGACTCATACAGAATCTCCGACAACAAAAATCCACCCTTTCTTGTCATAAACAGCACTGGAAGCCTGGAGTTAGGGAGCTGCAAGATCTTTATTGCTAGTCCAAATGCTTTCTGTCTATCTTTGGAATTTCTTATAAGATAAGGAAAATTCCTTTCAATGAATTTCCAGTCATCTAGAAGACTCAAGAGAGATGGATCCTCATCAGTAAGTGATATTATCTTCTCGAGGGATTCTTCATGCTCTCCCGACAAACCTCCTTCGTTCACCAAGGACTCATTAAGAATAAAGAGCACTCCCCTTGCTTCGTCTTCTTGCATCAACCCTTATAATTCATAAAACCAATATGAGACTTGGATTTCTTTAAATCTTAAAAAAGATTTTGGCAGAAAGACCAATAAAGTATTTTATTAGAGCATGAACATGTAGAAGCATGTTTTTTCCACCAAGTAACACAACACTATATCCATCACTAACACACTATAAACAAATACCTTTACATTGCCCATGTCAACAATTTCCATCTTTGCTCGAAGTTCGTCGTTATTCCCCATCACGAGTTGATGTATAAAAAGGAGCAAGATAGTAAGACATCCAAGTAGCTTTTTGTTTTCCACCAAGCTTTCTCTAAAAGGCCTTCCTATGTAGTTTACAAGAAACGTCGATATCTGCTGTGTTGTCGATAGGAAGAATAGAGCAGAGTTCATTAATGAAGGAGAAAACTTTTCGTTGTACACAGGCGTCTCTACATCCCTTATTCTTCTTATCATGATAAAGAAGGAAGCTATATGAACGATAACCTGGAGAACAACAGAGGAGATGATGTACGAGTTGATTATGTTTGTCAAGGGCCTTTTTTTGCTTATTTCCTTAAGAGGCTGGCTTTGGGTCAGGAACATAAATGCAAATCCAATGAGGAGTCCAGAAACAGTCAACTGCACATCTCCATATCTAACACCCATGCAATCCAAAACACTCAAAGAGAATGCACTGACAAGGGAATTCAATGCCAGAATCTTGTACATTTGAATGGTTGTTACCAAGGCACTTCTTCCTTGTCTTATGATATCAAGAACAGAATCAAGCGACCCTGTCTTTGCTGTAAATGGCGCTGCAACACTTGCATCTCCAAGATTGATCTTCTCTTCTCCTATATCTTTTGAAAGACTTTCCATAATGTTCTCCTCCTTGGTTTTTTCCTTTTTCTCCTTGCGAACAATCACCGGTGCTTCCATAAGAGCTATTCCCACATGGGCACTCTTTAGTGCTCCAACATCATTTGTCCCATCCCCACACATCAGTGTGTACTTTCCCATCTTGTTGTATTTCTCAATGATCTTCTCTTTGTGAATAGGATCGGCCCTAGCAAAAATCGATATGGATGGAAATTCATCACTTTCTAATACCTTATCTATTTCTGCTCCTTCTACAGCTTTTGTAGATATCCCGATCTTTTTGGAAACATTCCTTGCAGTTAGCACATTATCTCCAGTTATCATTATCACTTTATGCCCTGATATATGAAGAGCCTCAATTGTTTCTCTTACATCCTTCTTCAATTTGCAGTCAAACAAGACAAATCCTGCGAAAGATAAACCTGATTCCATGTCTTTTCGGACATATTTGTCTTGCTTACTGGTAGGCTTGAACCCAAGTGCAAGCACACGATACCCATCGGCTGCATATTCCTTATAGTCATCATAGAAGTCGGGTACAGAACTTAGATACTCCTTGACAACTTCGGGAGCTCCCTTCATCCCAACAAATCTCTTTCCTTCTTTCTCCACCACCACTGTCATTCTCTTTAGTTCCGAGCAAAAGGAGTATGTCTTAAGAACTTGGTACTCAAAGCATTTGCTCCCTAGTGACTTCTTGTTTTTTAAGTATTCATAAGTACTTGTTTCTAGAGGGTCACCCGTTACTTTCCCTTCAAGTAATAACAAAGAATGACAGCTGGAAAGTACATCAGTTGAGTTTTCTGTCTCATGCTTAATCCCCGCAACTTCCATAACTGTTTCTGTTAATGTTCCAGTCTTGTCGAAGCAGCACACATTTACCTTTCCGGCATACGGAATTCGAAAGGGCTCCAAACAATAAACTCCCTTTTGAATAAGAGCCCGGACACAACTGTTGACTGCCATGCTTAACTCCATTGGAAGTTCTGTGGGAACTACATTTGTTAAAATCAAAATTACTTCCAAAAGTAGTTTGTAGTTGGATTTCCCCATCTTCTTTCCCTCTTTATATGCATAGAATGACGCAATAATTGCAAACACGAGGAGGGCAAATATAAAAATAAATGCTTCTCTGTCGTTCACAGTCACCTCTTCTGTACACATCATTTTCCTTACAAGCCCACCTTTTTCAGTTTCAAACCCCGTATGAAGTACAAAACACACTAAAGGAGAGTCTTTTATCATCACTATCTCCGTTCCTGCATACAGGATATGTTTTTTATCTTTACTCCTGTCAAATGTATCTTTTGGATTTCTTTCGGAAATATCTTCCTTTGCAAGAGGAACAGATTCTCCAGAAAGCATTGCCTCGTTCACTGCACAAGACCCCTTAACCAGCAGAAGATCGCAGGGGACACTCATAGTAGATTTGATTCTGATAACGTCCCCAGGAAATAAATCCTCAGATGATACAGTTTTATCTTCGCTCTTTCTGCATGATCTACTATCATATAAGACCTCGACATTAACCTTGGCATGACTCATCTTTTTGAAGTGTCTGGCCGTAACCATTCTTTGAAAAACAAGTCCAGACTCAAGAACAACTAACATCACAAGACTGAATATCGCTTGGTAGACGTACTCGTCAAGACACCAAAGAAGCCCTGAAAACACTTGGAATACAAACAGCGGAGACACAGCATGCTGTAAAAACAACTGGAAAAAAGATGGAGGTACAATATCAAACCTATTCTTTTTGAAATGTTTCAGAAGCCCAGATTCAACAAATTCTTCCTTTCTCTCTTGCCATTTCTCATAATATTCAAAAGGCCTTTTTGTATCAGCTCGGAGTCTAACAATCTTTTCACCAGTTAAGAGATATCCAGACTTTTCAAATTCAAAAGCTCCGTCACTGAGTTTACACAGGGAACCTAGGTACTGTATATAATCTCCCTCGGTGTTAAGATCCATTGAAAATAAGATATGAACTCGGTCAGACCAGAATGTCGATAGAAACATCGTTCCAGAGAGTAGCAATGTAAACACAATCACCACCTGGGGATAGTTGCTTTTCAATGCTAGAACAGGGAGGAAGTACAGAGGAGCTACGTACGCTCGCTTGTAGAATGGCTTTTCTTTGTATATATTGTACATTTCAAGGGCTTATTTTCGAAAATATACTAAAGACTCAAAATCTATTTGAAACATCCCCCTGGTATGTCTGCTGATATAGAAACATTCTATGGTGGATCAATTCTGGCCATTGCAAGTGACGAGGCTGTCGCTATAATGAACGACAAACGTCTTGGAATGAGCTCTATAACAGTTTCCAAGGACTTTACTCGGATCCACAAAATAGGCCCAAGGTTATATGTGGGACTTCCCGTATTTGTCCCAGACACACAGGTTCTTCTCAGAAGCATAAGAAAGAATTACAACTTATTCAAATTGGAGGAGCAAAGAGAGATGGAGCCTGAAGAGCTTACAAGTATGATTTCATTTCTTTTGTATTCAAAAAGAGAAGCACCATACATCACCTCTCCAATAGTTGCAGGGCTGAGAAGCGATGGTAAGCCGTACATCTCGGGGATGGATAGTATCGGATCTATAACATCTCCTCGAGACTTTGTAGCAGCCGGAACTTCTGAAGAGAATCTTATGGGAATTTGTGAGGCTCTCTACAGGCCGGGTATGGACGAGGAAAACCTGTTTGTAACATGTACTCAGGCATTCCTCAATTCAATTGACAGAGACGCTCTGTCGGGATGGGGTGCAGATTGTTATATCATAAGCAGGAACAAGGTTACTAAGAGACCGATTAAAGGAAGATGTGATTAGTTTGGAATTGAAGCTCTGTTTTTATAATCGTTGTAAATATTGGATTTTCGGGGGCCCTTTTTAACTAAGATGCCTAGGCTTGGGAGGATTCTAATGTATGCACTTATTTTCATCTTTAGATCTTATGACGTCCCATCGCTCTGTTACAACTACTATGACCCAGAATCATGCTACCAGCAGGAGTTTCTAAAGCCTTCTCCCATCCCAACGGTATATCAAGTAGTACCAAGGAAGTATTTTGTTTACGTTTCAGGAGTATGTGACTTTATAGTCTCAAGGCTGATAAATTCGGAAAAGTACTTCATATACTCTTCCCTTCTTCCAGCAGATGCAATATCAATGGAAAACCTTCTTCTTGTGATGTTGGAGAAGGGCTATAGAGATATTGCAGGCTTCTTCCTGGCGAATCTAAGTATATTCTATGTCCCTATTCTTACCGCCTCGAACCTGTATGTCTTGTCTTATCTCTATCCGGCATACAAAAAGGATTACGAAAATGCACACAAGCCTTCATTAAGTATCACCTGGTTTTTCCATCTGAACATTTTTTCACAGTACAGTAGGTATTTCTATGATATGTTCTATGTCCTGATGATTTATCTCTTCAGCATTGTTCCTGAAGAACAGAAGATGGAGATTATTTTACTATTCAAGCCATCTAACTACAAGAGTTATCTCTTGTACATGGCAGAATCCCCATTGTTCCACTTTTACACACTCATTTTCGTTCTGGAAAATTATGTACAACTCCTGTTCAGGATCTATGGCATAGGGAACCCCAACTTCCTCAATTGGTCGTACCTTGCATTCACATGTTTATTTATCTTTGAAAGGAGATGGATAATGTTAATGAAAGAGCCTTACAAAAATAAGGACCAGGAAAAGGCTTCTGGTTGTTCCCACCAGCTCTAGAATAAAAGTAGAGTAGCTGTCTTTAATAATACTTTATTCCTAGCTGGACTCCTCATCGACACCGCTGTCCTCATCCAGGTCATCAGTATCGTCATCATCTTCAGACATGTCATCGTCAACACTGGAGTATCCAGAATCTTCATCGGAACTATCATCAGAACCAATCCCGGAATCGCTGGAGCCGTCGGTGTCCTCATCGGTGTAATCCGAGACATCTGTGGTTGAAGTGGTTTCTTCCTCGCTTTCAAGCTCCTTCTTAGATTTTTCGGCTGCCTTCTTTTGTCTTGCTGGACACATATTTTAGGGGATCTGTCTTTTTCTAAAGTAAATTTTTCAAACTTTCCAGAAAATTCATACCTACAACACAAAATCATGCCTGAATTTACACTCCAAAAACACTTTATTCAAAAATTTCTTAGTGCCTTTCATTTACATCCTCCTCTCGAGTTCTTTCTCTGTCCTCAATCTCTTCAATCATCTTCTGATACTCTATCGCCATCTTCTTGTCTTTAACTTCTATGGCTCTATCTCTCTTCTGGATTAATTCTATCTTAAGGTGTGTAACACCTCTTCTCTTTGGATACACTTCGTCTTTGCAGGTAACCATCTTGCTTATTTCCTCATCACTCAACGCCCTATTCATTGTCTTCACAAGTTTTTCGTATCCCTCTTTAACCTTAGACATCGGCCCAATCTTGAAGGATCTCCACACATCTTCGTACTCCTCTCTGAGTAGAGGAGAATTGCTTATGTTCTCTATTCTAAAGTTCTTGTATGTTCTGGTCCCTGTAGATATCTCCAAGTATCTGTTTGTTTTAACTTCTTTTCTGTCAATCCGGAGGCTGTAAACTTCTCCTTTACTTACCCCAACTATCTTGACAACAAGATACAGTCCATTAATTCTTGCTCTTGTGAAATGTCCAACAAACTCGTCGAAAAATGGCTTGAACACATTCCTTGCAATCATATCCCTATTCACTATGCATAAGGAAAATTCTGAAAAGTCATCTATATCAGAAGTACTCTTCTTATCTGCAGAAGGCACCTTCCTTTTCAACCCTTGTGTTTTCTCTTCCAACTCCTTCTTTTCTTTGAATTTCTGCAGCTCCACATGCCTCCTGTAAAGTATCTCTTCTCTTTTTGTTTCAGGCATCTCAAGAAGTGCTTTCCTATCTTCTTCGGACTCATAAAGCTCTTCCCTATCGAAATTCACATGTCCAGATGACTTGTATCCATCTCTCATTGGGGTATCCTGCTTGAGTACGTAATTCTTCAGCAAATATTGGCTCAAGTATACCTTCCTACCCTCGAAAATGGTACTTCTAGCAAAAAAGAAGACCTATATCTGTCTACATGTGCTAAATACTATTATACTCACAGCCATTTCGGCAATCCATGAGAAAAGGTCCTCTCTTAGGAACTTACAAGACAAAATAGAAGTAAGAAAGTCAATAATCGACCAGAAGGTGTATACAAAACTTTTTACTAAAATTGCAGAAGGAAACTACATAGTCGTCCAAAGAGATAGCAAGCTTTTAAAATATCTTGGGAACACTAATCCTCTTTCAGATCTCTATTTAATCGGGAAATATGGGATTCCAAAACATATTTCTTTGGAGGACATTCCTTATCTTGAAACTGAAGCTCGATACTTCTTTATAGAAATCAAAGATATTCCAATCCACAGGATATTTGTGAAGCAGAACCTTCATTCTTTTATGTATATAAAGGGTTTTAATCTTGGTCCAGACAAAGATGAAATCGACCAAATGGTGAAGATTTCCCAGGAATGCTTGAGGGCTTTTGATCGAATAGGGAATATAGAAATGGCTGCCAAAGACATGATAGTCAAAATTCGTAAGGTAAACCCTTTCGAACTTTTCATCAACCATTCAGAAGGTTTCACCATAATGAAATCAATATTCAACCACAGGAACGAGTTTCTGGAAGACTTGAAAGTTCACTTTGTAAAATTCATGAGCTCGATCTTTTTTGGAATGAAAACATCCTCCTTCTGCGATGCCTATGTAAAGAGCATTATCAGCTATTTGGAAAGGGAAAATATCCTTGCTATAGCTCCGTCAATCAAGGAATATCCAGAATTAATCCACCGCTTATTTCCATACAAAATCATCTCAACCTCACCTAATATTCTTCACGAGGAATTGATTGTGGGAGGAATCTCCTTGGATGGCATTTTGCAAGATAAGTATCTAAGGGAGCTTTTTAATCTTGGGAAGATCAAGGAAATAACAAGAGGAGGAAGCAGGTTTATATTTACAGGCCATATATCCATTGACAACCAAAAAGGAAAATACAACGTTAGTTTCGTATAGGGTCTTGTTTATAAATCAATTAAACTATCCCATTCTCGTTGTGTTTCCTCGGTTTATTTCCTTCTCATCTCTTTCTTCATCTCTCTTCAAAAGCTCTTCTCTCGAGAGATTGTTGCTTGAGGAGTCTTCGGGCTCTTCCTCTCGACTAGAAGTGGAAGGTCCTTTTTCCATCCCCAGCATTATCTTTTCTGCAAACTCATCAAGTGTCATCGTAGGACTGTTTCTTCTAGCTAAAAAGTCTGAAATTCTTCCTTGAGAATCAACTTTTATACATTCGATTCCCTTCTTTTTGTAAGATTCCTTATCCTTCTTTTCTTGAAGGAGCATGATTTCTCTGTTGAGATGCTCAATATTCTTCATTGACATAATGTAGAAGTATTCCAACAGTCTCATGATCCACTCTCTATCTTCCCAGTCTATGAAGTCATATCTAAACTCTCGGATCTTTCGCCACAGCTTTATTTTATTGTCTCTCCCGCTTGTCCTACACAGCTCTATAGTTTCTTCCTCAACAAGCTTCAGATATTCACAGTCCTCGCAATACTCCTTAAAAAGTTTCAGTCCCTCATATTTATTCCCCACCTTATCATTTACAACTCCCCTAATATAAGGAGAGGTGCAGTTCAACAGATCTGATGTAGATAGCTCATGGAGGTCTTCTCCATCCCCTTCTGTATATTGCATTTCCCCAACCGCTTCTATGTCTCTGTTTTCAAGTACCCTAACAATAAGTTCCTTTATGTTCATAATCCAGGGACTAAGATATCCACAAATCTTGAAGGTACATCCCCAAAACTGGATGTCTCACGCTACCATATAGATATTAAGTTTATTTCTCATTAAGTGTGGATTCAATCTCCTTAACTATATCAGGAATCATAGAGAAAAGCCTCTCGTTCGCCCTCAAAAAATCTCGAACATTCAAAAGAAATTTGTAGTTACTTTCCCCAACATCTCCAGAAAACCCAAATTCCTCGTGGAAGGAAGCACTAAAAAGGGACAAGCCTTGGGAAAACAATTCCGAAAGATTCTTATTCAAAACCACTTCGTACACTTCCTTTATCTCTTTGGCGCAGTTCAACAGCCTGATTGCACTAACATAATACCTCAATGTTGGGCCGTTGATGTTTAGTTTCTCTTCGTTGGACACTTGTCTATGGAAACACAATATCTTCGGAACGAAGGGTGCTTCCAACTCTCCCACTTCAATTGACATCAATAAAAGAATTCCAACAGATGGGTCAATATCCTTTGTTAAAGTCATGTCGGGATGTATAACATGACCAAAGGATTCTTCTGAACCTAATCCTTTTCCGGATTCCTTTTCTTTCTGGCCTTCGTTTCTCACTCTTGATAATGAAGATTCTACCAGCTTTATAAATTGAGGATCCTTATCTACGTTCTTTATCTTTCCCATAATTTGTAGTATGTCTCTAGAAATCCTGTTCATGAACAAAGACTCATAGAACCCAGGCGCAAGCTTTGCTCCTACAAGTTTCTCCAGATTCCGTGGAACATGATCCTCTGAGTAGGGTTGCACGCATCCCAAGATCTTCATCACCGGAAGATATGTCACTAGCATAAGACCTCGGAGAAACTGGTCTGTGTATTTCTTCCCACTTCCTTCATCACAAGTGTTTTTGATCATCTTCAGAAGGTCATCCGACTCCTTTATCAAACTAAAGACTGCATTGAAGCTAAAGTCGGTAGCACACTTTGGCATAGTCGGGCAAAAGTCGCATCCGAGAAGAAGACCAAGCGCTGCAAACATCTTTGGGCTGAGGTTAAAAAATTCGAGGAATCGGCTCTTATGGAATACATCCAGACATGGCTTTCCAGATCCATCCGACATGTCGAGTATAATCTTGTCAACACCATCAAATAGAAGGACATCCGACTTTCCAAACACATATGAGCATGCCTCGGCACTCATAAAATATGCACATTGGGCTGTTGCAGAATAAGGTGCAGTGATAACCACTACCCCATTCTCCTCAAGTATTTTATTAGCTATATCCATCTCGTTCTTTTGTGTGATAAAATTTCTCCAAAGCTTTCCTGCCTTTCTATAGTTCTCTTGTTTGTACTCCCTCAGGCCTTCATTCAACAGAGCATCAGAGTTTCCAGATAAAGCTCCTTGCTGCCTATTAAACCCCATTCCATCCCAAACCCATATTAAGTCCACTTCGTTTTCGTCTCTGAACTCCAAAAGTCTTAACAAAGGTTCCTTAATGGCATCTTCGGTTCCAAGCACCAAGCCCTTGCAAATGCTCGGTACATCGACGTACTTTCGGAGAAACCAATTTCCGTCAATGCATATTCTCATTTTCTTGAATGCCTTTTGCGGGACTTTTAGAAAAAAATTCTGTCCGGGGTGCTTTCTTACCTCTTCTAGACCTCTTATCGGCATCTTTGGGGTTTCTACGATTCAGAAAGAAGAAATCAGGAAATACTCAGCATAAAGCTACACCAATTAATAATATTTAATGGACACACAGAACTGGAAGGTCTACCAACCCAAAGAGAGAAGTTTTCCAATAACAAAGAACATTATCTCTACAAAGCTCATATACATGCAAAACCTAGACAAAATTATCTTTCTGATGTGCTTTCTCATCCAAAGAAGTTTGCTAAGAAGATATATATCCACGGCATTGTCTATCGCCACCTCTCTTCCTGAGATATATCTATTCATGGAATGTTTTAGATAGATGGTTTCTTTTGGAATATTTAAGGGAAGCTTTACTGCTACTACTGCATCTTTCCAAGAGCTCACACGTAATACAGCAACATCGCACAGATTAGATATTTTTCTTGCTACGTGGGAATAGAAACCGTCACCCCTAACATCCACAATAACTACCCAATTTCCCTTGCTGAGCCTTCCAAAGCTTCCATGATCTATAAAAACACACTTATGTGGTTTTCCGGAGATGTCTACTTCAGCAATGGACAGAGAGTCTGGATTAGAGCTCTGGAGCATGTAGACTACCGCAGCTGCTAGGCATTCAAAAAAGCCTTTCTTGTTGGGCTTAAAGATTTTCATTTCTGCTTGGGAGGGAGAAAATAACAACCTGAAGAATGAAGAAGTCTTCTGTACACTCTCTACTATGGTTGTGTACATGATGTTAAATTAAGTGATATTCTATATGGATATCCTGGCTAGGTGTTATGTGAGTAAGAAAACAAACCCCAAGATGGTGGAAGGAGCCACTGCAGATGTATCCAAACAACTGACTATCATAGGTTCTGCAACATGTGGGAAGACAAGCATCCTCACCAGACATGTGAAAAGAACCTTTGGAACGGAGATAAGCCCTACGGTGTTCAACTCGGTTAGTAACACATATAAGCACAAGAATAATGTGGTTGAGTTAAGACTCTGGGACACAGCAGGACAGGATGAATATGCCCGGTTCCGGCATCTTGCTTTACCTTCAGCGGATTACATTATGATAGTGTATGCCATTGACGATCGATCTTCTTATGCTGAAGTTAAGAATAGCCTCATTGGGCAGGTGAAAGAAAAGGCACCACAAGCAAAATACTTTCTTGTTGGAGCAAAGGTCGATCTAAGAGAAGATAGTAAGAGGCTTGAGGAGCTTGCTAGGAATGGAAATTCCCCAATAACTACCTCTGAGGGACTGGAGCTTTCTCAGAGCATCGGAGCATTAGGATACTTTGAATGTTCTGCAAAGAACAACATTGGGATCGACGAGATATTTGAGAAGATTTCAAGCTATGCTTTGAAAGTATATCTGAGAGAAAACAAGTCCTTCATGGGAAGGATACTTACTTCTCTGTGGAATTTTCTTTGCTGCCGGAAAATAAATTGATTTTTATTGGAAGTTTGTATCTCCTTGTGAATGAAGCTAGAGAAAGTTGATGCAAACTGGACAAGAACAGAGGATGAAGTTCTCAAGGCTGGGGTGATGAAATATGGGATAAACAAGTGGTCCAAGGTGTCTTCTATGCTTCCTTCAAAGACTCCATCCCAGTGCAGATTAAGATGGCTGGAATATGTCAGTCCTTTAGTGAATGATTTGGTATGGAGTTCGGAAGAAGATGAAAAGCTTATTTTGATGGCGAAGACATTTCTTCCACAGTGGAGTTTGATTGGACAGACGATGGGGAGGAGCGGGCAGCAATGCTATGAAAGATATAATGAGCTTGTTTTTGGAAAGATTAGTGTTTTCAAGTATGGGGAGCTTTCTGGACCTTGCGAAGGAAAAGACGAGGAGATTCTGAAGATGGCAAGTGCCAGGATGTCTGAGTGCAAGAGCAGAAAGGGCTTAAAGAAGAAAGCTCTTTTGGACAAGAAAGAGAAAACACTTTCAAGAAGCTGTGAGGCAAAGGAAGGAACCATAGGTCCTCATAAACAAAGAGTATGCCGTAAGAATGATGGTACACTTCAATGATTGGGTTGAAGTGTCTGTAACATCAATGTTTTACTTCAGTTTTTTAAGAGTTCTGTACACATCTTTGATGGAGTCGAAAAATCGAGCGTCTGCCTCTGCATTTGGATTTATCGGTGTTTTTATTGCTGTTCTCTTGTGTCTATCGATTGTTGTTGATATGATGTCGTTCAAAAGATTATCGTTTCTAGAAGTTGCAGAAAGCAGACACGGAATAAAAATGAAAGAGATAATGAGGAACAAAGAGGCTTCGGAATGACCTGCATAAGAACAAAGTTATGTAAGTGAAATTAAACATGCTTGAATGTATAGTCCTTAAAATGGATATTTTGGATCTGCTGAAGAAGAAGATAATTGAAGATGTCTTTGAGGTTTATCCCGACGCTGAGTGGAGTGTTCTTGTATATGATAGTTATGGAGCTAGCATTCTAAAGAATTTTTTTGTGAAGTCTGAGTTTATCAGCCACAACATAGTGACTTCTCAGAGAATCGAGGAGCAGAGGGAAAGAGTGGATTTTCCTGTGATATATTTTGTAAGAGGAGAAGAAAGTATTGTAAAGATGATAAACAGGGATTTTGAAAACAGGTTATATCCATCGTATGCTGTCTGTGCATTGGAGGAATGTGAGGGTCTTCAGCCGCCCATCAAGGTGAAGAAGGTAGATGTGGACTTTCTTCCTTTTGAGCAGAGGGTTTTCAAGGCTACGGCAAAGCAATTGTATTCTGTAGCCAAGACTTTGAATACGGTGTTTAATGTAAGTTACTCAGGGTCTGTGTGTAGAGGTCTTGCAGAGATTGTTGAGAAGACAATGGGGAGTGAAGAAAGGAAAGGAGAGCTGATTATACTGGACAGGAGTATTGATCTTTTCACGCCGTTCCTTCATTTTTTCACCTTCCGAACCTTACTTGAAGACCTCTCTGTGGAAAACATGGAGGAGTTTGAAAAGAAATACATGAGGGACAAAGTATGGGAAAGTGTCAAGAATGCACATCTTGGAGAAGTAAACTCCATTTTAAGAAACCAAGCACAAATACTATCGAAAGTAGCCCAAAGACTGGATACAAAGGTTGATAACAAGGATCTGATGAAGATGGTTCTCGAGGCGCCAGCAGCAGCAAAGACCAAGGAGAGCTTAAGTAAGATTCTTGGACTGGCACAAAAATGCTATGATCAATTTGATTATCTTTCCAGGTTCAACGAAATCGAGCAACTACTTGCTACAGGATACGACAAGTCAGGAAGTAAATGGAAAATGAAAGTTGAGGATGTGTTTGAGTATCTTCGGAGTAGTGGGATAGAAAGGTCTGACAAGATTCGAATCCTACTACTGCTCAAAGCGAATGGGTATCAATTGCAAGACAACGAGGTAAATCTTCTTAAAGGAATGGGGTTTGAAGACTCTGAGATTGAAATTTCTTTTGAAAACCACGAGAGTTTTGTACCTCTCCGTGGTTCAGGAAACCACAAGTATGAAGTCAGTCGATACGAACCTGTGCTTGGTAATGTCCTGAGGAGTTTTATAGGGAAACAGAAAGGGCATCTCCAAATAAATAGATTGACAAGTAGCAGGTCGCATCTGAAGTCTTTAAGGAAGACTCATCTCTTATCGGTGAAAAAGGATATCTCCTACCAAAAGCTATACTGCGTCTACATAACCGGAGGGATAACATTTGAAGAGATAAGAGTTGCCTATGAAATTAGCGAGAGCCTTGGAGTTGAGATTATTGTGGGCTCTGAAGACATAATAACACCTAAGTCCTATGTGGAGTATCTGAAGTCGAAATGCATGTCAAAGAGTTAAAGTTTTATATATTCCGAGGACTAGGGGTCCCATATGGACCAGAACTTAGAATCCCAAACCTTTTATAACTTGAGTGCCCGTGGATGGAATGGCGAAGAAGTTAACTTTTCGGTATTTAGAGGATGTGTTTTAATAATTGTCAATGTTGCGTCCTCCTGTAAGCTTGCCGAAGGAAACTACAAGAGCTTTGTAGGCCTTCTCGAGAAATTCTATAAAAAGAATCTGAGAATTCTTTTGTTTCCTTGTAACCAGTATCTAGGGCAGGAGCCGAAGCCTATTGAAAGGATACACAGGGAGGTATCTGAGAAGTATTCCGACAAGTTTGAAGTCATGGATAAGGTTGAGGTCTTTGGAGAAAATGCTCATCCAGTATTCAAACACCTCACCAGTACCAAGAATGGGAAGGGGACATTTGGGAACTTCATTAAGTGGAACTTCACCAAATTTCTGGTTGACCGTTCGGGGCATGTTGTCAAGAGGTTTGGACCAAGTAATATTATTAAAGAAGACGAAGAATGCCTTTTAAACATCATTGGAGATGAGGGAGAGGAGCAGAGTCCTCTGATGGGATAAATAAAAAAATTACTGTACCCATTGATGTATGAGTTCTACAGACAACTAATGGTTGGAAAAGCCTTAGAAAAGATAATAGACGAGAAGGTGAATTCTAACATGCTCAGTCCGAATCAAGGAAAGTATATCCTTGAAGCATTTGATTTGAGTGTGCCTGTGGTATTCAATAAGTCGGTGACAAACTCCATGAGTTTTAAGGGAAAGGTGGACTTCTACAACCACGTTGATGGGGTGTGGAGGTTCCAGACAAAGGACTTTGTGATGTCTCTGAACAACGAGTACTTCAGCGGAGGAGATGTTAATATTGTTGCATGTGATGCAGACATCAATATGGATGCGGGAAGAAGAAGGAGAAGGAGAGGATGAGTGCCGTGTAGCTATTTCCAAATAAATGTTAAATTTGACGATACCTTGTAATGTTACCATTTGAATGGTTTGTCTGGAAATTTTTGAAGTTGCAATAAGTTGAATGGAAAAGAAAGCCCTGAAAATGGATCAGAACAATAACATGAACAAGTTCTTCAACTCGTCGTTCTTTGCACAGACACCCCAGAAGGATAATAAGCCGGGGCAGTTTTCCGGGATACAGCAGCCTTCTATTTTTGGGCAAACACAGTCTGGGTTTAGCGGAGCCCAGAATCCTTTTCTCCAGGGATCCGGAGGGATGAAGAGTAACACGTTTGGGACTTCAACGCCGTTTGGAGGTACCTCTACATTTGGAGGAGCGACTTCTAACTCTGGGGGATTTGGACAGCCTTTTTCGACCCAACAGCCTTCAACTTCATTGACAAGATTTGGGACTGGAGGAACACTTGGAACAGGAAATAATATATTTGGAGGAACAGCTAACACAATAGGAACGAATCCAACGCAGTTTGGGGGATCGGGAAATACTTCTACCTTTGGGACTCAGCAGCAAGTCAATAATAACACCTTTGGGTCTGGAGTTCCAAATTCATTGCAGCCTTTTTCGATGGGGGCCTCAACAGCAACACAACCCAGCATATGGGGACAACAAACAACCTCTTACAATCCCTTTGGTAGTAGCCAAAACTCCTCTTTTTCTAACGACAGAAGTAACGCCTTGGGAAAGGGATTTCCTGGGCTTGGTGGAGGGAATTCTGGAACCCGAGATCATCCCTACATGCAAAGGAAGATTAGGGAAGATAATGGAGGAGAAGTTACCTTGATGCACATCAACGGTAACGAGGGTTACACACAAAAGTCTGTCGATGAACTTAGGGCAGAAGATTATATACTTGGAAGAAAGCCACCTACTGGAAGCAGCTTAGCAGAACCCAAGAGCATTCCAGGATTTGGATCGTCTTTTGGAGGTCCGGTGCCTTCCTCTATAGACAGTAAGCCTCAGAGTAGCAATATTTTTGGAGCTACTCCTTCAAACAATTCATTCCAGCCATTTATTTCAACAGGAAACTCAAAAGTCTTACAAGGGCCTACTAATCCAGGTTTTGGAAATACGGTTGCACAACAGCCATTTGCATCCCAAGCAATTTCTCAAAGTACGCCGAGCCAGCCCTTTGGAACAGCAGCACAAGCTCTTCCCTCAACAAACTCAAATCCATTTCTTCAGACACCACAGCAACCTCAGTCATTGTTCGGATCTGCCGGAACATCCCCGCAAACGCCAGCTTCGGGTGGTCTCTCATTTATGCAGCCACCCACGGCACCTGTGCAGCAGCCCTTTGGAGGTGGAATGGCCTCTCTTGGGACCTGTGGGCAACAGAATACACAGCAGACAAAAATAGATCCATCTGATCCCTTTCTCTTGAAAGATATCAAGTTTGAGAAGACCGAGAAAGAACATCTTCCATTGAGCAAGGTGCTTCCAAAGCCTATGTTTAAGGAGGACTTAAAGCCACAGAAGATATCTCTGAAATTCCGCCCTCCAAAGCCTCCTGCAAAAGAGAAGATATATACTATTCCTCCGATAGAAGATATCAAGCACATGAAGGAAGTTCACAATTTGATTATAGGATTTGAAGACAAGGGAAGGATAGAGTATCTTGACACAGTGAACGGATCCGATGTCACCATGGCGAATATCCAGTCCAAGATTTACTTCTCCAAGGAATCTGTTGTGGTCAACGATCCTGTTGGAGTGGGCCTTAATAGGAGAGCCCGTGTATATGTAGAAGGAGTGTTTCCATATAGTAGAAGCTTAGGAGACTATGTTAGAGGTGAGCAGAAACAGTTTCCGCTAAAAGGAATCCAGGAAAGGTTTCTGTATGGTTTGAAGAATGACACGGTTAAGAAATTTGTTGGATATGAGTATGAAAGGGGGACATACGTCTACGATGTTAACCATTTCTGAGAAATGGAATAACTTCTGAATTAAAGAACTAGTGGATGTTTTTTGGTTATCGGACTGAAATCCGTATTTTGATATATCCCTACCTTAAATGCAAGTAAGCTACATAGAAAAGGAGACTATCGATGAACTCCGGATAAGCACAAGTATTGGAGATAAGATATTTTTCATCCGGGGAATGGAGTTGGTAAGCAAAAGCATCTATGCATATGACTCGGAGAAGATACACAAAACATTTGAAGACAGGGTGGACTATATTTGCTACTTTAACGAGATGATATTGGCTCTGTGTGGGAATATTCTATACAAACACAGAGTACTGGGAGAAGAGGTGATTTTGTGCGGTACTTGCCAACTGCTTGAGCCGCCCATCAAGATATGTGTGAGTGGAGGTCCGGAGGAAAAGGAGGGCTATGCAGTGTGTTTTCTGTATAGAAACAAAAGAATTGAAGTTTTTAGCGATGATATCGAAAGGGTTGTTGTGCGCTGCAAAGGGGATGTCGCAAAGGAAGATGAAATAATAGACTTTGCCATTGAAGACGGGGTATCATGGTTTCTGTCGCAGTCAGGGAGGATTTATCGCACACACTCCTTTGTGATATCAAGAGTGGTTCTTCTGAATAGGCCTGTTCGAATGATCCCAGAACCTTCCTACTTCGATGGCACCATTAATAAAATCCTGGCTAAGAGGGGAAGGCTGTATGTGTGTTATGAAGAGGGTTTTGAAGTGTACGACATTGGAAAAGATGTTTTGGTGCTGAACTATACATATAAGACTCGTGACTTTGAACTTTATGCTTGGGAGAATGTCTATTGCTTAGAGTCAAATCTATTGATTGTCGATGAGATGCCGCGGGTGATTGCAAGTGTTCGTGTTCACAAGATGTTTGGAGACATTGGGATTTCAAGAGACAGAATCCTTTTTATTAAAAGGGTGGAGGAATGCAAAAGAGCTGATGTGAAGCTGCTGAAGGAAGAAGATGCAGATAAAAGAACAAAGGAGATGTTTAGAATAGTAGAAAACGACATCAAGATCCCCGAGATTGAACTTTCGGAAAATGGAAGGGAAGTTTCTGAAAAAGGTTTTCTCATTGTACAGAAGATGATTAATGAGTTTGAGAGCAAGATCCTAGATGTATACAGAAGAATTTACTTTGAGCTTGTGACGCTTAATGAGAGCTTTGGAGAGAAGATAACAGGGCTGAATGCCGAGAATGATTTAATACTCAGGAAGGTAGAGGTTCTTGACAGAAGAAAGAATGATCTTGTGGAGCGTCTTCAAAAGCTCAGCGAGAAAATGGAGGATGTTGTATCCAGGATCCAAATAGATGGAAGCAAGACGAGGCGTTTGGCCAAGATGGTTGACAAGGCAATTGATGAAATTTCTTACAAGAAATATGAAAAGTATTCGAGAATCCTTAAGTTACAAAGGGAGGTGTTGAACAGGAAGATGGTTTAAAATACACAAGGGCTTACCAAGGGCGATGATAAGTTGTGTTGGGGACCGCTCCATTGAAATTTCTTTGCAGAAACAGTTTTATGCAATCAGAGATGAAGGAGCCAATCCTAAATAAAATATTTTTGGCTTTTAAAACCCATCAAATATGCAAACAATAAGGATTCTGCCGAATATAAAGTCTCTTCTCAAGGATGGAAAGGTGTCTGAGGCAATTGATGTTATAAATATGCATGTGGATGTGGTAGCTCCGTACATAAAAGACGATCTTCAGTACATCAAATCTGATGATCCGAAGACAAGCCTGTGCCTGAGCAAGATCTATTTTGTTCTTGGGGATTACCAAAAAGCTATAGAGTATGCACTCCTCTCTGGAGACCTCCTAGTTGATGACGGGTCATTCTACTATACTTCGATAGTCTATCACATGATGGATTCGGCAGATATGAGCAAAGACAGCAGAGCCCGAGATTTTGTTCTTCGAGCCATAAGCTCGGAGACTGTGGATGGCTCTCTTATTGGATATTTATTTTCTGTAAAGGAATATGCACTACTCAAGGAAGCACTTGTGAAATACATAGATGGAGGAAATGATTATAAAAGGCTTCTTGATCTTCTTATATCTCTTGGGGAGGAGAAAGGATGTCTAAAGGAGATATATGGGATGATTACAGAGATTGGCCCAAGAGGTAAACCATTTCTTTTTTATGTTATAGATGCCTACTTCTATCTTGAGGAAATAGAAAAGGTCAAGGAGCTGATTGAAAGACTTACGAAGGAAGACATTCTTCTGTGTTATGAGGTTGCATTCTACACTGAGGACAACTATAGCCCAGAGATTGAGGTGTCCAACCAAAAAGTCATGTCAATACTCAGTGGAGAATTCAAGAAAAAAATCCTTGGGGAGTTTCTCCTTGAAAGGAATCTCACAAGCTTCAAGTTTCTTGAATCTATAGCAAGAACCAGGACTCACTATCTGGGGCTGGCCAATTCCTTGATGAACTTGGGAACCTCTAATGATACGTTCTACAGAAGTAACGCAGATATTTTCAGCCAGTCGAATGAGTGGGCAAAGTTTTGTGAGGTTTCCAGCATTGGAATGATTCATCTATTCAATTCAAATCCATATGAAATCCTTAAAAACTATTTGCCTAGCGAGGTCAGCCAGAAGGAAGGAGGAGCCCTGATGGCCCTAGGTCTTATAAAGGCAGGAACATTCAGTGAAGAAGACACCGAGTATCTTCTCTATTTTTTGGACACGCAGGACACTCTTACGCCCGAGCTAGCGTATGGTGTATGCTTAGGCCTCGGACTTATCAATATGGGATCGACCAACAGCGAGATCTTAGGGAAACTCAAGGAACTTTCAAAAGTTGACCGGACGTTGTTAGTGGAAGCTTCTGTGTATGGAATAGGGATGCTTGGACTCAACTCATGGAATGTTGAGATTCTGGAGGATTTAAGGGCAATAGCTGGGGAAACAGAGTTCGAACGTGTGAAGAGAGCTGTCGGCATTTCCTTTTCATTGGTTTTGATGTTCAGTGAAGAGATGTTCTATGATGAAGATGCAGAAACAGACGGAGATTTCAAGAATTACATAAATGAGTTTCTTTCCGAAAAGGACTCTATTATGAGGGCAAGCGGGGTTCTTTCTCTTGGGTCTTCATTCGTCGGGACAGGAAGGCTTAGTGTGATTTCAACACTTCTTCCATACATCAACGACGGAGATGACGATGTCAAGAGAGCTGCAGTGATAGCCATAGGACTTGTATGTTGCGACGACAGGGACCTTCTTGTAGGAACCTTGGAGCCTCTTTCGGAAAACCACAACTTCTTTGTAAGAGCAGCTGTGGCTGTGGTTCTTGGATTATTCCTTTCTGGAACAGGAGACGAAGTTTGCACCAACATTCTAGAAGCACTCATGTATGACTCCAACAACCTTGTCAGGCAGTCGGCTTGCATTGGGATTGGGTTTATTACCATGCAGTGCAATCCTACGCTCATTCCGAATTATAAGCGTATCATCGAAAGATTGAACAAGCTGGTAGTTGACAAGAAGGAGAGCGGAGCAGTGGAATTAGGAGCGGTATTTGGCAGGGGGCTAAGCGAGGCAGGGGGAAGAAACATAATCTTTTCAATAAGAAACATGTCTGGAATTACATCGGCCGACAGGATTGCAGGTGCAATTCTGTTCTTACACTACTGGTATTGGTATCCTCTTATAAGTATGGTATCCTTGTGTGCTCTTCCAACTGCAGTTTTCTGCTTCAACGAGGATCTTGAGGAGGAGGAAATCGAAATTCCAACATCCAACCGATATGACAACCTTCTTATACGCCTCCCAGATATCAAGAAGACAAGAAGGTTCAAGCAGAGACCTAAGGAAGACAAGGAAGTCGTTACAGAATCCCCTTCGGTGCTAACCTCGGGAAGTAGGTGCACCATTAAGCAAAGGGAAGAATGCGGTCTTGATTCTCCTGCAATCCTTTTTGTGAAGAAGAAATAAATCATAGTTTTGGAAATAGAAAATCCCTGTATTGTTTAGAATCCTCAAGAGTACATTTATTTTCTTCTAAGAAGTATTTGCTATCTTATCCATCTTGTCCTTGGAGTCCTTCGTCTAGATCTGTGGAAAAAGAAACCACTTCACCTGGCTCATAAGGAGGTAATCCCAGAGAAGGGCATCCACTGCATCGGAATGCATCCCCTTTGTAGCAATTTCCGCAAGCAGACCTCACCTCAACTTCCTGTTTTTCTTTTAAGCCGCAAGTACAGTCTTTGCATGCCCTCTTTTTTGCAGGCGTTCTCAAAGTTTTCGTTTCGGCTTTATCTTCATCAGTTAGATATTCATCTGATATCTTTACTCTTGGATCGGTGTTTTTTCTTATTGTGCTTCTCAGCAGCTTTCTTAGTTCTTCCTTGTCTTCCATTTGGGGCCTTGGGTCCAGCTCAATTAAAATCTCTGCTCTTGATGTGCTCCTCTCCTAATCTATACCATGCCTCGAGAATTAGTGGGTGCTCAAAATCCACCTGCTCCCTCAAAGCTGAGAGATCCTTTTCCATCTTTGACAGCACCTCTTGGTCCACACTTCCAAGCTCTCCTTCCTCAAACCCTCTATCTATCCATAGGTTGTTCATTTCGTTTATTCTCTCTTTCAACTCCTCGTTCTCTCTTACCAGTCTTTCATTTTCTTCTTTTAATTGCCCTACATCCACTTCCCCAGTGTTGCTAAAGAACAATCCTTCAAAAAACCTTTCGAGGTCCGAATCAACCTCTGGGCTTCCGTATTTCTTTATATACAAAAACAGAGCTAGTCCATGTATCTCATTGATGCTATAAGTCCTGGATGGTATGTTGATTCCATAAGTTTCAAGGTAATGAGCTTCTAGCGCTTTCTCCATGTTTTTATAAAACAATATCCTGCAGCCCGAGACTTCGAAGGGGATTCCCACCTCTTCCAGAAGATGGGCAATGTCTTCCAGGGACAAAGTGCTCTTCTTCAGAATTTTCTTCAGAAATTGGCTAATTTCCATTGTTTTGCCAGGGGAGGTGTCTAAGGACTATTATTGATGGATCAAACCGATGTCAAGGCTCACCCTTAAAGGCCTAGATGGAAGGGATCTTCAATAGTAAGGATCTTTACGAATACCTCGAGGAGCAAAAGCATTCGGGAATATCAAAGACCAGAAGGATATCCTTGTACTACAAGGCAACATCGAAAAGTGTGGGAGACGACGAATACTCATTGAGGATATGGCTGGATTACATCCAATTGCTTATGGATGGAACAAAAGATACAACAGAGGCCAGGGAGACATTTAAGATGATAAAGATGAGATTTTGTAAGTTCTACAACTATTGGGAAGCTTACATCCGATTTGAGATAGAGACAGGAAACGAAAATCTCGGGAAGATTTTGCAGCACAGCATCGATTTTGTTAAAGTGAAAGAGTTTCCCGAAAAGAAAAATGTGCTGGATTATTTGGAGTGTGTGATATCTTATGTCCGTAATCAGCAAGACTTGTCTGTATTCTGCAGAAGCCCAGAGAAAAGTCTTGATGCAGACGGAAGGTTCACCAGTCTTTTTGAGACCCAAATGGGAGACCGTGGAGGCAAGATTTTGAAGAAGGATCAGAAAGAGCCCAGGTATGAGTATGAAGGAGGGAGAGGGCTCTTTCCAAGAAACGATGATATTTACTCTACGCCTGGAGAATGTAAAGAAAACCTGAGCAATAGAAGCAAGACTGACAGTAGTAGCCAGACATTGCTCTCCAGCTTGGATACAAAGACTGGAAATCACGGTAGTTCATTCTTTGGGACAATACCTGTTAGATTTGAGAAGGAGGATTACTCCCAGGGAATAACTGCAGAGATAAATGCAGCTTTGGGAAAAGCAGGTTCGGAGGAAAGCAGCTCATCTCCTCGATCGGGAACGATAAGAGCCAGGGAGAAGATATCTGTTAAAGGGAAGGATATTGAAATACTTAAGCAAATAGGAAAGGGAGGAAGTAGCAAGGTGTACAAAATTCTCCTGGGAAACAGTGTGTACGCTTTGAAAAGAGTCGAACTTGTTGGAGACGAAAAGATGCTTAACTCCTATATCAACGAGATAAATCTACTTTACAAGTTCAAGGGGGCGCCGGAGATAGTTGAGATCATAGACCATGAGGTAAATGAGGACTATCTACACATTCTACTGGAATATGGAGAAACCGATTTATCCCAAATCATAAAAAGAGGAAACCTAAGCATAAACTTCATTAAGGATGTGTGGGAGCAGATGCTCCTGATAGTGAAGAGGGTTCACATGGAAAGAATCATTCATTGCGATCTTAAGCCTGCAAACTTCTTGTTTGTCAAAGGACGTGTCAAGCTCATAGACTTCGGGATATCCAAGGTCATAAGAAACGACACCACCAGCATTCTCTCTGAAGAGCAATGTGGAACAGTAAACTACATGTCTCCAGAAGCAGTTACGCAAAACAAATCAAAGGTAGCCCGAAGCTCGGACATTTGGTCTCTAGGATGCATACTGTATGAAATGGTTCATTCGAAGCCTCCGTTGCATGAATATCCTAATTTGATCCAAAAGATCCAGAAACTGCAAGAGTACTCGGAATTCAAATATTCAAGTGAGAATAAACTTGCCGTCATGGTTATGAAGGAGTGTCTTGTCCGAGATCCAAAAAAAAGGCCAACCATAGACAATCTTCTTAACCACAGGTTCCTCACCGGGGAAATCCATCTAGAGCCGCTCCGAGAGCTGGTAACAAAAATCCTTAGAATCAGTGGAAAGGACAAGGCTGACCCAGCATATGTTGACAAGATAACTGAGCAGCTTTGGAATGACCATGGATAATGAAAGACATTAAGACAAAGCCTATCACCGCACAAGTAAGTATACTGGAAACCATAATAAAGTGTTTTTAATCACCGGGATTATTATCTTCTTGTAGGGAGGATATCATCGATCTTCAATATCATAGAGACAGTCTCTATTGCCAAAGTGACAATACTAATGCTTACTTTTGCCGGTTGGACTACAGAATCTTCTTTGACCATGTCTCCTGCATGGCCACTTCTAACACTAATTCCTGCACAGTCATTCTGCTTTAGCTCGCTTCTTAGCTCGGAAACTATTTCCACAGGATAAAGCCCAGCATTTCTTGCAAGGAAGTAAGGGACTCCCTCAAACGCCTTTGCTATCTCTCTTAGCACATAGACATTCCCTTCTGTGGATTCCGAGAGCATCAATGAAATTCCCATCTCAACAGACCCTCCTCCCGGAACTAGGAATGGAAGCTCCTCAAGGCATTTCACAACACATAGTGCATCATTTAAGGATCTTTCTGCCTCTTCGACAACCATATCGTCGCATCCTCTTAGCAGTATGGTGCATCCATGTTCCTTGATCTCCAGCATTCCTTCCACCTCTCCAATATCGACATCAACCAGAGAGCCCGGGTTTAACAAATCTATTTCAGAAACAGGCTGGATCCCTATTGTACTGCAGATGTAGTCTACGTCCTTTCTGTCGACAGAATTAACTACAAGAATATTCAATTGCTTAAGGAAGTGGCTAGCAAGGTCGCTTAAAGATTCCCTTAATATGCTCTTTTGGATCACCAGAAGAGTACACCCGCTTTTCTTTATCTTTTTACACATCTCTAGAATGTATTTTCTTTCGTCCTGAATAATCTTTTCCATCAATGCAGGGTCGTTGACCAGAATCTTGCTGTCCATATTGGTCTTTGGAGCACTCAGGCAAAACTGAGCAACTCCTAGCTTTGCCTTCTTTGGAATCTCCTTGAAGTCGCATTCCAGCAAGATGCTTTTGTATGCCTTCACATCGTCCAAGCCTCCCCCCGTCCTCTTGACAACCCGGATCTTCCTCTTATCTCCATTGACATACTCCATTCCCTTGATGGCTGCTTCTGCCATCTCTCCCGTAGAAGATGCTATTTTTGAGCATAGTGCTGTCGAAACATTGTTAATAAAATCTCTTCTGTCGCATTCCATCTTTACCTTGTCAATGTATTTGAGGCCAATCTTCTTTGAAATCTCCAGGTTGTCGCAAATAACAGAAGGGTGAACATTCCTTTCAACTAGGTTGCTGACACTCTCCAGTAAACACCCTGCAAGAATAACAACACTCGTTGTTCCATCTCCGCATTCCTCATCCTGTGCTGCAGACATATTCGATAGAATCCCGTGGATCGGATGCTGATTCAAGTACTTCAGAATAGTAGCCCCGTCATTGGTCACAACTGTCTTCTTGTCCTTCACTATCATCTTGTCTAACCCTCTAGGTCCAAGAGAGGTCGAGAGAGTCTGGAGAAGGGACTGGGACGCCTGGAATATGGATGTCCTGACCTGATTGAGTCTTTCTGTAGCCATTGGGGATCAAAATTTTTCTCTATTCATGTAAAACGTATCCAAAATAATATCGATAGTGACAGGATTCGAACCTGTGGGGACAGAGTCCATCGATTTCGAATCGATTGCCTTAGACCACTCGGCCACACTACCTTCTAGATCCCCGTCTCCGGGACCCATCATTATACCTTCCCCCTTTGCCCCATAACTATTGTTTTCGCTTCATCATAAGCCGGAACTTATCAAACGGTTGCCAGTACCCCACATTCAAATACATGTTGTCCAAATAATATCCATTCATCCGTTTTATTGCCTTCCTAGCCCCAGACACTCGGTCGTAAACCACAAATGCACTTCCTGCCGTACTCTTCTCCACTCCTATTCTTATCTGTATCACTCTTCCATAGTCTCCAAATAACTCTATTATCTTGTCCTTGGATATGTCCTTTGGCAAGTTTCGAACAAACAGAATCTGTGTTTCGATCTGCTCCATCCTAGCCCTGTTTCTTTCTGCTCATTTATTTCTCTTTGGAAAGAAAGACATACCAAATCTTTATTCTATCTCTCACATGTCCTCTAAGGCTATGCCAGCCCCAGGAATCAAATTCTAAGGCTTGTTAGTTTAGTGGCAAAACGACTGATTCGTAATCAGTAGACGCGAGTTCGATTCTCGCACGAGCCTTTTGTTCAACCAAATATTTTCGAAGATCATGTCTTTCTATCTTCTTATCTCATACCTCCCACTCGCCATGCTGTATCTAATCCAAAAACACACCCCTGGATTTTCAACACATTCAGCCCTTTCCACTCTTACTTTTGAATCCTTCCACTCCTTTATGTAGAAGTTCACCATTATAGGCCGCAGATCCTCATATTCCTCAAACAGATCCACCCGATAATCTATCCTTTCTCTTCTTATAACCTGCTTTGTGAAAGTCCATCTTAGTAAATCATTCTCTTCGTCATAGATGCTTTTTCCCGACCTATGGCTCTTCACAACCTTAGATGCCATTTTTGGAATCGGGAAACACACTTCGAGCCTGTCAAATCTTGTAGGACTTGGACAGCTTAGAATGTACCCTCCATCAATCTTGCTAATCATCACAAGAGGATCTTTTGCATCCGAAGACCAATACCTAACTGCTTCGAGTTTACTTCCCTGGACCTTTGCACTCACTCTTATACCTTCAAGCCCCTCAGAAACTTGCTGGTAGTTCTTGTAGGCAATTGTACATGGTTTCAGGCTACAAACATCAAACTCCACAGTTCTTTCCTCCCCAAATGATGCATTCAAGTAGCACCTTCCATCAATTCTGTTCAGGATTGTCTTTTCCTTCTCGATTATGGCACTCAGATCCTCAGACACATCGAGATATACATTGTTACTGGTTATAGACGGAATAAGTTTCTTTCCACCATCAAATAATACAACACTCTCCTGCTTATTTATTATCCTAAGCAGACTAAAATAATTCTCTAGAACGTTCTTCTCATTAATCTCCCCTAACTTCTTCTCGAGTTTCTTGCATAGCCTTTGGATGTATTCTAGCACCGAGAAGTCACATCCAAGGCTGTGTAAGATTCCTATCTTGACATCATTCATCCCCACTTGCACCATCCGAGCTCCTCCAACATCATCCACAGGATATCGGGCCTCTTTCTTATATCTGCTAGGATCTCCGTACAAGACTCGGTCCCCTTCTCCAACTATAAATATCTCCTCTATCATCGGTTTTATTTACTTCCCGAAAATTAAGATATCTCCGCTGTTTACATGTTTTGTTTCAGGCCATCTAGAGCCCATCGCGGATTCCCCGGAAGAAGGAGCATATTCTTTTCAAGTAGTGTTTAAGATTCTGAGGAAGTCTGTTGTCGATTGGAAAAACTCTCTCTTTGTACCGGACCATAAGATCTTCACATAGAACCTCAAATCTTTCTCCATCGTTCATCAAAAACAGGAAACTCAGTCCATTTCTTATGCACCATCCTGTGTTTTCGATGTAATCATAGAGTGTTCTGTTTCTGATGCTCATCTCACTCACTTGAGATATGTATGACATCGAAAATTGCTGGTGTGAGGAACAGTCCACCAGTACAGGTGATTCCCTCAAAAACCAACATACCTCCCTGTCTATTGCCTCACATCTGGCTTTCATCCCCATAATGGTTTCGTATAAGAAGTCTGGAATCTTTTCCGAATACTTCTTTTCCCCAGCCAAATAAATCACTTCATACCCTTTGCCTCGAGTTTTCAAAGTAAACTCTCTCGTAACATACACAAACCCTCCGGAAAACATGTAATAGAACTTGTTTCCACCATTGTCGATTATTATCTTGGGAATTCTTTCCCTCATCATTTTCACATGTCCTGTGAGGAGACTTAAGGCCTTCAAACCTCCATTTGTGACAAATACAGGCTCGGTTTCTTCGTTCCCAATAAACACAGAGTATATAAACTCCTCCCCACATAAACACTTTTCCTCCCCATGTCTTCTTCCACTTCCATGCCTTTCTTTTTTTCTAGCCACTATCCGGGCATCTCCTAGTTCAACCAGATCTCTGGTCTTCTTCATAACTCCATATCTTGTATTCTTCTCAAAGTTGGGGAGATCTCTGAAATCTTCGCATCTAGGTATAAACCTACTAAAGCTTTCATGCATAAGCGCCTCGCTTGCACTAATCCTCTTGTTGGCATCCTTCTCAAGCAACTTTCCAAGAAGATCTTTAAGTTCCTTAGAACACTCCAAAGAACTCAAGGATTCATAAAACTTTTTCTTCGTAAGAAGTACATAAAACACTATTCCCGCAGACCATATATCAACCCCCTGGGAGTATTTCCTTCCCTCAATCACTTCAGGTGCAAGGTAGTCCATTGTCCCACAGAATTCATTGCTGTTTTCCTCCGCATAGCAGGAGAGCCCAAAGTCACAAATTTTCACTGTATTTCCCTTTAGAAGTATATTTCCCAGCTTCAAGTCTCTGTGGATAACTCCCATGGAATGTATGTGTCTCAATCCGCACAGTATCATCCTCAATATCTTCAAGGCTACATCTTCATCAACCTCATACTCATTGAGAAACGAGACAAGATTCAGATCGCACAGCTCTTCAACTATATACACATGGTTTGCAGATTCAAACTTGTCAACAACCTTAACAATATTTTCGTGGTGGAATGAGCTTAGCATTTTCATTTCTCTGTACACCATTCCTCCCGACCTTCCTCGGCGGGATGCCACCTTCACAGCTACCTCCTCCCCAATTGCAGATACCCCGCCATATACTGTGCTTGATGCCCCTTCTCCAATCACTCGGTGAAGCTTGTACTTCTTCATCCCCTTCAGTCCCTCATTCCAAATAAAAAATCTGCTTTCCGATACTCTCGACATCAAATACAGAATAAAATCATTTATTACACTCAGCCCAAATTCTATACAGAAAATAATCATCGGAAATGCTTTTCGTAATCAACTAATGCTATTCGGGTGTGTCTTCTAAACTTCACATCGAGTTCACAGTCTTGGGCTTTCTTTTTCTCGCTCTCTATCTCTTCCATTCTCTTTTCGGTGTCCAAATCATAAGGCTCTAATGCTTCACAGCCAAACTCACCAAATAGCACCTCGGAAACATTTAAGTACCGGCCCTTGTACATTTCCTTAACAAGTTCCTCGTTCAGAATCTTCTTAGCCCCGAAGAGACACAAAATCTTGTAGTGGCTATCTTTCGAGACTCCATCTCCAACAAGATCCATTAGAAGATACTGTATGTCTCTGTTTTCCGTTTCACAGAAGAGCACACGGAGTCTCCTCATTACTCTTTCCTTTACAAAAGGCTTGAGAGCTCGGCCCATAAAGTAATCTTTGGCTAGATACAATATCTTGCAGCAAAATCCCGCAGATTCCCCCGTTCCCGCTCCCAGGAGGAGCGTCATAAATTTTGGATTGGGAATCCAATCGGAATGAACAACAAAATACCTTTGGATTTCATCAAATATCGTGGTCCTGAGGTCTTCTGTGTACCCGCTAACTTCTTTGTCCTGAAGAATCTTCTTAAGGAACCTGTAAAATACATCGGATATCGGCTTACATTTCTCAAAATACTTTCTTACGTAAGGAATAATGAATGGAAGTTTACTATCGTCCCTAGAAAAGAACATCTCAAGGATGCTGAAAAAGCTTACCACTATTTCCTTCTGATTCAAGTGCAGCACTTCATATTCATTCAAAACACCTAGTGCTTCTCTAACAAGAAACTCGCATTCTCCAACTGCCTTGCTTCTTCCAATCTTCTTGTCTCTATGCACCCTTTTTCCTCTTTCCAAAATGTTCATATTGGCCTGAAGAATTATCTGTGGATAAAGATCAGGCCCAAGATATTCCGTCAGGGTTCCCACACAGGACTTCCCCATCCAACTTGCATTCTTCAGTACATAGTAGATGAGGCTATTTCCACTAATGATATTTGCCTTTCCTGCCACAGCCTTAAATATCTCCATTCTCTTGGAACTGTTCACTTCTCCATGCTTCATGAGAGATCCTACAAGCCATTTGTACTTCTCATCATAGTCGATCCTCAGAATGTCCTCCATCCCCATAAGTGTGTGTATAATCTCCAGGAAGAAATACTCAAACCTAGCATTTGATATCTCCCCTCCTTGTTCATCTCCATGCATCCTAAAGTCCCCTGCCTGCCTCCCCTCATCTTTCCAGACATTGGTAGTTTCGAGTACATTCTTTTCATTGTATTCCGCTTCATCATCCAAGGACAGACCTTCTGCTATTCCATCGGAATTTTTAACATCCTTCGCTGCCTGGGTAGCAATAAAAAGAATCTTTCGGATGTACCTCTCACTCTCGTATGCTCGGATCGGTACTGTCTTAAAGAAATACGTAAACACATCCAGAAACTCCTGATGGTCCGAATACTCGAAATCCCCTTTTCTTTTCAGCTGCAGGATCTCCCGAATCACCCCAACAAATATCCTTATTATCCGAGACTCATAGCAGATCGAAACTCCTCTCAACTGATCGATAATTAGTCTTAGGACTTTCGATCCAGTTTTCAGTCTGTGTGTGCTGTATACCTCCTCTCCTGCCCTTATCTTCAGGTAGTCGAGTGTGCTTGGTATGGTGGATGTCCTCGACTTCAAGTATGTTATGAGTTTAGACAATTTCTCCTCACTTCCACTCCTCCCCTTGTATACATCGTCAACCATCTGAAAGTGTTTTTCGTAGCCAAACAGTGCTCTTAACATTCCGGGGCAAATTATTTAGTTACTAATGACTGTGCTTTCGTCTGCATTTCCCTCTTACAAAATACGCTTGTTCTTTCTCTCATATCTTTGGATACATAAGCTTACCTTCCTCCGCTTCCTTGTATATTGCTTTTACCTTATCCTGCAAATCCTTGTTTACTTTGTCTAATCCTGCCGCTGTTTTCTCAATCGACTCCTCTATCTCCTTATACTTATGCTTGATTTCTTCTAGCAGTTCACTCTCGACCATTCCAATCATCTTCTCAGACTCGCTTAGCCGGTCAGATTCCATTAAGGGTAGGCAGAGTTCTTCAAATTCAGATATCCTGGAAGCCCTTGATGACCTTGATCAAACGGATTATTTCCAGAAATAAGTCTTGCTACATCCTCCAGGCAAATGAACAAACATTCCTCTTCGACTATCCATCGAGTATTTACGGAACACATTTTTCGTTTCCTTCCTTTGCCAAAGCACCAAAACCCCTAAAGCTCATCTTTCCGAAGTTTGTGGACAACATCGATCATATTCTGATCACTCGGTCAGACTCATTGGGTGTACTTTTTCTTGAAAAAGACATTCCCATATACATTACAGAGCCTGTGTTTGAACAGATTTTGATAAAGTACAAAAGTCTTCTCAAGATCCCGGCCTATTATGAAGATGAGGAGGACGAGGGTGTTTCCGTAGAAGACGCAGACGTCGAAAGATTCAGAAGAAACGCTAGATTTGTCAGATTTAACGAGAGATGTTACTTCGATAATGTTTTGATCACTCCGCACCCCGCAGGAACATTTATTGGCTGGACGAACTACTTGATTGATATTGGAGATAAAAGAACCATATACTACCTCACCTCCTTGGCTAGCAAGACCAGACTTTCTTTGGAGGCTGGAGGTATCTCCTCAGACTACTTGATCATCAATACGGATTTCCCTCCTCCCTCTCATGACATTGAGGAGTTTTCTACTTACATTAATGACCTAGGGTCTGATGTTGCGATCGTGCCTTTAGAGATGACAACAATGCTTATCGAAGTTCTCCTCCACACGCTGTTTGTGACCCAAGCAAAGGGCACAATTCCAATATACGTTGTATCATCGGAGTTCGGCCGCCTTCACACAACCATCAGCATAGAAAACGAATGGCTAAGTAAACCGTTTTCATCGGCTAAGGAGCCTTTTCCAATCAGGTCATATAGAAGGTTCTATGCCGTAGACACCATCGATGAATTATCTGAGATTTCTGGGCCCGCAGTAGTATTTTGTGACCCATTAGAGTTTAGTCTTTATTCCCATCCGATCTTTGACAACCAGAAGATTATCTCTATTAATAATTCGGTGCCATTTGCGGATGCTAACTACAATCTCAAGCTGGAGCTGGACCCCGAGGAGATTTCATCAATTCATACAGGAACAATAATACACAACCCAAACCCTGGAGAGTATCTTTACATCGAGGCCATGCCTGGTCATTACTGTCTTGCTGTGGATGCTCGTAGTATCCAAGTATACACCAATGAAATATATTTGAACGGGAAGTTGAAGTTTAGCGACAAACATGGCTTTGGAAAGAAGATGGTATTTTCTCAGAAAAAGTGTAAGCTAAGCGATTTATTCAGCGCCAACAGATTCTTCTTTAGTGAAGGCTCATATTACTTTCCCCAAAAGGGTCTTAAGGTTACCATAGACAACAAAAAAGCCAAGATAAAGAAAATTATTGGGCTGAACAAAGCTAAAAGGACTTCCAAATAAAAGACAATTCACTTTACACCACGTGAAATGCATGTCACATTCGATTGAAGTAGTCCTTTCTTCGGCGCAGTTCCCTCATTCTCTCTGATTCCGAGTCTTCGGTCAGTATTTTCCCCAGATTAAAGAAGGGATTGTATTCCATTTCGTCTCTCAGCCTTAGGAATCTCTTTCTCTTTATCTCTGGAGGTATGCAATAGAACTCCTCGGTGAACTGAATATTCTGTTTGTTATAGTCATGTCCATATAGTAAAATGGCATTCTGGTCTACTCTTTCCATTATCTTCTTGATGGCTTGAACCATTTGTTCCGGTGTTCCTTCAAAGAACTTTCCACAGCCTAGGAAGAACAATGTATCCCCTGTAGCAAGGAATTCCCCGCCAATGTAGTAGCAAAAACTATCTACAGTATGGCAGGGTGTATACAGGCATTCTATCTCCACTTCTCCAAACTTGAATCTGTCTCCGCATTTACATATGCTTCCTTCAAATCCAGATATTCTTTTGGTCTCAGGGCTATTTTCTGCTATATACGGAATCCCATGCGAATGGTCTTGATGTCTGTGTGTGGTAAAGAGGTAGACAAGCTTTCTTCTCTTTTCCAAATCCTCTTCCATGCCTAGAATCTCGCTTTCGCTATATATCTTCTTTTTGAAATCCACTCCAAGAGCTTTCAGAAGTACCCGAGGGTTACATGCATCTATGCAGAATGCAGAATCCCCCTCGTAGAATAGATGCATGTAGTTGTCTCCTATAACTATGCTTACAACTTCAATACCCATGGCCTTAGGAACTTCTCTATTTTTAAATATAAGAATGCTTAGGCTTCAAAGCCTCGTAAGGATCAGCCGCATCTATGTCTTTTCAGATAGTTGAGGTGTGTAAATTAAATGTGGTTCCTTAAATCCTCGGAAAATTCTCCTTCCCTGACTTATGTACATAATCTTCGAGTGCTTTGTCCACACACAATGGCAACAGAACACCCCGATCCCAAGATTCGCAATCCGAGACGCCTTGTTGAGCACAGGGCCATAAAACCTTACATGGTTGTTCATTATCCTTGTATAGAAGGTCCCGCATGTTATCCCTATTCCAACATCAATCCCTAGACACCTGAGCATTTCTTGAATCCTTATTCCCCACAGACAAGCCTCTACTCTGTCATGAAATGCAACAATCCATATTCTTGAGAAAAACTCAATCCGAGTTCCAGAAAACACATTGCTCATCATTCTCATTATATTCATAACATTCCCAATAACATATCTGTAGCTTGTGTCTTTTGGAATAAGCTTGCAGAATGCAAAAATAGGATTTGGATTAAGGAGAAGAGTACCGTAGAATTGCCTTGTGCTGCTTTTTCTCGCAAAGTTATAGTTTTCACTTCCCTGAACTCCATTTTCGTTCCCTTTTTTCCTAAGAATGCTTCTGATAACCGTCTCATATGATATCTTACTTGGAAGGTCAATTCTGGATATTAGCTCTACACTTGCCTTTGAGTTTTTGGGTAGTTTGGATGTGTTTGAGATTGCCATTACTGCAGAGAGAGGGCATTGGTGGCCTATGAAATCTAATACAAGGCCCAGATCATTCCTGACCGTATCCAATATGTCAAATCTTGCAATACTTCCTTTGAAGCTGCAGAATAGAGGGATAAAATGCCAGTTTCCAATGTTGTCATACACCTCGACAACATCGGGGCCTTCGAGAATCTTAATCTCCGCAAAGTTGGAAAACACAACCTCAATCCCTCTTCCGTTAAGGATAACATGCTTGGGCGTCACCATGCACAATGCATATCCTATTCTGGCTCCTCTTGCAAAAATCATCTTCCGAAGAAGAGAGCAAAACTTCTGAAAATATTCATAGGAATTAGAGGTTTCCTGTATTCTTACCTGGATAGTTTCAAGTATTTCAAAGACACCAGCCTCAAAGTCCCCCATAGATATAACGAGGAGTCTTCCATTGATTCCTTTAGGATGGACTATAAATCGTTCGATCTCCTTTTTCTTCTCTAAGCATTTGTGTACATTCTTTTCTATTCTATTCCCTCTAAAATCTTTTATAACATTTGTACCTTTTAGATTGAGGAACTTCAATTCCATTTCTCCGTAATTCTCAAGGCTGACAAGCGGGTTGTACGAAAGATTCAGGTGCTCCAGATTTTTCCATTTTGCAAGGTTAAAAACCATTATCTGATTCTTGGAGGCATCGAGGAACCTGACTCCTTTGCTTGCTATTCCATGTATAAGGTTTCCAGAAATATCCAAGTACTCAAGAAATGGAAAAAAGGGAACTTCCTCTATAAAATTGTTTCTGGCCTTCAGGACTCTTAACTTCCTTGCATTAAACGACAAGAGACGTAGGCTGCAGAAATTTACACTCAGGAATACAAGATTTTCAAATGTTCCGAGACGGATTTCCTTTGTCCCATCTACAATCAGCTTCTTTGTTATTTGTGATTCCAATGACTTTAGCATTGTGTGGGATAGATTTAGTACCCTGGCTTCTGCATTGTAGTGTTCCAGGGGGTTGTGGCTCAGGTTCAAGTTCTGATATGTAGATTCTTGGAAGAATCTGGTTATCTCGTTATACGAAATGTCCAGATTCGACGCCTTCATCCTAATGACTCTGGTTATTTTGTTATGCGAAAGATTGACAGTGTTGAATTGGCCACAAACATACACTACTCCGGATATGTTGTTATGGCTTAGATCTAAATGTGTAAGCTTCATCATCGAAAGATCTGGGATCTTCTTGATATTGCAATTCACCATTCTAAGTTTCTTGAGTGCTGCAAATTTGGATTGGTCTTGTAACACCATCCTTGTAAAGGTCACATTTGCTACAGAGCTCCTTGGCTCAACCACCACCAATCTTCGTAAACTGCATATCCTTATCAAATCCCCGTCCTTGTAAAGACATCGAAGAATGGGTCTGTCAAGGCCCTTCAGAACTTCCATTCGGTCTTCGTAGAGTACCCCTAAGACTCCTTTCCCTCCAATCTTTCCCAACAAGTCTTTTGTTCTAGAGAAAATGGATCCGGTATATTCATATTCCTTGTCTTTAAAACCATAAACAGGGATGGTTATGGTGAAGTCATCCAAGTAAACAAGCTCCGAAGAAAAGACATGTCTAATCTTTGTGGAAGTTATCCTTTTTTGGCTCTCAACTCTTCGAACCTCCAGCTCAATCTCCATAAAGGGTCTCGCAAAAATCAATTGATAATAGAGATCTTCATTAATATTTAGGTCATCTAAGGAAAGTCTATTTTGGTGTATTTGCCTCCTTTTAAAAACATCCATTTCTAGATTCTCTGGGCCCAAAATCTATCTACCCACAGCTGTTTCAAGGAGTGCTTGGATGCCGTCTTTAAGGGGTCAGGCGCTTGCCAATCCCTACAAATCACTTTTGTTTTGAGCCCCTGCATGGACAAGTTCCACTCGCTGGCCATAAAAGCATTACTTACATTTATTCTCACAACCGGAGTATTTGTGAATGAGGGCTCATTCAAGATGCCCTTATGGATTGGTCTGTTACCGGCTGTTTTGTTTAATCCAGCTGTGGCTGTATACTTTTACGTAAAAAGGATGGAATATAAAAAGAGGTTTTTGAGAAAAACATATAATCCCGGGAACAGAGCACTCTTGGGGTTTGCCTTCGGTGAGGTTTTGTCTATAATGCCATTTTATTGCATATCGGAGTACTGGAAAACCATGCTGTTGAACATCACTTTGGTGGCCATACTCAGCATTCTTCCAATGGTTGATTCCTCTGGAAGAAGAACAATACAGCTGGAGCGAAATGAGGAGTTTTTCAAAATAGGCTTCCTTAGAGTGGAACATGTCGAGGGTGGAGATGTGTGCCTTAACAAAGGCGAAGTCGTCCAGATTCTGGATCATTCTGGAGGAAGCACCACAGTAAGAAAGTCCGACGGAAGGGTCTTTACAATAGAAGACTCCTATATCGACGATGGAATCGACATTGTCCTGTAGCAATATCAATATGATTAGTAATCAGACAAATCTTTCAAATAAAATAGTACTAGATTTTCGAAAGTTATAGGAATAGCATGCGAGCATAGTTCATCCAACCACGTTTATTCAACTAGAATGCCCTCGAAGTTCTCAACAAACCACTTCTTGGCATCTTCTGCATAGACCCTCTGCTTATTTCCAACCTTTGATCTGCATCTTCTCCTTTTCGATACCCTATCTCCTGGTCTTGAAAGAACTACAAAGAAGTCCATTCCGAAGATTCCGATGTTTGGATCATACTTCAGACCAAGGTCAATGTGCTCTTCAATTCCAAATCCAAAGCATCCGTTATTGCTGAAGCAACTCTCCTTAAGTTCGTATTCCTTGACCTTCAATGCTGTGTTGAGAAGCTCGTAAGCCTTCTTCCCAGATACATTGACATGGACAGCAATCTTCTCGTTTCTCCTAATTCCGAAGTTCCTGATGGTCATTCTTGCCTTCGAGGCCACGGGCTTCTGTCCAGTCAACTGCTCGAGAACCTTTGCTGCCCTGTCAAGCTTCGCTCCGCTTTCCCGTGCACAAATGTGGATGGAAAGTTTCTTAATGCTTATCTCTCTCATTGGGTTTATCTTAAATTAGCCCGTTTCAACTTACTTTCTTCGATGCCATGTTGGGGATCAAATTTTTTTCGCTCAAAACTATTACAATCAAAGACCTCCAGTTGTCTAGAAATCTCAACGGTATCCCCCAGGATCTCTAGCTATCTTTCCGAAGACTTGTCCATCTTGATAAACCATTTCTTGTCTAGAATCTCACGGATGTATACAACATTTCCGTCTTTGGCCCCCACTCCAACTTCTCTCTTCGAGGCCACAGGCTTTAAAGAAAACATCTGACTTCCATTCTTCAAGTACCAAGACCCATCCTCAAACTTCACAAGCTTTGTGTTAGAACAGGATTCCTTGTGTCTAACCTGGAATGTTCGGACCTCTTCATCTCCATACTCATTAGGATCAAAAACAAGCCATCCAGGCTTCTTCACCAAAAAATGCATAGATAGGGTCTTGACATGCAAATTTAAATTCTGCCATTTGCAGGAGGCTAAAGAGGAAGGTTGTTTCTTGCTTGGTGGTACAGATGCATAGTACTTCCTGTTAGTTGCAAGATACTTCTAATTTACATACTGGTGAAATGCCCAACCCCATAAAATGGAGCATCTACTGAACGACATTCTGCAGAATCCCCAAGGGCCTTCTGTAAAGCATGTTGAAGAGCGCTTGGACGGAATTGACGGGCAACGTGAATTTGTGGAGCTTCTCAAGAGCGGAAACGGAATCGCATTTACTTACATGAAGACAAGATGTAAGGAGTGGACCGAGAACCCGAAACGCATTGAGATGATACACAGAATTCACGATGTTCTGTTCTCACTGATATTCACATCTTCCGAGCAGAACTTCGGGATCCTATGCTTCTTTTTCGAGACCTTGTATCTTTGCGGAAACGGATGGAGCAGCCTAGTTGAGGACTTATGTGCAAATCCAAATGGAAGAAGTGTAAGAGTTCTGAATCACATGTTCAACAAGTACAGGGTTTGCTCAAGAAGCAATGCCCTGTATGGCGAAATAATAAGGAACATAGAGCTGTGCCAGGACATATTTAGGAAAGCATACTTCGAATCTCTTTCTGAAGACGAAAACATCCTTGGGATGTTCCACTCCCTGGTATTTCAGGACATCCATCCCTTCTTTGAGAACAATGCAGATAGGTTTCTAGGATCATTTTGCAAGTTGCTACGTAAGCAAGTTCTCGAAAAGGATGTATGCGAGATCTTCAACTTGTTTGTAACAAAGTATCCCGAGTGTGTTGACATGACAAGGATTCTAGGAGTGGTGCTGACAACTATAACAGGATTCGATTATCTTAAGTATACTGTTCTGCTCAACATTGTGAAGAGAAAAAGCCATCCTGTCCTTTCTAAGTTCTCCGATGCGCTTTCAAATGCAGTGAAGATGGGCGCATTTGTGTCTGAGAACGAAATCATGGAAATGAATGAGGATGTGCTGCTGTATTCAAGAAATCTCCTAAAAGGTTACGATGTAAATAGAGGAATAATTATCGAGATGATCGGGCATCTTCGGAAGGTTTTTGGAGAAGGATGGGGAAGCATGCTTATTGAAGGAACAGTGGCAACACCAATAGAGGAAGAGAGATTAATATTTTTGTGCATGGCTTTGGGGATCCGACTGGAAGAGGCTGTTAGGAAGTGCAGTGGGATAGTTCAGGATAGCAAGTCTATAGGATATCTGGGAGTTGTTTCCTTTCGATATCTGCTGTCTATTGGCCACTACACTGTCATTGATCCGGGATACATTAACAGAGGAAACCCTGGATCATTTCTTGCAATGGTGTATCTAAGCAGATGTATTGATAACAGTGGTGCTTTGGAGTCTCTTGAGTCCTATTCAACAAGATATGGAGAGGGGAACCCGGAAGCATGCAGGAAGATTGGAGGTCCTGAGAATTGCGCAAAGATCATGAGCCATCTAATGAAGTTTCTTAGAGATAACATCGAAGATGAATTTTCTTCACAATTGGTTCAGAAAGTGGTTAGAATCTGCCCTTCTTCTGTAAGTCCCGAGGTCGTGAGGTTTATCGATGAATTTGTATGGAAAAATGTCAGGAATATCAATTCACCTCAAGCTTATGGATATCTACTTGATGTGCAAGGACTTGTTTTTCTGAAGACAGGAGACAATACCTGGATTCTGAATCTTGTGCAGGTTGTGCTAAGCGAAGAGATATTCGAAATATATTCCTCTTCACTATTTCTTCTTGCCATTGTTGTTCTGCACTCATCTGGAGACTTCTCACCTGTTGTAGAAATAATAAGACAGGAGAGCCTGTGGAAAACTAAGGAGCTTCTTCTAAGTATGGTTTGCCTTACAGTATCCCTTTTCAAGACGGGGAATTGCAGCAAGGAGCAGGTGGACTACATTGTTGAGTATCTGCTAGGAGTCAGCATTCATCATGCCTATGTTCTTCTCACCAACACAGTTGTTTCGGGAGATTATCTGAAGTGGATCAAGGGAGAAAACATAGAAGAGGAATTTGTGCTAGCTTGTGCACTGAAGAAAAGGGGCTTGATCAGCGAAGAGATGTACAAGGAGATATACACCAGGAGTCTTCAGTATTTTGAAAAGAATTTTGTGTCGAAAAGAAATGCCCGGCGGGTTCTGAGAGGGCTGGGATATGGGATGGAAAGCTTTGGGAGGAGTGAAGCTTACGGGGTAATGGAAAGAAACAAACACAGTATAGGCTATGAAAACATTCCTTTCAGTGTAGCCGTTGCCTTTGAGCTCTAAAGTCCTGTTTTCCTTTTGGCATGTTCTTTTATTTTATGGCAATAAACCAGATTTGATTCTCTAGATATATTTTTTCCACCCACCATCTGAGATGAATTATTTTTCTGAGTAGCAAGCCCTTATTTACGATGTTTCAGCCAGGGATTGAGGCATACCTGGATGCCATAAAACAGCAGTACGATACGGTTATGGCAGAAAATAGGTCTCTGCGGAAGGAGAACATTCGTCTTGTTGAAGCAAATGGGCAATATGCAAGGAAAATCCAGTACTACACGAGTATTTTAAACAGACAGAAGCATATGTCTCTGGAGACCGAGGGGTCGTTTATAAGACCTCCAAAGTATTTGAAGAGAGGAAGCGATTGGAGTGTTGATGGAGATAAGCTGTGCATAGTGAGCGTTCGGGACAAGATAATGGTGGGAGGAAAGATAACGAATGCTGTTATAAGCAAGTGCGGGAAGTTTGTAGCATTTGGATGTGGATACAAAGTATTTATTGTAATGGAGAAGACTATTTGGTTTTTGGACACCTCTTCCGAGAAGATGGAGAGATACGAAGAAGGAATGTTTGAAGGAGAGACACAGGAATACAGGATATGCCCCATGGACTTCACTTGTGATTCTCTTTATCTGTATGCGGCAGATGGGAAAGGAGCAGTGAGGATATGGAGTCTGAAGAGTAAGGCTCAAGAAGGATTACTGAGGCCTTGTGATCCTGTTGCACTCAAGATAACCAACAACTTGGTGTTTACGATTGAATGGGACAAGACCATGAATGTGTATGATTCAAACAACAAGGTTCTTACTCTAAGCTCTGAAGAGGAGTTTAGTGGGCCCATGGCAGTAAGTCCAGACGGGAGCTTCGTATATGCAGTTGTGGGAAGAACCAAGATTCTTGTTTTTGACATCAAAACAGAGATGGTTCATCTAGCAAACACCAACGAGGATCGAATTCTGGCGATAGCAACCTCTCCAGAACACGCGATAATGTCGATAGGAGGCCATGGACGAAATGCCTATCTTTACAGGATAAAGAAGGAAAAGCCCTTACCCAGGGTGCAGGATTCTATCGATCAGAGAGGCACTGTCTTCTCTCTAGGATTCATAGGAAACCATTTGCTTGTAGGACAGCCCGAAGGTGTTATGATCTGGGATCTGTCGGAGAAAAGAAGCATGAGGATACAACTCCAAGAGTCAAATGTGATTGGAATATCCACATGCAAGGACTCTTTTGCCACCGTAGACAACAATGGAGTCTTACGTGTATGGAGATATTACAATTCTGTGGAATGGGATAATAGCTCTTGACGAGCATCCAATTTAAAATGCAATCCCCTAGAGACTTTATTATTAAAATGTTTTTTGGCCTATTGGCACTTCTATGCTATCCGTAGAGAAGATAATTGGCAAAATGTCTTCTTTATTGTTAGAGCCTGGAGATGTATTCCTTTATATCCGAAACCCAAGCGTCTCTTTCCTTTTCACAGGTGGTGTATAACTCCACTCCCTCTCCAGATCTTTCAAGACAGAAGCCGACTTGGCCAATGGGCAAAACATTACAGTTACTAAGAAGAAAGATCTTGTAGACTCTGCTCTTCTCATAACATATAAGAGCCTTTCCAACAAACTTAAAAAGGTATGCCTTCCATCCATCCTTGTCCATCAAGAGATACGAAGATCTGAGCAGATGGGTACTGGAAATGTCTGAGAGAATGAAAGGCTGTAGCTGCTTATCGGTCATCTCCGAGTTTAGCGCGATTTCTATTGCTCTATCTCTTGCTCTTCTATCTTGTGGAGACATTGCGTTTGCTAGTGTTGCACATCGGATACCGGGGAAAAGTGTAGAAATATCCTTTATGGTCTTGCATATTATCCATTTTATGTCCGACTCAACTGTGATGTAGTACTTGGTTGTTTCGGCTGAACCTTCGTAACATAGTACAGTGTTAGAGATCCTGATTTGAGGATAGATTGTTAGTTTGCGGCCAGGAGCATAAAGATTTGAAGCCATTTGGGAGTTCCGAGTTTCTGACCAGCTGTGAGAAGCCCCCTTTAGATTACCTTCGGGTTTTTCGATCGTATTCTCTGGCTTGGACATGGACTTTACATACATCACATCGATAGGAGCAAAGGTTGGAGACTTCCCTGTTCTAGTATACAAAAAGCTGGGTCCTTGATACGAGGTTTTGCTCGACAAGCTAAGAGAACTTGCGTTTGATAAGGGATTACTAAATACAGATTTGGAGACAGAGAGGTCTTCTTCTTGGGCTTCCTTTTTGCCAAAAGGACTTGGCGAAGTTCGGTTTCTTCTATTTCCAAAGCTGCCGGAATTGGATGGAGCTTCTCTATTGAAAATAGAGCTGCTCGCTATTGATCTTACATAGCCCACTTTGGATCCTCGATTGATGGAATCCTCAACGCTTCCCTTATTCATACCATACGAGCTGAAGTCTATAGACGATTTTTTGTAAAGATCCATTCCCACCATCGATCCCTTGGATATGTCTTTATGGGCCGGGCTCCTATTCATAGCTCCAGAAGAGTTTACTTTCCATGGAATCACTCCTCCAATAAATCCATCCCTCATCTTTGTACTATTTACATCACCAGAATTGTTTTTTGGAATGCCATCTGCAGCTCCATTCTCATTTGAAAAGTCCTTGCTCTTGCCAAAGTAGTTTGCAGGAGATTCTAGCTTAACATTTCTGTTGAATACAAATCCACTTCCAACACAAGCCCTTGCCTTAAACTCCTCATTGATCCTTCTTAGCTTCTCATCCATCGATCCCATCGACAACCCTCTTGCATCCCTAAACTTTCCTTCCGGTTCTTCTGCAGCAGGAGACAGGTATGAGTTCAAAGAGTCTTTTCCCATGTTTAGGGCTCAAGTAAATATCAATATTCAAAAGCCTTTAATAAAACCTTGAAAATTCACGCGCGCATAAGTAAAACAAAATTCTTTAATATTCTTTCGCTGTTGTTAACAGTCTACAGATATCCTCAACAGGGTCTACAAATATCTTTCTCCTATACACTTCGTGGCAAAGCTCTTCAAAGAGCTCTCTTGTATCGTCGTCCACAACCATGTTCAGGACAGAAGTTCTGAGATAATCGATTGCCTTCTCTTCGTCGATCCCAAGAAGATAGAGGTATTTATGTTTCCTAACCAGAAACTTTGAGAGATGGCGTATCTCTTTGTTTGTCTTCTTTTCAAGCCTAAACACCCACATGTCATTTACGCGCCGGTCTACCTTTTCGGAGATATTCCCTCCAAACAAGTAAAACCATCCATCCATCTCTACAAACTGGTGTGCGGACCTTGGCGCCGGTTTGATATCCACTCCGGCTTCTGTTCTTGACTTCACCACCACTTCAGTCCATTTCTTCTTAATCAGAGAAAAGGTATATACATCTATGTTTTCAAATCTTCCTTCCTTCTCTTTTCCATGGCAGAAAAGAACAACAATCTCATTCAAGTACAGAAGGCCCCTCTGGACAACTCTTCCCTCTCCACTGATTGGGAATGGCACACTTTGGAAAACAGTGTCTGTGTCCAGTCTGTAAAAGACCATTTCTCTCATCGAGCTTTTGTTCTTCTGCCCTCCTATGACTACAAGGCTATTGTTGTAGATGCTACCCTCGATATAGTCAGGGGGAATAAACACCATACTATGCTCCAGTCTTGACTTCAGAGAGGGAGTGCTTGAAGGTTGCATTGTATCCGACCTTATTACCATCCACCTGCTCCTAAACAAACTCGACGACGATGTTGAAGGTTCATGGCGGGAGTTGGATTCATCTAGCATATTTTCCTGGGAGATCCCTGTTCCAAATGATGGAGAAATCTCAGCCATACCGGGAGATCTCTTCTCTTTTCCGCCGAATTGGCCGCAAGTCCTGTACCTTCCATCTGTCTCTGAGATGGGCTTTCCAACTTCATTTGTTCTTCCACACTTTCCCAAGACCTCCATCCCATAGCCCAGGGATCTTTCGTCAAGTGAAAACATGTAAAGTCCAGAGTATGTGTCTTCCTTCTCTGTAGATCTTCCTCCGAACACATATAATTTATCTCCCACAACAACCATCTGATGATCATATATGTTTCCCGGTCCTCCCTCTTCGTCCGAGTTAATCACCCTCCAGTTTCCATCGAAGACCCATATGTCTGATTTCCCTGAAAAGACCTTGCGAGAGGATAAGCAGATATATTTCCCCATCAGATAAAGTTTCGACCCGTATGAAACCATTCGGTGGCAACTTCTTTTCCCTGGTGATACTGTATTCATCTTAATCTCACTCCATTCTCCGCCTCTGTATCTCCAGAAGTCCTCTAGTTCTTCCACTCCGTTCCATCCCCCGTAAAGATACAAACTCCCATCCATTTCAACCATTTGATGTCCTCCTCTTTCGCAAGGCCATACCTCGGCTCTTGGTATCTCTGTCCACACCAATGAATAGGGAGAACTATCTATGAATCCTTGGAAGACACACGGATCTAACCTATCCAGTACTTCTTCTGTATCCTCGTACTTATGGCTTTCCAGCAGGTGCCTTATGTGCTTTACAATTTCGTCTTCTATTTTATCGGAGCTTCTTTTCTCGAGAATCTCATAAACATCTCTAAATCCACAGTCTCTCAGGAATTTCAGGCAGTTTCTCATGGATTTCCCAAAAATAACCATTTCATTGTATCTTGCAAATTTCTCGACATCGGCTATTCCTCTCAGCTCGACAAACCATAAAGAGTAGCTGAAGTTGACTCCCCATGCAGCAAGAGGCTCAATCTTCACATACTGGGCAATGTAATATGTCTCATCCTTTACAAGGAGATTAAAGGTCTCCATTTCAGAATCGTTTTTTAGGCCTCCGCACAAGACCTCTTTGTACTCGACGCCATCTCCGGAAACGCTTATTCTCATCTTTTTAACATTCGATACATGCATCTTGTTGTACTTTCCAAATGTAATGGTCACCACAAGGCTTGGAGGGATCTTTAAGATGATATATTGGAGATGATCGTTAGTTGATGTCGACCATCTTGAGTTTGGATCCATGGGGTCATTCTTTTTGATATTGCTTGGCATGTATACAGAGGCATATGTTGAATAGCTGTGTATCTCATAGGGAATCACGGTGTAAGACCTTCTATCATTCAACATTTCTCAGGGGCAACTTTGTCAACATTTTGATGTACCTTGATTTTGATTCATTCTCAGATAATAAAAGAATGATTAGGGTTCATCATAAGATTGCCTGAGACCAATGAGATTGTTACAGTATGTATATAAACCAGAGATTTTTTTATCCCATGAAATTGGAATTACATATGGTAGATGAAGGGGGAAGAAATGAGTCTGTTGGATTTGATAGAGGAAAAGCGTCGAAGAGGCTTCTGTGGGTAGGAAGTGATTCTGAAGTTCGGGGAAGGTCGAGTCTTCGGAAGGAGAAGGGAGGGATTGCCAGGGGCCCAGAGAAAAGTAATCAGCACTCTGGAAATGACAAGAACGAGACGGTATCTCAAGACTCCAAGGAAGAAGAGAAGGCGATTGCAACAGAGGATGGAGACAGCAAGGTTAGGACGAGTGAGAAAGTGAAAACATTAAATTCGTTCAAGGACCTCTCCTCTCCATCTCTGGTAAAGGTGCTTGGAAGAGAATACACTGCGCCCACAGTCATACAGAAGTACTGTATACCATCGATGGTTGATGGAAGAAATCTCCTCTGTAGAGCACCGACGGGAATGGGAAAGACGATGTGTTTCCTAATCCCGATCATAGAAAGATATCAACAAATGAACAAGCCACAGGCATGTATTATCTCGCCAACGAGAGAACTATGCGAACAAATTCGAACGGAGGCTTCCAAACTTGTGGTTGGGAGTAAGATTCGGGTGGTGTCTATCTACGGCAAGAAGCAGGATCTTCCTAGCTATGCTGGAGTCGACATTATAGTTGCAACACCTGGAAGGCTGATAGATCTATTGCACAAAGATAAGGTGGATCTTTCTGAAGTAAGGATGTTTGTCCTCGACGAGGCGGACAAGCTTCTGGACATGGGATTTGAGATGCCTATAAGGGAGATCCACAAATTTGTTCCTAAAAACACACAGACATGTCTCTTCAGTGCCACGTATTCACCAAAGCTTACGAGGATGATAAACTACTTTCTCCCTGACGACAAAGTCTCGATAGAAATTCCCTCTGAGACTCTTAAGAACATCCGGCAGGACATTGTGGAGGTAAGGAATAAGAAGAAAATGCTTCTTAATATCTTAAGGAGCTCGGAGATCAATCTCAAGGGGTCATGGAGGATGGAAGTGCAACCCGATAAAGTGCTTGTTTTTGTTGAAAGAAAGAGCGAATGCGGGGAGGTTGAGAAGACCCTAAAGAAAAATGGGATCCTCTGTGTTACTCTGCATGGAGATAAGGAGCAGTCAGATAGAAACGAGGCATTGAAAGGGTTCCGTAATGGAAGATTCCCTGTGATGGTTGCAACCTCGGTGGCAGCCCGGGGTATAGATATCAAGGATGTAAAACTGGTGATAAATTACGACATTCCGAAAGACATAAAGGAATACATCCATCGGATAGGACGTACCGGACGAGAAGGGAAGTCTGGGAGGTCGATATCGTTTTATGATGGGGGAATGAGTGCTGATTTCAAGAAAGCATTGATAGAGGTCTTGAAAGAGTCCAAGAACCCCATTCCTTCGTTTCTGAGCGATACTGCTGAAGACTTTGATGCCAGGCTTCAAAGATTGAAGGTAAGTGCTGATAAGGAGATGTCGGATGACGAAGAAGTCGGGCTGTGGGGATGATGTTTCTTTTGGTTAATGGGATAATAAATACTGGTTGGCAATTTATGTTAGGAAAACTGGCCTTGTGTTTTCCAATCTATGTTGTGGACAGAAAAGTACAGGCCTAAGTCTGTGGACACATTTGAGGGTCCTGAGCATCTCAAGAGCATTTTAAGAAACTCCAGCGAGAGAGGACATCCGAACCTCCTTCTGTATGGACCACCTGGGACAGGAAAGACGACCTTTGCCCATCTCTTGGCAACCAGGAAGCTGGAGCTTAATGCATCTGACGAAAGAGGCATATCTGTGATAAGAGAAAAGATCAAAGTGTATGCATCTACACTGGAAAAGGACAAAACAGTAATACTCGATGAGTGCGAAAATCTCACGTCGGATGCACAGCATTGCCTGAGGAGAGTTATTGAAGATTCTGTGAACACCCGCTTCATATTTATTACAAACTATCCATCGAAGATCATCGGGCCCTTGAGAAGTAGATTGGTAGGAGTGAAGTTTACACTTGCAGATAATAGGGTTCTTGAGGGCATAGGAGGCAACGAAGGACTAGGCTACGACAAGGAGCTATATCGCAGACTTTTTAAGCTCTGTGGAAACGACTTAAGAAAGGCAATCAATGTGCTTCAAGGCATTGCTCCCCTGAGCAGCTTCTGCATTGAAGAGGCCGTTGGAAGTATTCCTCAAAAGACGGTGGATGAGTTTTGGAAAGTAGGAAGGGCAGAAGTTATGGATTACTCGAAGATGTTCCTGAGAGACGGATACTCTGCACTTCAATTGGTTCGGCAGCTGGCTGGGTGCTGGAAAGGAAGCGATGCCCAGTCTGCAAAGTTTCATCTTCTGCTCTCGTCGCTTGAAGAGAAAGCGGTCTTGGGATGTTCGGATGAGTTAGTCTTATATAATCTCCTGGGAGGAAAGGTTGAGATTTTTAGCCAATAAATGGAGTTGTTGATATTTAATGAACATAAGCTCAGTCCGGCTACCTTTTGTTCAACATTTTCATTAGTCTTGCATAATATCCCCATCTTGCTAGATATTCCCCACTTGGATTGCGCTTGCACTGATCAATCTTTTTCTCCAAGTCCTCTTTGATTCTGTTTCTATCTTCATTGTTCTTGGCATTCGAAATCGCTTGCTCGTAGTCCAGCACGTCGATCAAAAACTCCTTCCCGACATCGATATTTCCTGGATTGTTCAAGTATCTTGCCCTGGAGAGATCGTTTTTTAATGTGTCGTAAGCTTTGTTTATTTCCTCCATTGATATGTCTTCTCCTGAAGGACTTGCTTTGTCTGGATGGAATTTTCGACTCATCTTGTAGTATCTCTCCTTCAAGACATTCTGGTCGATGGCGAACGAAGGCTTGAGTCCAAAGATGTCGAAGTATCTTGATGGACTTCCCATCTGTGTGGGTGATAGTAGAGTTGAAATGGGATGTTCGAATATTCTTCTGGGATGGAGCTACCCTTGAAGATGGGGAAATCCAAGGGAGATGATAGAAAGAAGGAAGGTAGGAAGTCTTCTCGGCACAAACTTCCGGGGAAGGAAGGAAAGACAGGAAGTAAAAAGATTGTTCTGAGAAAAAAGCCATGTCCCATCCAAGGAATAGAGTTACAAGATGCCACAAAGATAGAGAAGGATCTTTTAATGCATGGGACCATCAAGGACAAGATCGATGTTCTTACGTTGCTAGTTGAGAGGAATCCATCTCCAGAAAACTATAAGGCCCTTCTTGCATTTTGCGAAAATCAGAGAAACGATGTTCACTACTACGTCCTCAAGAACATTCAAGATCTTCTTATATCCAAGAGGGAAGTTGAAAATCCTTACATTAAGCAAAGAATCATAAAGTCGTTTGATGTCAATCTCCGGAACCAGTACATTAAGAAGAAGGTTGCAAGACTGGTGCACAAACTGCTTGAGGAAGGAGTTTTATTTGTGAATCTGGTTCATCTGTTCATCAACAAGCTGGGAGACAAGAGAGACATGTCGGACTATGTGATTGATAAGCTAAATCTGTTGGTTCCTGGGAATGAGGAGATGATTCTCGACGGGATAGAAGACTTCTACTTCAAAAACGATCAATTTAGGTCGAGGCATGTTGTTCTAAAGTTCCTGGCAAACATAGACTGGGAGAACAAGGTAAAGGCTTTTGAAGTATTCGACACCATCCTCAGAGATTTCAACGAAAATATCCCCGAGGAACATCGGAACATTCTACTGGAGGACCTAATTGTCGGGCTGGGAAAAAACATGACAGACAAGAATGTCTGCAGGACAGACATAATAAGAAAATCAGTACATACCGAGAAGATGATATTCTATGGGGCAAAGGCATTGTCTAATTCCAAGGACCCCGAAATACTCGTGTTCTTCAAAAATGCAATCAAGTCGCATAGAATGAGAGGTTCGAAACTTCTACCGGAGTTCCTTAATATGATCCATGAGACTGCATCTATGCACAGAGATATCGAGTTCTATAGATTTCTCTTGGAAACATCTCTCTTATACACTCCGGAGTATATAATATCGATATTGATTATATGTTCTGAGGCTAGGAAGGAGGGACTAGGAGGATTCGACAACATTTATAGTCTCCGGGTGCTTGCCTTACACTATCATGACGTGGTGCGGAAGCTTAGTCTTCAGCTTATTGGCAACGAGATGATTCTTCCATTTGATCCATTCGACAGGATGAGCCTTTTAAATGCCGAGATGATGTGTGGGGATCTGTGATAGCACACATGGGGATGAAGAGTCCTGTTGACAGGCCTTGGATTGATGGAGCCAGGATTGGAATGTGTTTTGAATATCCTCTAGCCTTCTGATACCGATTGGTCCATGTCTTCACAAGTAGATCGAAGTCTAGGACACAGATGGGTGAAAATAAACAAAGGAAAGATACAGGTAGTCGTTTCCATATCCATCGTAGAGCTCTTGGGTGGATGCAAAAGATATACTACAGATACTCTGTGGAGACGGGAATCTGTGTTTTGGAATGGTGGGAGTCTGTTCTTGTCAACATTTACTTTTTATTGCTGCTGTCTTCGCTAATCAAACAGATAGTAAGAATAGGAATTTATTTAGCCGATACATTGATGAAGTGGCATTTCCTGGGTAGACCTTAGCAAGAAATAAAGCTTATATTTTTCCTATCTCCTTAAGCATTTTAAACACAAACGGCTGTAATGCATAATTGGTATTCATCTTTTCGAGAACCCTGATGGCTTTGGTCCTTTCTCCCGATCCCAAGAGTATCCTAATGACGTTCTTCAGTTTGAACTCTATGAAGTCCCCCATCTTTCTTATTTTACAAGCAGCCCTTGTGATGTCCTTTACGACCCTCATCAACCTTCTCTTATCACCTCCAAAGTGTGATATAAGAAACTCGTTTTCCAAGTGTGCTAGTGTTTCATCGTGATCGAGTGTTAGGTCAGTGTCTTCTGTCCAAATGCTGTTGTATACAGGTGTCCGGAGAAACCAAACTCCTGATTTCTTTCCAAGGAAGTATTCCTCACTTGGGAATGCAGCAACAAGAAAGTATTTTCTGTCTAATCTCAGAGATAGCAACCCATCGGTCCTTGGAATTACTCCTTTGAAAGTCACTTTGCACTTGTTTATCAGAAGTATTGTAAATGATCCGTCGGCTTGGAGATACATCAGCTTGCTACCAAGGACATCTATTGCCACGACGTCTCCAGCACAGACAAACGGCATCGCAAGGATCCCAGTATTGAGATGGTACAGCTGTATCTTTCCTGTGTACAGACATAAATATTTCTTGTTTATGCAAAGCATGTCTATGCTTCCGTGTATCCTGTAAAACTCCTTAGGACCTCTTTTGACAGACACATGTGTTCGGTCTTTTCCAACTTCGACTTTAAAATCTCCAAAGGATTTCGGCATTTGGCTTCTTGTTGCCATCTTGGCCAACTTCTTGCAGCTGTAGTTAAATATCGCAAGATATGAATGGTTGGTTTCAACTTCCACCCCTTCTATTTTGTCCTTCTCCTCGGGAGTATCCGATGATATCAATACAGGTCTTACAACCTTCTTGGAGCTTTTGGCCAGACCATCCTTACTATTGCTTTCTGCAGGTTCTTTTTTTGCTCTCTCAAACATATCTTTGTTTTCCATGGAGAAGAAGACTTCACCAGAAACATCCTCTTCTTCCTCATAAACTTTGCCAAACTCTCCCTCCTCCACATTTATCTGAACCACCTCTCCTCCATACGAACATACAAATAGTTTTGTGCCGCTCTCATTCCAACACATGTCAAGAACCGGTAGCTCTGTTAGATTCTTGACTAAGAGAAACGGCTTTGAATACAATGAACACCACAGAGAAAGACTCAAATCCTGAGATGATACAGCTGCAACATAGTATCTTCTATCTTCTTTGTAGAGCCTTGGATTAAAGGCTACAACTTCGCATGGGGCTGCATGGCCAATAAACGAACACTCGTTCTTCAAATCCTTACTGAAAACCTCAACAGTGTTGTAATTTCTGTTGAATGACAGTCCTGATGCAAAGAATTCTCCGTCGGGAGTCCAGCTTGTACGGGAAAAAAAAGACTCCAGAATCACTCCTTCCGAAGCATCTATTTTCCCCACCTCCTCAAACTCTTCATATAGAACAATTCCATCATCTCCTTGTGTACACATGTACCTGAAACTCCTATCTGCAGAAACCCCCTTTATCTGCCCCTCATGGGGCTTCATTTTCTTAACAACCTCAAATGACTTCAGGTCGTAAAACACAACATATCCATCATATCCAACACTCACAAGAAACCTATCTGTCCACAGCACATTGCTGACATCACTTTCATGCTCACATGCAGATGCAACAACATCTCCATCTATTCTGTACACAAAGACCATTCCATCATCTCCTCCAGAAGCAAGCAGTTTCCCATCAACACTAAATCTAACACACAGAACAGTTCCTTGGTGCTTCTTAACCGTCCTGACATGCTCGTGCTTTTCGTTCCACAGCTTTATCTCCCCATCAAGAGATGCTGTAGCCATCAATGTTCCAGAAACATCTATGGAAAATATAGGCTTTGGCCTCTTCGTGCCATGGCCAATGTCTGTCCTCGAAATCTTCATCTCGATATAGGGAGACCTAACTCATCTTTAGTTAAAAACCCATCACAAAGAAACCAAAAAGTTTAATACCAAATTAGAAACATTCAGTCTCTTGAACCTCCCTTCTTGCTAGACACAGAAAAGTCCCCTGGGGAAATATATGATTTCATTCCTCCATTCTTTATCAGCCAGTCATGTCCGACAAAGTGAAGCTCCGTATCATTGCAAATTGCATGGTTTATGTGCTTGGGGATGACCTTCTTCTTACCATCGGTGTTTGCCACATTCTTTGCCCCATCCGTGATCTCACTTATCAAGTACATCACACATGCCGAAACACCAATAAGGGCATCCTTTGATATCCTCATTCTGGTTCTGTCCTTCATGATCTTCTTGATCTGGCTTAACTTTACAATGCTTTTCTGATGTTCTTCATCTTTCCCCATAACTCGTGGATCTGCCTTTCCTCCTTTTCCTTGTACCATTGCCATTCCTTGGGGCACTCTCTTTGTTTATATATTTTCCTTTTGGAGGGAAATAGATCTTTTGGAGGGAAGTTGTCATCAACCTTTTTTACCCAATCATTCAACCCTTCTCCTTTTTCCAGTCTCATCACTCGTCAGGTTCTCCTTTCCATAGAAAACCCTCAGGAAGTTCTGAACATCCTTCTTCTTCAGACTGTTGATTTCAATCCTCATGGATCTTTCCTTCCCCTCGTACTCATTCATAAAATCCACAAACTCCTTAACCTGCTGCTCCACTACCACCTTCTTCCCCTTCACAGGAATGACATCAATTGCAATAAAGAATGCCGTACACTTCTTTAAGTCCTGCATTCCATACTTGATCTTTCCAATGTTCTCCTCTGCAACTCTGAATGCCTTTGGAAACGGAATGGCATAGAGTATGTCGTCAACAGCTTCAAACTTAGACGCAAGGATTCGGACTTTCGACTCCACATATCCTTCCCACTTTGGAAAGCCCTCCTCCTCGGTGGACATGGCCAATATCTCGGCAAAGAGCTTATACCTGGAGAAGAAATCAGATAGATCAAATATCTTTCTGAAGTCGTTTTTCTCGGGACTTGACAAAATCTCATGAGCCCGTGCAAACTCCATGGAAATCACATGCTGGGTACTGTTCGACACATTATGCGTTGCACACATCGAAGGATATGCAGGAGTTATCACCGGCATCCTGTGATACTTGTCAGAGGGATACACCTTTGGGTCCCATACCTTCAGATTATAGTTGAGATCCACCACTGGACGTAGGACCACAGGTGTGGGCCATTTCCATGATGAAAACAACTCAAAGAACTTGCAGACAATGGAAAAGGACGACGCATTCGGATATAGCTGGCAGACTCTAGCCACACACAGCGAAAACGCAACTCCCCCAAAGTATCCATAGGGATTTCCATATACACACCTTCTCTTGGCCCAATACTTGATGCATCTCAGTGCCGAATGGAAAGTATTTACATTTGGAACAAGGTTCAGCATTTCATCTGTAACTCTAGAACCGTTCAGTGACAAAATGCATTTCTCATCCATGCTCTTCAGGAGCGTGTCGTTGAGCAAGTTGATTCCATCCTTTACAACGGGAACATTAAGCCTAGCAAAGACTAAATCAATTGGAATCCCTTGAAACTCGAATTTAATTATTGGTACAAATGCATCCTCTATCTTTGTAACTTCCTTTATATTCGGGTCTCCTTTCAATTCCTCATAGAAGTGAGTGAAGAAGTCGTTTCTTGTCACATGTCTAGGTACAATGCACAAGGCGTCGATGTCTGTTCCCTTTCCATGCACTCCCAATCTATAGCTTCCAAATGTAAATATCTTTCCCCCATATGCTTTTTCGCCGTCCCCACTTCCCCTGCCTTTTCCCATCCTCGCCACAAACTCTCTCACCATGAAGTTGAGCTTTCCAAGCACCCTCTCCCTTGTCTGGCCCTCCTTGTCATCCTCAAAGAATCCCCGCTCCTGCAGATACATGTCCATCTCCTCCGATAGCTTCATTTCCTTCTCGGTACTTTCCTTCATCGAAAGAGGACCAGTCACTCCGTACTTGTAGTTCCTTTCGGATATCTCCATTTTAGAACCCCTCCATCTGCTTTCTTTTTATCCCTTCCCATTCAAGAGGATCCAGGCCCGTCTTTCAATCCCCCCTACACACAATATTAAAAGACATAAAAAACTAAACACTTTAATATCCTCCTCTCAGCCTAAGGACCAAGTGGAGAGTAGATTCCTTTTGGATGTTGTAGTCAGACAAGGTTCTTCCATCCTCTAGCTGCTTGCCTGCAAAAATAAGCCTCTGCTGATCTGGCGGTATCCCTTCTTTGTCCTGTATCTTTGCCTTTACATTCTCAATACTATCCGATGGCTCGACCTCTAGTGTGATTGTCTTTCCTGTTAGGGTTTTCACGAATATTTGCATTTGTTTGGGGTATTCAAACAAAGCATTTTTATATTTTGATGCACCAATCACATCAAGTTCTTCTGATGCCATCATCTAACCAGAATTCTTCGGCACCAGACGAAAATGAAGAGATCTGTAGCCGTCTTAAACATCTGGACTTCAACAGACCCCTTGTGCCGGCCATACACATCGGAGCTCCATGGATACTCCTCTCTGCCTCCATACAATGCACCCACACCTTCCTGCCTGTTACAAAGTACAGTTAAGAGACAAAAAATTTTACCCTCAAATGGTGCTAGGAAAGGTAAAAAAGATCCCGGCCATGGCTCCAAAGCTGACGAAGGAACAGAAGATGGAGAGAGAGCTTTTGATAAAAAAGAAGATAAGCAAGCTGGCCAATGCAATCAGAATTCCCCCGGCCATCAATCAGTTCAAAACCTTCCTATCGGAGGATGATACTAAAAAGTTCGTTGATCTGTTCATGAAGTACAGACCGGAAAATAAGAAAGAGAAGATAGCTAGGCTAAGTTCCGAAGACCCGAAGAAGGGCCCAAAGCCCATTCTTGTTAAGTTTGGTCTGAAGCACGTGACAAGTCTTATCGAAAGCAAAAAGGCAAAGCTTGTTCTTATCTCCGCATCTGTCGATCCCATTGAGGTTGTGATCTTCCTTCCAACGCTGTGCAGAAAGATGGGTGTGTCCTATGCAATTGTCGAAAACTCCACCATTCTTGGAAGGCTCGTCAACCTGAAGTCCACATCATGTGTCTGTCTGTGCGACGCAAGGCCAGAAGATGAGGCTGCTTTCAAGGAGATACAAGGAATTGCAAATGCAATCTTCCTCGACAACTATGAAACCCATCTGAGAACCTGGGGAGGAGGCCCAAAGAAGCAAACAAGTGAAGAGCAATGAAATAAAACATTTCTTTATTCAGGAACTCATGCCAGCCCTCACTCCTCCCGAGTAAACAAAACTGACATTCCTACAGCTGCCAGGATTGCAAACTTCACTCCTGGAATGGTATTGATCCAGAGATTGATCCATCCGAAAAACGGGATATATCCAACAACAATGGACTTGATCTCTCCCCTCGTAAGGTAATTTCTCCCTCTCGGATAAAGAGAAACATCGTCATCAAGATTGTTGTCTCCCTTTGTTAGATATCTTTCTCCAAACTGCTTGATACACCGATGAACACATGGAATCTCCCTTCCAAACTTAAAAACAGTCATATCCCCAACACTAAAGTCCTTGTTGGCAAGCCACAGTATATCCCCCTTCTCAAATCCCGGAGACATGCTTTCGCTCAGCACAACAACAATGGGACTGTCGTTATTCAGAAGAATCGAAAACATCTTCCATATCATATATGTCCCCATCACAGAATATGCTGCATTCACAAACTGAACAAGCTTCTGCCGAATGCTCATTCTTTTCAGCATTCTGATGTCCTTCTCGGAAATAAGATACTCAAGCATCAGGGTGTGCAAGGTTCACTATTTCTCTTTCCTAATCCTTACACAATAAACAAACCATAGAATGATAGAATAATTTATTATTCCTGCTCCTGCCTCACACCCCATAAATCTTGAAGTTCCCCTCGTATCCGTACCTCTTTATCATCTCCATCGTCACATTATCAACCTCGACACTATCGACATCAAGAATCGACTCCTTTGGAATCACATTCTCCTTCCTTTCTCTCTCTTCTTCGTGGCTCTTGATGTAGACCTTGTTGTACGTTCCCTTCAAAATCTTCTTGTAAAGGGACGTGAGATATCCTGCAATCTCATTCTTCAGCTTCTTCGACTGCACAACAGCCACGTCTTGCACCACAAGCAGATTATGGTCAAACGTGTTGTCAAGCCTCTGGAAATACTTTTCTGCAATCGTTCGCGCTGCCCTCTTGACTATCTTGTTCCTAACACAGCCCTAAAATTAAAGCTTCCACCTACCATTCTTGGGGTGAAAATTTTTTCTGCACAAATCTCCCTGCAAAACACTTCACTACCTGTACTCAGGCCTCAGCTCATATGCATTTTTCAAGTCCTTCTTGTTCAGCACACAAATGTCAGACACAATCTCCTGGATAAATGCAACAGGCTGCCCACAGAAGTCTGCAAGATCCTTCACCGTCCATGACGGATACTTCTCAAATGCCTTGAACACCATGTCTATCACTTCGTTCTTTCCAAGTCTCTCTCTCTTCTTATCCATTAGCATCTTCTTTCTCTTGCGAGCAAGATACTCAAGCTCTCTCAAGCTTCCAAACTTCTCTCCTCTCTTCCCCTCCTTAAGATAATCAATGACTTGTACATCGCTCTTCTTCGCATCGCTTTTAAACCCCGCTTCTTTTTTGTACCTCAGATACTCCCCATTAATCTCCGGTGTTATGTAGCATTCGTTGTTAATCACTCCCTCAACATCTGCATTGTTCTCATAAGCCCGGATTACATACATGCTGTTATCTCTAGGCTTCACCTTCACCTCAAACGAAGAAGGAAATCCCCCCTCGCAAAATTCCTTGGACAGCTTCAAGCTTAAAACCGCCGGCTCCGTGGATGTTGCTTTTGTTATGTCAAGCTCTCCAATTGTCGTCTCTCCACCCAAACTCAATATTCTCTCTGCTAGAAATAAAGGGACCTTTGCAAGCCAAATCTTTGTGTTTTTGTTGTTTGTGTTCAACTCCATAGAGGGCTTGCCTCATCAAGCATTAACTTGGTCTATTCCAAAATATTTATGAAATGATTGATGGTACCTATCAAGTTTATTAACTCCTCCCAAAGCAGCTACTTAAGACACTACTGGCGGCGGTAACAAGATCACCAAGAGCACCACAATCACAACTGCAACTACACATTCTTTCGGTGGTCTCTGTTCCGTTCTCATTAGTAGTGCTTGTAGAAGCAACGATAACTTCGGCACTCAAACCACCATCGGTGCCATCAGACGGGCCAGGCTGTTCTGTAACAGGATCTTGGCCACCAGACCCGCTATCAGTAGGTTGATCTCCGTCTTGAACGGGGCCATGAGACGAACCATCCTGTGGGCTTTGACCTGAATCATTTCCTCCATCATGTTGTTCTTCATTATCTGTAAATCCAGGATTACAACGACCAAGTGATCCATCTTCATTACTTCCATAAACTGGTACCTGAAAAATTAGTAGCATTATTGAGATTGACAGAATGATACCCTTCATTGCAAATTTTTGGAGACGACTTCTTAAATACCAATTAAAAATTTTATCCCTAATGAAGATTTTGGTCACAAGAACAGTAAAGATCCCAGAGGGCTGCATTGTGAAGCAGGAGGGGAAAGTCTTTACATTCGAGGGCCCGAAGGGAAGGATAGTCGAGGACTGTACTCGACATCCGCTAACATTTGATATCTATGAGGGGAATGTCCGAATCCGACTCTGGAATGGAAAGAGAAAGGCTGCAGCTCTTGCAATAACGGTCGAGTCTCTTTTGAAAAATGCAGTCAAGGCCGTCACAGTTGGATTTGCATACACTCTGAAAGCAGCATACAACCATTTTTCTATAAACATGGAGGTCAAGGAAGATGGAAAAGTCCTCCTTGTGAAGAACTTTCTTGGAGAGAAGAACATCAAGGTGTTTAGGATGCGTGGAGTGGCAAGGGTTAGACTGGACGAAAGGAAGGATACAATAGTGATTGAGGGCCCATCTCTGCCGGATGTTTCCCAGAGTGCAGGGACAATCTCCAACGAATGCAAGGCTAAGAACCGAGACAGCAGAGTGTTCCTTGACGGAATCTTTGTTACAGAGAGAGGCATCATGGCTTGAGTAAAGGTCGTACTTTATTTTATATTTAGTTTTTGAAATGCTATTTTTTCTGAGCCTATTCTTTAAGATCTCAACCCTCTCAGTTGGCCTGGGCTTCTTTTTTCTTGGCCTTTGTGGTGTGGCTTTCGAAGGAAACTTCACTTTCAAGCAGGGTTGCGTGTCTTTCGATGTATTCCAGATCGCTTTCCTTGTTTGCCTCCTGTCCTGTCAGGATTCTGTCTTTGATGAAGAAGTCTTCTCTTCTCTTCCTTATATCAAGTATCTTTGGAATGCTGGAAAGCGTCTTTTGCACCTCTTTGCGGTCGTATATGCGCGGCTCGTTGAGGCGGTGCTCGAACTCCAGGATGGGGTCGTTACAAAGCTCCTTGTTGGCCATCTTTCTCGATATCTTTGTCCATTTGACTTTCCTTGGATTGACACGTCTCTCAAAGAGTTTTCTGCACTTTGATCTGCAGAATCTAAAGACTTTTGCATCGTTCCGGACATAGACTGTTCCATGGCCTTGGTATATATTTGACGAGCAGAACCAGCACTTTTCAATCCTCATTTTACCCCTCCATCCATCTGGAATTTCTATACAGTTGTCCCAAATATTTTAATTAAACAGCAATAGAAGACACCTCTCCAGTCTTCGTCTTTACCTTGGCAATAATCTCAAAGAGCTCATTCCTATTCATTACCACATATCCCCCGAGTCTTTCTCTCCTGTGGAAGAGCTCAGAGGAGATTGGAGGGTCGTCTGTTGTCACGATAAATCTATCCTCGAGATATCCCTGAAAAATAATCATCTGCCTGAAAGAGGGACTGTACCTTCTTCTTATGTACATGTCGAAATAGTGCTCGAAAAGGTGTACCAGAACGCCTATTGCCATTCCCTTCAGAGTCTCGGAAATGTTGATCCTGAAGAGGAGGATATTTCCAAGTTTCCGGATGTTGGCAAGGCTGTCTCTGTATATCCAGATAAGTTCGTGGTGAATCTTAATACTTTCTTTCATTCCCAGAACCTCTCTACTTGACAGACACAGAAAAGCGTCTACTCTAGCGCCTTTTAGCAGATGATGGCATATCAGAAAGAAGTTTTCTATGGGGGATACCTCGATGCCATATCCAATCTTTTTTACAAAGCATTTCCTTTTTCGGAAGTGTGACTCTATCAATGCTTTTGTGCTGTATCCAAGGTTCCCATACAGTTCATATGAGGCCTCTCTGGAAATCCCTTTTCTTGCAAGGTACTCACAGATTCTTTGGGCCTCAGCGCTTTTGTTCTTCTTGTAGTATATCTTGTTGCTGACAACAAATGGAATATCATTCTGAAGTGCTGAAAACAGGGACGTAAAGTTCAGAAAGGAAATACAAGGTCTTTCGACGTAATACAGCCCATCGGTGTCTGTCAAAACACCGGCCCTTTGGATCTCAAACACGAGATCTGCATGTAGCTCTCGACAACCTGCACATATGCTGTCTGAGAAGTTGCTTTCATTCTCTAGATCATCGACCGGCGTGAGGTCCTTTGTAAATATTCTGTGGAACCCAAAGCACACGATCATGGCCCATAGAACATCGGTAGTGACGTAGTTCATAGCCTTTGCTAGGGAGTATGCCAGCATGCATGAATGAATCCAGTTGGGCTTGCAGGTGCATACAAACCAGGAGCCTTGGAGCGAAGAGTTTTCTTGGCCACAAAGAGAAAGGAAATTCTTACATTCTCTGGGATCCAGGTCTATGAACACATTTAAATCTTGGTCGGAGTGGTGCTCTACCTTTTCAGGCTGAAAATCCATTTCAAATCTGATAAGTTCTTTGTGGAGGATTTCTGTAATAATCTTAGCTGCACATACACTCGAAGGAATGTCTGGGATGAATATCCTTACCGACCTGTATGACTTGAACTTGTTGATGATGCCAATAGGATTCCCTATATCAAGCATCTGCCCTGAATTGTGGATATTTTTTATTGAATGACTGAATAGGATTGTAAAGCCATAAAGGCTGTTCAAAGGTGTGTGTGGGAGAGCATCAGGGGTTTTCCACGGATTAGCAACCCTTCTGAATGAATAGATACTTCTGCCGGGAGATTTTGCTTCTTGAAGAGATAACAACAGAGCTCTTGGGATCCAAGGAAATGGATGAGGAGACAACCCACAAGGCCAAGCTGCTGCTAACAATAAAGGACAAGCTCAATGAGAAGATGATGGAGATGGAGGAGTACTATATGAAGAGAATAGAGTTCTACAGGGAAAATGATGGGACAAGGGCAAAGGAATTGGAGAAACAGACAGAAGAATGCAACGAGAAGTATCTAGGGCTTCTGATACGAGCAAAGGAGCTCGGACATCAGATAGAAAGACTTGAGATAAAGGGCCTTCGAAATAAATCTTGTGCCGGAAATGAGTTGTGAGAGGCTATCTTGCAATTTTCCTATATTGGAATAAGGGGAAGAGCGAAGCAGGGTAAGAGAGTCCTTCGGCGCAGAAGTGAGTAAAACAAGTGATTTTGAGCAGAAAACTTTGATTCTGCCTGTCTACGGTTCTTTGGGGGAAGCCAAGAGAAGGGTCTCCTTTTACCCTTTTGCACCCTGTGATAAAATATAAAAAGAAGAGGGAAAGAGGGGTTGAATGGCAGGCGAGAGGGCCGAATACGGCGGGATTGCCGGTGGACAAGAATTAATTTATCATTTCCAAGAAGACAGCGATGATCTTGGGGTTGAGAAGGAGTATGAGGAGAACGAGCCCAACTCTCTTAGGCTCCGAAATTTTGTAGAGGACGAGCTGTATCAGTCTGACGGACAAATGCAGTATAGAGGGGAGGACGAAATGAGGCTTCGGTATGGGCGCAAGAAGAAGGAGAAGAGAAAGAAGAAGAAGAATGATGAAAACAAAAGGCCATCGAATAGGAAGATAGTGAATCTTCCTGCGTCTCCTCCTTATGTACGGTTTGTAGACGGAGAGGAAAGACTATGCTTCAAGTATGTAACGAAGGTCAGCGAGTCGGCACGTGATGCGATGCCCAAGACAGATCTGGAGGATAATGAGTTCTGTGTAAGATTTGATCTTGACAGCGTGGACATCAGCAAATTGAACGAAAAGTTCAAAGCAGACAACTGTGTGTATCCCAGGGCAAATCTCCCCTATGAGATGTATACTGGAAACAGATGGGGATTTGAGACGGAATGCAACCGACTGGCATGGCAGTTTGTTTCGTTGAATCCTGTTCTTCTGTATGGAAAGAAGGGACTTATCCAGAGAGCCGTCGACTCTTACAGAACAATCAACAAGCAGAGCAGAAATAAGAGGATTGTCAAGGAAGATCGGTTTCCTAGCGACATTGAGAAGAGGAAGCATGTTTCTGGAGCACCCTCGACGATCACGATTCAATGGACCAACAGAGGGATTTTGAAAAAATGTAAAATCCAAGTTAACATCGAAAACATAAACTATGGGAAGATCGACGATGAATTCAAGTCGAGGTTTTCTGTATTTATGGACGATTTTGATGACAAGTCGTTTGGGAAGAGCAAGTGGGAAAGCCACAACGTAGATAACGAGCTTGCAGTAAAGATAGCTTTTCTCAATGTTGAGAACACGTCGTTTTGGAATGCCATCAAGGCGCTTGATAAGACAACTGTGCTCAAGAAGGCAATTGAAGCATATAAACAAAAGAGAGATGAGTATGCAAGCTCCGATGATGACACCGAGATGTCTGATGTTATTGCAAGCGCGCTTGGGAGCAGTCTGGGAAACTCAAAGAGCTGTAATGTTGAGAATTTTTATTTTGATAATTAGTCATGAATTTGTCTTGAATAAATGATATTGTGGAGAATGTGCATTCAATTGTTATGAAACTGTGTTTTAAGATGTTTATAGTTTTTGGTATAAAGGCTTTTCTTGCTGTAAACAATACTATGCTACTTGTGTATCTTCTGGGCTGCCTTGCCGAGATAGTGGAGCAATGCAAGCCTATCAACGAGGGATATGTACTCAGTAAGTACTTTGCTCAGTGGTGCCCGGCGTGCCAAAACATGGGGCCGCTTATAGAGGAGATCAGTAACAAGATAGACAGGCACGAAGCAAATCTAAAAATAAGAAGTGTTGACTGTGATGAATGTTCTTGTCCAAATGTCAAAAGTTACCCGACGCTGGAGATGTCTAAGGATGGAGAGACTCTTGGAAAGCTGGAGGGTCCTCAGGATTATGACGAAATAATTGAGTTTATTGTAAACCATACTGGAATCGAGAGAAGCGTGTTTGAAGGACATGCCGCACAGAAGGAGGCCGAGGTTAGGAGGTTGAATAAGAATGACTTCCTCAGTGGGTTTGATGGTCCTCATATTGTTCTGTTCTATTCCAGAGAGGACGACAAATACAGAGAAATATTTAAGGAGATTGCAAAGATCTATAATGGAAAGCTGAATGTCGGGGAGATCGACAGTGCAGAGTCTGCAGAGTTTGTCAATAGATATGACATCAGGTCTTATCCCTCGATATCTGGAATCTATAACGGATTGGTTGTTCCTTTCATAGAGAAAGGGAAAGAGCCCAGCATGCCCAACTTGATTGAGTTCTGCGACAAGCTCATCGAACAGTCGTTCGCCAATCTGACCCTTGCCAAGTTTGGAGAGCTAGCATCGAAGCTTGAGCCTGGAGAGCCTATCTATGTGGTCTTCCATAAGAACCTTGCGCTGGCCAATGCATACTTCCAGAGGATGGCCCACATGTACAAGTTCCGGGCCAGTATATACAGGTCAGATGACCAGGCTCTATTTGAAAAGGCATCCATATTCCCTAAGGAGCTAGGCTCTGGCTCAGACACAACCTCCAGCCCCAACCATGAAGATGTTGTCATTCTCTCTGTGTATAAGAACGGGGTCTTTTACAGATACTCAGATACCTTTGGAGATGAGACAAAGATAACAGATTGGATATTCCACACCCACTACAGGTATTTAACAAGAATCGACAATCACAACTTCTACTCCATATTCCATGGCCTCAAGCCTGTAATGATACTTCTGACAAGAGGAGAGGAGCTAGTAAACAAGATGAACGAGTTTAGTGCAGACAGACACCTAGGGGTTCCATACACAGACATGATATTTGCTACCATGGAGATCGACGAGTATCCTCTCTTTGTCCCGACACTTCTCCCAAGACTTTCCACTCCTGCATTGATTGTGTTTGAACCCTGGAGAAATCTATTCCGCCACAAAAAGGCCAAGCTCACAGAAGACAACTTCATTTCTACAGCAATGGATACCTACACTCTGTACCAAAACAACCGCCTTCCGCTTTACCCGCCAAAATCACACAATGTTTTGAAGTACTGTTTGCTCGGTGGGCTAGTTCTCGGAGTCGGATTGTACTACTCCTCCAAGGCTGGCTTTGCAAAGAAGAACAAATAAAACCTCTTTGACATATATTATTTTGAGAGAAAAACAAAACGGAGAAGCCTCGTCCATCGATGAAGTTGATTTACATTCTAGGAGATCTGCTTATCTCGTATTGGAAAGACATCCTAAAGGTAGTCATAGAAACACTCGTAATTTACCTAGTGGTTCGATTTAGATATCGCTCCAATAAGGATGTTATCATTTTTCCACAGAATGTAATTGATAAACTTGTGGCTGAGTTTGATCCCGACGACTTGGTGAAAGACGTCCCCAGCGATGTGATGCTGCCCAGCGTGTACAAGGAAGGGATGGTTGATCTGGCAAACTTCGATGTGTTTGGGTTGGCAATGGAAAACAAGAAAGAGATTGTCGAGGCCATAAGAAAATATGGAGTTGGGACTTGTGGGCCTCGGGGATTCTATGGGACTCTGGACATTCACCTGGACCTTGAGAGGACCATTAGCAGGGAGCTTGGTGCAGAGGCTTCCATTGTGTATCCAAACAGCTTCATAGCTGTCAACAGTATCATTGCGTGCTTCTGCAAGCAGCAGGACATTGTGTTTTACCACGAGGACTGTAACGAGGCTATTCTTAGGGGGATCGGGCTGTCGAAGTCGAAGAATATTGAATTTGCAAGCATCTCGGACCTGGAGATAAAGCTGGAGTATTTCACGAGGCCGAAGGTAAGGAACTTTGTGATTATTGAAGGCCTTTCAAAAAACACAGGAAAGATTGTAGACATTAAAAAGATATTGGAACTCAGAGACAAATACAAGTTCAGGATTATCTTGGATGAGTCCTATGCCATTCCCCTGCTCAACAAAAGAGGAGTCTGCGGGGCAAATGGAGTAAGTATTAAGGAGATCGACATTACCATTGGATCTCTGTCCGGGGGACTCTGTTGTGGTGGAGCATTCTCCTTAGGGACTTATCACGCTGTAGATTACCAGAAGCTGTCTGGATCTTCCTACTGTTTCTCGGCGTCTCTGCCAGGAGCCTTAGCTAAGGCTGCAATCCTGAACATTCAGAGGGAGTTCGACTATGAGGGATTGAGAAACAGAGTGGAGTTGTTTCATGCAACTTTTGAGTCCAAGACATATGAGATTATGTCTTCTCCTCTATCACCCATAGTGATTGTTGTAAAGAAGAGAGAAGTAAGGAGGCCAATGTCTAGGGAGGCACTGCTAAAGGAAGTCCTAGATATAAGAAGTGAGCTTTTAAAGAATGGAATTATTGTTGGATTCAACCACAATCCATATCCTTCCCTAAGAATTTGTCTGAAGGCCAAGATCCCAAGGGACGATGTTACAAGGCTCGCAGTCATGTTGAATAAATGGTAACCAAAATCTGTTTTATTTCTTGGAACATACATCTGTGTCATACCATGGCCTTCTTGGCAGGGAACTTTATAAGATCCACAATCTTCAACATCTTCGATGCTAGAGAAGACATCTCTGTGTCTAACAGAATTTCCATCAGCCCCGTGAAAATAGTCATCTGGGAGTGGTCGTACTGGCCTAAGATGTCATAGAGACACCTATCAGCTGCCTCCGGAACCTCAGAAAGGTTGCTGCTGAATATCAAGGAGTTCAGATGGACCAGACTGCTATGCATCCACAAGGGGTGGTGAGAGTAGAATAAAGAAATATTTGCAGTATGAATCCTTAAATGGGAATCTGCAGGAACAAGGACTTTGTAATAGTCTCTGAGAAAAACGAAATTCTAATGATGGATATTATGACACTCTCTGTGTTCCACAGAAGAGAATGTGGAGTTAACTCACCTGTGGCATGCAGCAACGAGTATGTATTTATTGGAGATGGATGTGGGGTTATGGCACTGGGTCTTCTCGATCTGAAGGAAAGGGAGGTATGCAGAATGAAAACACCTGTAACTGCCATTTTCCACCTGGATGGGTTTATATATTGTGGAAGTGAAGAGGGAACTATCTATGTTTATGGAGGAGGGAGAAAAGAAGATGGAGATGTGGGTGAGGGAAAGGATTCCATGGATTTTCTAGGGTCTGAGCTTTCAAACGAGATGTTTTCTATGGATGACGGGGGATTTAAGCTTGTGAAAACCATGAAACATCCTGGGCCGGTGACTCAAATTTGTAGTGATGGGACAGAAGTGTTTGTGGCGGATATGAGGAACAAAGTAACGGTCTATCCATCCAAGAAAACCTATGACATCAAAAACCCTAAGCTTGCTTACAAGAATTACATATTTGCAAGCGAAAGGAACATGCTTTATTGCAAAACGCGAAATGCATTTGCAACCTACCTGACAACGGAGAAACCGATAAGTGGCTACACCTTCAGCATGAATGGAGGAGTTTTATTTGCACAGTGTAGAGATACCGTGGATGTTGTTGACTTCAATACCAAGAAAGTTGTAAAGAAGGTGGAGGTTGCAGGGAAGTTTGTATATGATGATGTTAGAGACAGGTTGGTGTGGTTTGATGGAAAAAGACTTGTAGCTGTTGAGAATGTTCTCGAGAGGGAATATAAGGGGATGGATGGGATAATGTTTAGAGAGGATGGACTTGTCGAGAAGAAGATCAAGATTGATGAAGAAATGGATGAGAATATTGTAGAGAAATACAGAGAAGATGGATTGTGGAAGAAGCCTCCGAAAAGGAAGTATTTTAGAGCATCGTCGGAGGGAGAGAATGGATTAGGAGAAGGAGGGGAAGAGAAAAAAGAAGTGGTTGATCCTGACGAATGGGTGGAAGAAGCGAAGACAAAAGGAAAGGATAGTCTTGGGAGATCCAAGTTAGAAGCAGAACCTGGGAGTCTTCTATGCTATAATACCGAGGGCTATATGACTTGTATTGGGGATGAAGAAAGAGGTAGAATAGAAATCAACTACCATGATGTTTCTCGAAGAAGAATCGAGGTGGATGGTATCCAGGGATGTACTATAGGAAGTTTTTGCCAAGATAACATTATAGTAGGAAATGGGAAGAAGATCTTTTATATCGGGCCATCCTCTCGATGGGAGAAAGAAGTTGAGGCAAGTATTGTTTCCGTGTCTGAGAAGATGGTGGTTTCCTTCTCTGGAGAGCTTCGGGTCTTTGGCCTTGACGGGTCCGAGATGCTTAACTGTCTTATTCCAGATGTAAGTGCCATATGTTGCCGTTCCGATATCATTGTGGTGTTTTCACGAGAGATAATTGTGATTGATCTGTTTAAATCAACCGAAAGATTCTTTCTTCCATCTCCAGTGGACTTTGCTTGCTTCGATGAAGGTGAAAAGGTTTTTTACAGAATCAACGGGAAAATGTACCAGCTTTATAAGGGACTTTCTGTTAGGGTGTGTGAAGCCCCGAAACAACCGCTAGCTGTGTTCAAGGGGAATGTGATTTCCTTAGGGCCTTCCAGAAGGTTGTTTCCATCTCCACATGTTGAATACACCCAATTCGATGTATTTGATCCATGCAGGTCCAAGGAGCCGATGGGTTCTACTGAAGATGAAGAAGTCCTCTGCAGTGAAGATTATGAGAACAAGAATGTAGAGGTGAGTAAGAGCAAGAGGTACAACCCCCTTAAGAAATAAATGGCTTTAAATTCTCTATGAACCAGGATGCAAGGTCTGTATGTGGTGTTGGTTATTGGAGGACTTATAAGGTGGTATGGTCTAGTGGTATGACGCTTGCTTAGGGTGCAAGAGGTCTTGGGTTCGAGTCCCAATACCGCCCTTTTGCTTGTGCTTCCAAACACAGGGGAAAGAATTCTTCTGTTCTCTCTAAAATATCCAATTAATTTATTTTCGAGTCTCCTTGGACTTCTTGTTAAACTTCTCGGTATAGAACTTCAGCTCGCTTCCCTGCAGAACATGTCCCAGAGCTGCTCCTGCCTGCCCAGGTCTTGAGGTGATGATTCCATATAGATGTCCTTTTTCAAAATTCTCATGCAACTCAGGATCAGTGCTGCTTCCTATCGTCTCGATATCCTCTTTGAATGGTTCTGCCTCAATCTTAACAACAGAGCTCTTCGTTAGAGTATTGGTACGAACAAGATCGTTGGAGCTGGGATGGTACACAACCTGCAGAAGCTTGGATGCTCTAGTCTTCCCAGTGCTGGGGAATCGAAAGTACCCAACATCCAGCCTCAAAGCCTTATATTTCTTGTTTCCACCTCTCACTCTAACAGGAATCACCCTCCTTTCCCCTATCTTTGTTGCACTCGGCTGAGATCCTGCCCTGTTGTTGCGCTTCTTGCGGCTGATTACAGCCTTTGCTCCCGTCTTCCTACGCTTGTGGTCTCCTCGATGGTTTATTCCTAAAATTAATCTTCCTTCGGAGATCACTTACCCATTTCAGGGCAAATTTTTTCTGCTCTCTTTATTGGAGTCTGCCTCGCTTTCATTCGGCTCCTCAGGGTTCTGAGATGTGCTGGGCACAAGTACTTCCATAGTCTTCTTTCCAAGTTCTGCCATCTCATTTCCAGTTGCTTCCATCGCCTCCTTGATGGTTTCCATGTCAAGCTTCAATATCTTGTCTCTACGCAGTCCCATGATAAAGGCAGTAAGAGACGCTAAGAACACGGTTGTTATAAAAGCCATCTTCAGCGTCATCAAAAAAAATATACCTTCCAAAGATAAATACTTCCTATCCAATCATTTTTCTCTGTTTCTTACACCAGAGGTCTCTGAAACAGACTCATCTGACTTCAAGAACAAAGATTTCTTTTATGGCAAGGCTCGGTGGATTCAGAAAGTAGAAGGAATATCAGATGTTATTGTATGTTGGGCACCGAAGATCTTTGCATGCTACGCTTGTGAGTATTGGTTCTATACCATCTGCTGCAGCTTTTTTAGTAATTCTGACCAAAGAATATCAAAGGGAGGATTCCATTGTTTCTACTGCCGTGGAGTTCATTACAAAGACCTTCCCGATCCTTTTCCAGGAGGATTCTTGGGGCAGTCTACAGAAGGAAGTTCCAAAACAAGGAATAGTTCTTTACCAGGCTGAGGATGACCGAGCAGCAATCCATAAAGCACTCTAGGGAAATGGATGAAGGAAGATCCATCCAAGTCGTGGAAAGGAGTAGAGCCATGTCCTACGAGATGACAAAAACCCAGGGGACAAAGGCTAAGAGGCATTCGGTAATTAATCAAAGATAAAATATAAAAATTGCATAGAATAAAGTGGTTTATATCTCATCGGCCTCAACCTTGTAGAGCTTGACAAACACATGGGTCCCGAGCTGCTTTGGGTTCAAGTTCCTTGTGAATTTAGCACGGACCGCTCCAGAATTCCCGTGTATCCTGGTTACTACTCCATGGACAGGGTATTTTTCCCCTTCAGTGCTTGTCTTGAAGCAGACAACTCCGTTGCCCACATACTTCTCAGCCTCAATCTTGCTTCCCACGTTGTTGATCTTCAGAAGAGCATATCTTGGATGAAGTCTCCTCAGCCCTCTCTTGAAGGAAACAAATGTTGCAGGGATCGTTGTACGGCTCAACACCTCTTCACTCATTATTGGTTTAGACATAACGAGGGATCAAAATTTTTGTTTTCAAATGATTACTGGAAGGACAGAGTATTTGTAATTGAATACAGGTTGCACACAAGCCCTTTCTCTTCTGTGCTTTTGTTAGGAACATACTTCTTCTTAACCTCCTCAAGAGCTGCCTTAAGGATCCTTGGCTTAACCTCCTTGGGAAGGTCCTTCTTCGAGAACTTAGTCTTTGTGAAGTTGAAGAAGAATGCATGTTCATACACTGCCAGCATGGCATCATCAACATACTCTAGGGTGTCGATGTTCTTGGCCTTGTACCTGAGATATTCTCTTTTAATCCTTTCGTAGTCGCAGACAAGGTGCTTTGTGGAGAGCTCCTGGATGTAGTTCCTCTTCATTTAATGTTGGGCTGGCGTTATGGCCACTGAATTTGTTACATGATGGAAACCCCTAGAATGGAGGAGCTGTATAGGAAATTTTCAGAGACTCTAAGAGAAAACACATCGCTAAGACATCAGATTGTCGATCTCGAATCTGCCTTGAGCTCGAAGGAGCAGGAGCTATTGATGGCCAAAGAATCTTCAGGCTTAGGTCAATACTTGAGGAGGATAGAGTCTTTGGAGCGAGAAAATAAGAGGTTGAAAGACATGGTAGAGAGGGCAGGGCAGGACAACTGTGAGGGTGAGAATATAAACCCAAACGCGATCATGAGTGAAGAGAAAACAGAGAATGGAACCCATAGAAGTGAGACTAAAGATCCTAGTGGAGAGCTGCGCCAATACCTTAAGACAATAAGAGAATATGTCACAGGCCTTACAGGGTACAAAATGGAATTCCGGGATGGGGAAATCATCTTCCATTCCCTCTATGCCTTTGACAGCGAGGATGTTTTTATCTTCCGATACAAGTCTGGAAACATGGAGCTCGTTAACAACGACTTTGCCGCTTCATGGGCCACAGAGGTACAAAACTACCTGATTGCAGGAAAGTCCATTCCTGCATTCCTTGCAGCGGTCACCCTAGAACTCTTCAACAAGAAGACATTTGGATAGAGCAATGTGTTTTAATTCAAATAAAAACTAACCGCTAAAGCATCCGGCCGCTTATTGGATACACTTGAGGAGATCCACTATTTTGTCGGGCTTCAAGTTGGAGAGGACGTTGTTTTGTTGGCTTATCTTCGGGAGGCTTTCCATAAACTCGTCCAGGAGCCTTGAGTTGTCTTTGATCTTCAGATCGAGGAAGTTGAATGAATTAAGGAAGCAATGGTATCTTCCAAGAATCCCTTCCATTTGTATATCCTTCTCCCTCTCGGGAAGAGCAGGAAGAATTGCATTGTCCTTAATCGAGCTCATCTTCTGGTCAACGAGCTCTCTGAACAGCTCCATGCTCCCGATCATAAACTCGTATTCTATCATCGAGTCCCACATTCGGGACGTCTTCTCAAGCCTCTTAAACAAGGCTCTTGCATTTTCCTCATCTCCTATCCGGAGCAGAAACAAGAAAAATTGCTCCTTTAGCAAGGTGGAGTCTGGATGCTTCAGGAGACCCGAGGAGAAGATATTGTAGGGTGTTGTTCGGCTTCCTGTTGCATAATACTCGACAAATGCGCAGTATATGAAGACATGAGGCCCTATTCCCTCGTTCCCAACTTCAATAAATAACTTCCTGAAAGATTCAAGACCCCTTTTCTTCAGGACATAGTTCAGATGGTTGATTCTTAACAGATCCGCTTCTCTTCCAGAAGACTTCCCGCCATCCTCATTCTCCTGGTAGAAATACTTCTTTTTCAGATCTCCATAAACTTCCTCCTCATCCATCACAAGCCCATAGTAAAGAGACAGAAACATCCCATCGCTCATCTCAATCCCTCTCTGAATCACCTTCTTGGCCTTCTCTTTCTGTCCAATGCCTATCAGATATTCACTATAGAAGAAGTAGGCTTCTTCTGCATAATAGAATGAATCTAGGATGTAATTGTATATAAAGTGCATCCTAGACTCATGAGTTCTTCCCCCAAGCTTCATTCCGTTTTCCATCTCCAGATCTATTAGCTTTGCTGCATTCTTCACACTCCAGGACCTTATCAGCGGTTGCATCTGCTGATACCTTTGGAACGAACTCTGGAAAATAGGAAGGGTGTCGCTTACTATCTTCTTTCCTGTAATTTTGTTGAGCTCTAGCTCAAAGTTCTCAAAGTCCTTCCATAGCTCGCTTAAGGAACTCATCGGCGTTTGCAGCGCTCTCATGTATCCATTTCTTATCTTTTCTATCCTTGTCTGTTCATCCTCGATCTTTCCAAGCTCTTCAATGTATTCCTTGTACAGTCCATACGAGTCCCAGTAATTCTCAAACTGCCCTAACGTAAACTCATACACCTCATACAACTTAAATTTCTTCTGGCTGACCTTTCGGACATACTCGATGTATAGCATCCAGAGCTCCAAGTTGTATGACTTCTTCAAACACTTTCCAAACAGACTTTCAAGACTCCTATAGTCCTTCGATGTATACAGATCTCTTGCATGCTCCATAATAGCTGAAGGACTGCCCATTTCAATCCCTGTTTTCTCTTCTACATCCATCCGGGGTCAAAATTCCCCCAATATAACTCTTGTTCTAAAATCATTGGAAAAGGAATCATTTATTCTTGTCCAAAAACTCCATGGCCTTTATCCCGCATATGGCCCCTGAAGCTGCAGCCGTCACAGCCTGGCGGTACTTCCTATCGCAGACATCTCCTGCTGCAAAAAGGCCCGGAACACTTGTGCATGCATCGTCCTTCACAACAATGTATCCGTTGGAATCCAGATCTACATTTACACTCTTCAGAAACGAAGTGTTCGGATCATGGCCTATTCCAAAGAACACCCCATCCATCGGAATTGTCTTTGTCTCCCCCGTCTCGGTATTGCGGACAACAATCTCTTTAATCTTGTTGGTTCCCTCTGCACGCTCCAGAACATAGGGCGTCATTATCTCGATGTTCTCTGTGTTCCTAGCCTTCTCAATCATGTCGCTCCTTGCACGGAACTCATTCCTTCGGTGGATGATGTAGACTTTCTTGGCAATGTTTGAAAGATAAAGCCCCTCCTCCATGGCTGCATCTCCCCCTCCAATCACACAGGTGACTTTGTTTACGTAAATAAACCCATCGCACACTGCACACGAGCTCACACCTTTCTGCCAGAACTCGTCATCTCCTGTTCCAGGTACAAAAAGCCGTCTTGCAGAGGCCCCTGTGGCAACAATAACAATCCTTGCCTTTTTCTCTCCTTTCTCACTGGAAACCACAAACCACTCATCCTCCTTCCTCACGTCCGAAACCGTCTCCTTGACAACCCGGAGTCCCCTCGAGACTGCATGTTCTTTCATCAGCTGGGTGAGTTCTGGCCCCTCAATTCCCCCCGGAAACCCTGGATAGTTATCTACCGACGTTGTTGTGGTAAGTTGGCCTCCTGGCCCATTATTTCCTATGTACCCTCCCTCAAAAAGCAAAGGGTTTCCCCTCATCGTATACAGTGCTGCATTATAGGCTGCTGGCCCACTTCCTATAATAACAATGTTTTCCATTGGGGCTTGATCCCGTCCGAACAATATCTCGCTAGGTCTTCCAATAATTAAGGCTAGATCATTCTACCTTCTTCAGCTCCTTGTCTGTTTCCCTAATCACCTTTGAGGATCTTTCATTAATCATCGATATGTCGTTCACAATGCTCTTATGCCTGGCTGCTTCCTTATTCTGCTTGTCTGCCTCTACCCTTATCTGCCTCACCGTGTTCAACACTCCAACCATCTCCCGGTCAGTTTTGTTCTGCCCTTTTATGTACTCTTCTCCTTCTTCAAACTCCACGTGCTTGGGTGCTTGCTCTACATCGTTTTCTTCCTCCTGCCCCCTATTCACAATATCATCAATTCCTCCTCTATCTCTTCGAAACCATCTCTTTATCGCACGCACACATGGAAGTTCACAGCTGAACACTCTTCCTTCTCGCTCAATGTCCTCCGTAATCTCAGATCCCCTCCTAGCATTCACATTTATCCCAACCGCCGCTCTCTTTGCATTCTCCAGGGTCTCTCCTTGCCTCATAAGCTCCTCCGTCGTAGCCTTCTGCTTGAGAGCAGACTCGTCAAGCTGCATTCGAACCCCTTTTGCCCTTTCGTAGTTCTGCTCCTCAATCCTTTCCGCCTCTTCAATCACATCCTGTGGGACCCCCTTCTTCTTCTTGCTCTTCACAGCCTTGTCCAGTGAGTAGACATCTCCTCCCATCGGATTGTTTATTTCTACGTTTTAAAAACTATCCTCCAAGGAAAACATCTTAGTAGCCTAAACATAGAAAACAAACATTTAATCTCATATCATCTTCTTCTTCTGGAAAAACTTCTTGAGAGAGTACAGCTCGTATGAATTCACTCCGAAGTAGATAACAAGAGTTATCACCGAAAACACCGTCACAAAGGAAAACATCCTTCTGTGCTCGTAGTCAACACTCCCCATCCTGTGTGCAAGATACTCAGACTCGTTGTTGAGCTCGTAAAGCAGGTTGTCCAGCTTTGTCATTGCTGCCATGGCTGGCTCCACACTGACTTTCTTTGCAACGTCCTTCTTGAATGTGTCAAACTGAGCACTAAAGTTGAGCTCTATCTCTCCAAACGTATGGGGCTGCGTCTCATCAATCACAATAGGCGTTAATACCATCGACAGCACCTTTGGCTCGCTTATATTGAATGAAAAATGTGTCTCTGTATCCACAGGAAGGTTTTCGTTTGACAGGTAGACACTTCCACTCTCAGATGCCAATACAGCCTTAAAGCTAGAGTTTTTACAATTGATCGGCTTGAGATATCCTTTGCAGATCTTGTTTTCAATCACATCAAACTCAACCTCGATGTTTCTTTTCCGCCTTACAGAGAAGATCTCTGCAAATATTATCCCAAGATATAGGACAAAAATCATGGGTTGTTTGGGTATAAGGTATTTCTATCTCATTCCTTATTTGGCAAGGGATACACAAGGTTCATATGATGATCTAGATTTCCCTGAACTCCCCCTCCCTAAGCCTTACTGCAGAGGGTCCTTCGACATGCTCTCCATCTCTCACCACTATACAGTGTTCTCCCTTGTACTTCATGGCTTCAAACCTAATCCCATCCTTGGACACATATCCATACACACTTTGTAGAATTCCACAGATCATTTCCAGGCATTCCTCTTCTTTTCCTGTGTACTGAAGTAACGGGAGCCTTCCCAGACTGATGATACCTTGATTGTGTGTGGGGTGGAACGAGAAGTAGTATGGAAAGAAAGACTCCGATATGTCTTTTGATACTTCTCCTAAACCCATAGGCTTTTCCGGCTTGCCAGTGAAGAAAAAGTCGTCTGCCATCCTTTCACCGATCCTCTTTCCAATTGTAAATAACCTCTCTCTACTTCCTTCTGGCCCATCCTTTATGACTTTGTTGATGAATGATGTATACATCAATCCAAAGACGTCATGGTTCACTTTCTGGCCATCCTCCCTAGACATTCAGGGCTAGTCTGCAAACCCTCAATACAAGATGCAGAGCAGTAGCCACAGGGCCGGAAAAGACGCCTCCCAGGAAGGTCTGGAGTCTGTGGAGTTTCTCGACCATCTTGCAGATATCCAAATGCATTGCACGGCAACCAGCCTTCCGGCTCTGTATGAGGTGGCTGTGAAAGGGATGATGAGCTATGCAGTAAGAATACCACCGGCGGCCCAAGGGACCGGAAGAGTTGAGCTACAGGAAGGATCTTCCGAAATGAACATGGTGGGACTTCTAACATATTTCATTGATATGATGTATGGAGAAGGCCTTGTTGTCTCCGAAGTCTCTGTACAGCTAAAGGATGGCCATCTTTTTTGCGACTATTCCGTGGCAAGCGGATCCGAATGCCAAAGCCTCTGTGAAATCAAAGCAGTTACTTTATGTGGTTTGAAAATATTTGAGGAGGAGAATGTGTTCCATCTCTACTGCATCTTCGATGTTTGACTTCCTCTTGGTCGGAGGACAAAAGAAGTAAATCCTTTATTAATGATTAAATAAACCCAAGGGAATTGGTCATTTCTTCTCCGGTTGCCCAGTCTCTGTAACCTCTATGAAGTTGTAGTTCAGGAGATCTGTAGGAGGCTTTGTCTCTTTCTCTTCCTTTTCAGGGCCCTGGAGTCTTTTCAAAGTTGTCTGGAATCGGCTCCTTAGAGACTCCAGATCCTTTGAGATCTTCTCCAAGGCTTTAAGTTCTTCTCCTATCTCTTTTATCTCGGCGCGGGTTAGAGAGATCTCTTTCTTCGGGCTCAACGGCTTGAGGAGAAATGATGCAGAGATCGGAGTTTCAAAAGTAAGCTCCGACTGGACTTCAGGCTTGGGGGCATCATCCGAGACTGTTTTTGACTCGTGATACCTCGAAGGAGTTGTTTTTTTCTCGACTTCGCTAAGAATACTCGGCAGCTTCTGCTCCGCATTTGAATTCAAGACCACATTTTTCTTCCCAGAGTCCTCCTCAACCACTATCACAGTCTTCTTCCTGGGGGCGGGATTCTCTAAATCTTTGGAATGAGATGGACTGTGCTTTCCCTTGGTAGGCAGGAGTCTGTGATGCTCATCCTTCACAGCAACCTCCAAAAACTTTTTGAAGATGTTATCTGTGGACTTGGTGGAAGAGTCCTCTGCACTGCAGAACACACTAAAGGTCAAGGTCATCGAGACCATCAGAAGCCTCATTATTTACAAACTGTCTTTTGAATTTGTAGCTTAATCAAAAACCTGTTTCAAAGGGTGGTTGGGATGTTGATATGTAAGCAGCAGTAGACCCACGATAATGGATTTTGTTCCTCCAGCCAAGCAGAGAGAGCTGAGGTCTGCACTCGAGAAGATAGAGTCCGGCATAGTGGTGGTCCACGGGCCTCCGGGGTCTTCGAAGACTTACAGCATAGAGAGGACGGCTCAGGGCTTGGGCTTGTCCATAGAATATATCGAAGATGTCGGGATGTACAAAAGTATGCTTCCCATCCGGAATGCCATATGTCTTACAGACATGGATGACTATGAATACTTGTCCAGGCATAGAAAAAGACTGGAGAAAATGAAGAACTTGGTGATTGAGACTAGAACATTGTTCTCCATTGGGAAAATACTTCCAAATGCCACCATTGTGAATTTCGGAAAGATCTCAAGTAGGAAGATCCAGAAGTTTTACAATCTAAATGAAAAGGAGGCTTTGAAGGTGGGAGAAAACCTCCATGCTGTTGGGTTCTGTAAGTATGGTATAAGAAGCGAGACTGTTTCAATATTCCATCTACTTGGAAAGCTGTTCCACTCGAAAGAAACAGATGTCCCAAAGGCTGCCGAAATGATCAATGTGTATGGGCGAGACCGATTTATTGGGTATTTGATCGAGAACTGCACATCTTTCATGTCTATTAAAGACATTCACAAGCTTATCGATGGAATTAGCCTTGAGGACATAGGAGAAATGCATCTGGAGCATTTGATTTGGGTGGTTTTGAGCTCGGTGAAGGTAGGCCCAAGGAGGTTTTTCAGCTTCCGGTCGTGGAAGGGGGCCGTCTTAAGTGAGCACACATGTAGCAACCTTTGCATGAACAGATAGTGTACATTTGTACCCAAGGCTGGGGAGGACTAAAGATAACTTGTAAACAATGATCCCTGGCAATGAGTTTTTCCAAGATCAAGCCGAAGTCTTACGAGGGAAAAATGGAAGAGTGGTTGTCTGCAATCAGCATGAAGGTTACTGACCTGAACAGTCTGGTTCTCGACTACCTGGTCCATGAGGGACTAGGGGATATTGCAGCAGAGTTTGCAAGAGATGTTGGATTGCCTTTTACTGCATCTTCATTTCTGAGCCATAGAACACGGATAAGAGATGCAATTGAAGAGGGAGATATCAAGAAAGCCATATCGAGGATAAACGATCTGAACACGGAGATAATTGATGGGAATATTGAGCTGTACTATTTCCTTATGGAACAGAAGGCATGCGAACAAGCACAAGCGATAAGAAGCGAAGGAGAAAGCACAGAGGAGCAGAAGGTGTTTATTCTCCTTGAAGAAGTTCTTGAGTTTATACGTTCTGAGCTGTCGCCGATTGTTGAGGAAAACCCAGCCTTGGGGCCGCACTTTGAGGACCTCCTTGAGTTTGTTGTGTTCAACTCTCGGAAAGAGGCTGTGGTGGAGAGGAGGAGGAGGTTGGCAGAGTATATCAACAGGAATATACTGGAGAAGTACGAAGTAACGGAAAACGAGCTAAAGAAAGTTCTTGACGGAATTGTAAAGGGCGAAAGATTGCTGACGGAGAAGTACAAGTTCCCCACATTCAACGAGTCATTTATATGACAAGAGCAAAAGAGACAAAAATAAAACATTACAATAAAAGACTAGTCGGAACACAGCAAAGCCTTGTTCCAAAGGGAACATCTGTCATCAATGAGATGAAGAAACATCTCGGCTTCCATTTGGCTTGCTGCCACAACTCGTCATTCTAGCCTCGTGGGAATGCAATTGCTGCATTGTGACGTTTCTGGTTAACTAAACAAATGATTCTGAATAGTATCCTCGACGCAAGGGCATAAGGCTCCTCGGAATTTATCTACCATTCAAAACGTTTTTCTACGTTCAGGAGGCAGAATTGCTTCTTCTGCAGTAACTCCTTAAAAGCGAAAAGAACACCCAGAGCATGGGTGGGGAACCGAAAAGTATATTGCCTCTTGAGAAGATATATGCCTTTTTGTCGAGGGCTGCCGATGTAGAGATATGGGAGAAGGACATCGGAGTTCGGCACAAAGGAAGAATCGTTGGTTTTGACGAGTACATGAACATTGTGATGGATAGTGGGGCAAAAAGATACTTGCTGAAGGGAGACTGCATATCTGTGGTGTTTGGAAAGGACATAGACTAGGATAAAATGTAAGCTGGCCGCAATGGGCCAGGTATTGTTCTACTTCTCGGGAACGAATAGTGCAAAGAGTTGCACCACCAGTAAAGAGAAGTGGGGGTGGGAGCAAAAATATTTCTTAAACCTTTCTGGAGATCTAGAACAGGGGTGCACGAGCAGAGAGTCCCTGTGGAAATACTGGCAGGTCTTAAGGACAGGCCAAGGAATAATAAAAAAAGTTTTGTCTCTGAGGGCTAATGTTTGTTTTACACCTTGTGGTTACTCTGTGTTCATCTCTGGAAAGAGCTCTGCTAGAGGAAGGAGATATAGAGCATGCAACCCGCCTCTGCGGAACAAGGGAGGGCCCACTGGACTATTTCTATAGCTACTTTGTCAAGAAGGTGTTTATGGGGAAGGAGAAGGAAGCCCTTCTTGACATTGTGGAGTCCGACAACTATGGAGATGCCCGAAACATTGTTCTAGGGATAATGTCCATGGAGTCTGGAAAAACAAATGAAAAGGCAAAGCTTGCAGCCGATCTGCTTTGGAATGTGGCAACAAAAGTTTCCAGAAGGTACCTGAAGAACCCTCATGTATTTCTTGCCACAGAGCCTTTTGGGAAGCTTGAGAGAAACTTCTTGTCGAAAAAGGGAGTGGAAAACATTGTCACAATGGTTTATTCGGGAGACGACATATCTGCAAGGCTTTTTCTATCGTTATTGGACAACCGCAAGATATACATTGGCGATTATGTCGATGTGATAGAGTTCCTTGCAAAAAACGATCATGCAAGAGCGTTTGGATATCTTGGGGAGATATATTATCATGGGATTCGGATGAAGAAGTCTTTGGACGAAGCCATGTACTTCTTCTCACGAGGGAGAGAGATGCAGGACACGGTGGGGGCCTGCGGTGTTGGAAAGGTACTTATGTCCGACGAGTACAGAGATTACAAGAACGCAAAGTCTGCACTGTTGCTGGCAAACAAGCTTGGGCAGTCTGGAGAGGCCGAGTATCTGATGTATCTACTTATGAGTAGGAGGCCTGAGTACATGCACAAGGCCAGCTCACACATGGACTCTGCCCTTATGTATGGATATCTTCCGGCTATATGCAGGGATGGAATGAACTACTACACAAGCGGACAGTATATGAATGCTTGCATTCGGTTCCACCCAATCATCGAGTACTCGGACATTGTATACAATCTGCGAAGAAGGGCAGAAGCCAGCTTTGTGTCTCGACGATACAGACAATGTGTGATTGCATTGCTCATGTGTGCAGAACTTGGATCTGTCTCCTCTATGAGAAATGCAGTATACGTCCTTCAAAGGCATTCGGTCTTCGAGAGGCAGAAGGAAATGCTCTTTGGGCTATACATGAGACTCCTTTCGAAAGAAGATAAGGATGCTATAAACAGGATAGGGGATGCCTATTTTTACGGAGAGGGGGTTGAGAAGTCGTACAACGATGCATTCGCATTCTACATGTCTGCAGCTCTTACTGGAGATCCCGAGGGATACTACAATGTCAGTTATATGTATGAGCACGGGTATGGAATAAAAAAGAGCCTGTTGCTTGCCTTCAAGTACATTCTGAAGATCAGTCCCGGGGACGACACATATTTGCTCCTCTTGTACACACACATCAGACTCTTTTCCAAGTTTGTTACCTATCTCCTGTTTAACAAGTACTCGATTTCTGTATGGATAGGAGCTCTGGTTGTAAGAAAGATGTACATATCCAAAAGGAGCACAAAGGATTTGAAGGACTGATATGTTTTACTAGTAATAAAATGTTAGAATTGTTTTGTGGTGGAGAAGGGAAGAGTAGACGACATTTGGCTGTCTATTGTCTGTTCTGGTTATCCCGGACAAAGGGTAGATCCAAATTATTTCGATTGCGTTTTCCATAAAGACTGGCACATTTAATAGAAGGGAAATAGCTAGTACCAGTAGATGTCGAATGGAAAGTCCTCATGGGTCTCTTGAGACTCCATTGTCTTTGGTGAATTCTTGAGGCATCTCTCTTCCAGAAAGCTAAGCTTTTTCTTTATCTTGATGTCTGTTGGGAAATCAATTCCTTTGTAAAGAATAGACACAGATGGAAGCAGGGTGTGATGGGAATGGATTTGAAGATATCCCACTATGTGAAAGCTTCTGTCTCCACATGTTGCAGAGTATGTTCTCTTCATCATTGGGCTGCTGCTTAAAAGCTGCTTGTACACTAGGAAAACGCCCTGAACTCTTGATGGAGTCCAGGACATGTCATCGGTCCATCTCTTGATTCTGCTCTCCTCCTCGCAATATACAAATATGCTTCCGTGTCCTATCTTCTTTCTCTCTCTCGACGTGAGTCTTCTCTGGATCCTAGGAATGAGGCCTCTCCTTGCAAGATCGATTAGAACAAGGCAGTCTGATTCGTTTTCAATTCTACCATGAAAGGATTCGATGTCTGCCATGGAGACACAAGCCCATGCTTTGATGAAGACATGGAGATAATCTTACTTAAAGGAATGGAGATGACCAGATGCAGGGGATTGGAAGGAGCAAAGAAAAATGGAGTTGCCAGGAATCGAACCCGGGCCAACTGCGTGCAAAGCAGGTATCATCCCACTAGACCACAACCCCTCGCTTGGTCCCCCTTTCAAAAACACATCCCTCCATCCGCCCCCCTTCTAAAACCACGGATTCCCTCAACCCACATAGGATGTCCAGGACACTCGCCCCCGACGAGCTGCACATCCACAAAACTATTGCATCGAAGGTGGATTTGGAAGAGATGGAAAGTGTTGAAAGCGTGTCCGTCATTGCAATGAACATGAGGCATTCAATTGTGAGTCCGGCGGTGTACAAGATAAAAGGAACCGACTCTCTCCTTATATTTGGAAGCATAGGGAATTCAATCGATCTTCGTGAACTTCAGAAGATGTATGAAAACAGTGTTAAAAGTTCGGAGACAGAGGAGCATGCTGGCCTTTATAGCAGTATCGGTGACAATCTGCAGAAGGAGGATGAGCAAAAACCTGAGGAAGTACCCGTCGAGGTTGACAACGAGCGGTTGTCCGAAGAGGATATAAAACTAATAAGCCAACAAGTTAAGGCTTCGAGGAGCGAAATAATTAGGGCACTAGCCGAGTCTGATTATGATGTTGTCAATGCAATGATAAAGCTAACTAAATAAAAGGACTTTATTCGATGGGTGTTCCCTCTATCTCTGGAACATATACACAATAGAAGTTTTCTTTCAGGGTATCATAGTAACCCCTTCTAATCGGATCCAGACTTGCAATCCTTTCAATTATGGCAATTCTTTCTGCCTCCTCCTCGGTGTAATCCAGAAGCACCAGTAGCGCCTCGTAGCATTCAGGCTCTTCCTCAAGAATCTCACGCACAAATCTGAAGCTTTCCTCTTCAGGGATGAACCTCATCTCCTCTCCATTTATTACCACCTTCCATCTCTCCGAGGTCCTTATAGACTCGTCTATCACAACAATCCGGGTGTGAAGTTCAAAGGCCATCGTCTTCCTGGTTCCACCGCTTTCAAAAGAAAGCTCACCACAAAAAGGCTTATCAAGTAGAATCTCCAGCCTATTCCTGAATCTCCTGATGTACATTCCATGTCTTATCCTTTTCCTCTCCCTCCATAGGTAGAAGTATTCCCAGGAGGTTGGATCCATAGGATCTGTGTAAATGATGGTAAGGGGATCCTCCGAGTCTGGGTGGTGATGGAGATAGGAGTAGTTAAACACATCTCTCCCAGTCTTGGTTTTGAGGAAGAACATCCTGTAGCTCCAACAATGGAAGTTCCTTGGATCCGAGTCAAGTAGAAGCTTTGTTAAGAAGTCTTCTCTGCCAAGATATTTTTCTCTTTGTTCTTTGAAGTTTTCCATCATAAACTTCCTATGGTACCAAGGCTGGTAGGACTTGGGATTTCCTTGGAGAGCGTTCTCACAGACCTTGAGCTGGCTTCGGAAGTCGGAGGGATTCAATAGAAGATAGTCCTTAAGCTTGTTCCAGGAGTAATAGTCATCTGCTACAACCTGGACAATTGCTTTGTGTTTTTCTATCGACTCCTCCTGCAGCCTCAGGTTCAATAAACCCTCCAATGCCTCCTTATCCTCAATGTATTCCCCTTCCTCGATGTTGTGGATAATCATTTAGGGCCCTGTTCCCAGTGGGAAATCCATTTGTCTGAAATGGTGTTGGGATTGAAGAAAGTACCCTTTCCAAGATGGATAGAATCGAAAGATTTCTGGGGAGAAGGCCAGTGAAAGGCCGACGCAAAGTCCAGTCCCAAGGCAAGGAGTTCTTGATAACAAAAGAGGATGTGAAGCTCATAAGGAGCTACAAGAAGAACATCTGCATGGATCCAGATGTCGATCTGTACAGGCCGTTGAACTTAAGTTTCAGCAGAAAGACGATGAACGAAGGAATGGAAACAAGGAAGAAAGTGGTGGTACCGAGAGCCGGAGGAAGGCCAAAGAAGAAAGAAAGAAGCATCCGAAAAGAAGTTAAGAAAAGGGATAAGAACGAGATTGTGGACATTTGGGAGGAAGAGGGTCTTGAGGAGCTGAATAGTTATGAACAGGACATGGTTGTAAAAGTGGGGGATGCATACACAGGGGCTGTGGAGGCACTAAGATATGGAAGAGAAGATCTTGAAGGCAGCCTAAGAAGGATATACTTGAGGCTCTACGAGCCACGAGATGGAAAGAATTACAGGCTAAGAGATCTTATCAAGGAACTGCCTAAGACAGAGACCCTAAGGCCGTTTCCAGAGGAGATTGGATTGTCGTTTAAGTTTTCGAAGGCAATCCGTGTTGGAATCAGCCAAGATTTCAAGAAATTTGGAGTGGGAGAAGGAAGGAAGCTTGGGATTTACGAGTTTAAAAACTTTGTAAAGCTGAGACATATCCTCTTTGATTCGGAGATACGGAAGATAATGTTTGCAAGGAATGGGTCTATATGTACGTTGCTAGCAGACAACACCATCTGTGTTGTGGACGATATTTATGGAGGAGATGCGGAGAGTTCCAAGGAATCTTTTATTTCCAAGGAATTTCCTGCGTGGAGCAGAAAGGAGGCAGAAGAGGGAGCAGAAAGGAATGCATTTGTGTGCACGGTGATAAATCCCGAGGGAAAGATAAATGATATAGAAGCCCATGAAGATGGTAAGCATATTATTGCAGTTTGTGGAAAGAAGATTATGGTCTACAATCTCAAGGAACGGATAGGGCGGGAAGTTCTAAGGGTCCGGGGAGCCACGCCTTTGAAGGCCAAGTTCCATAGATCTTTGAGCACAATGATTGTTTCCACAACAAATTCGTTAATCATCTACGATCTTGTGTCCAAGGAAATAGTAAGGGAAGCCAAGGAGTTTTCGTTTGTCCTTGACTTCTTTAGTGTTGAGGAAAGTAAGGTGGCTGTGGTAAACAACACGAACAAAATAATTCTGTACGATTGGTTGAAAAACAATGTGCAAAGAACCATGCTTCAAGAGGATGTGGGGATGGAGGTGGTGCAGCATGGAAGACTCAATCTGATGTGTGTTGCATATCCCACGGAGATGGTTGTTTTCTACAACGACGTAACAAACGACCTGGTGGTTCCTGTAAAAAGGATTCCGGGAAGGTATAGAGATATTTCATTCCATCCGCATCTTCCCTGGCTGTATGGAGTCGGAGGAAATAGACTGGATGTGTTTACGTGAGATCTTAGGTGGATGGGGTGTGGAAAGCCTAATTCAGCCAGATTGAATTATAAGTAAATTTTTTAACCCAGGAAGTCAGATATGCAGATCTTTGTGAAGACACTAACAGGAAAGACTATAACGCTGGAGGTAGAGCCGGGAGATACAATTGAGAATGTTAAGGCGAAGATCCAAGACAAAGAAGGAATTCCGCCAGATCAACAGAGATTGATCTTTGCAGGAAAGCAGCTTGAGGACGGAAGGACTCTATCTGATTACAACATACAAAAGGAGTCTACACTCCACCTGGTGCTAAGGCTCCGGGGAGGAGGGGCAAAGAAGAAGAAGAAAGACTTTTCAACACCAAAGAAAGTTAAGGCGCCCCACGCAAAGAAAGGGCTGTCATGGCTGGACAACTTCACGGTCACGGAAGATAAGGTTAAGGTGAATCTGGTCTCGTGCGAGGCATGTGGGGTGGAGATTTTCTGCAGAAAGACGGCGTCTGGCCTCAAGTGTGGAAAGTGCAACCGGGTTTACAGCGAGGGCGTTACTAGCAATTAAATGAGTCTTTAATTTTATTATGTTGCTTTGAATTTCCTTGGGAGTATAGGGATGGAAGATCTCTTGCCTGACGGAAATCTTTTGAAACGGCATACCCTACAATGGCCCGAATTAAGATAAGCGGAGTTCCTATCGAGATGCCGTTTGAGCCGTATCCTGCACAGATAGTGACGATGACAAAGCTTATATCCTGTCTGACGACAGGAACAAGCGGACTGGTGGAGAGTCCGACAGGGACTGGAAAGAGCCTATCTATAATATGTGCAGTGCTGGGATATAGTGAATACTTGAAGAGAGGAGCCAAGAGCATCAATGTCAAGAGAAGAGAGGGGGGGAGTTTGAAAGGAGAAGAGGCAAAGGAGGAGAAGCTGAAGATAATTATATGCTCGCGCACACACAAACAACTTGACCAATTGATTGAACAGCTTAGGAAAACACATTACAGGCCAAGGATCTCGATCTTGGCAAGCAGGAGCCAGTATTGCATATCACCTAAGCTAGGGGATGTTACAGACAAGAACACAGGGTGCAACGAGTTGGTGAAGAGCGGGAGTTGTGCTTACTTCACGGGAAAGGACAGGCTTGCAAAAAGGGTTGGAGACAGGATATTTGACATAGAGGAGTTGAAAGGGGAGGGCCGGAGATGTGGTGGATGTCCCTACTATGCATCGAGGATCTTGAATGAGGATGCAGAAGTCATATTTGCTCCATATAACTATCTGATTGATTCCAGAATAAGAGAAAACACAGGAATTAGCCTTGAAAACAGTGTGGTCATTGTTGATGAGGCACACAACATAGAGGATGTATGCCGATCGTCGGGCTCGATTGAACTTAGCTCGCGGACTATCGAGATAATCCAAAACGAGATTCTAGGGGCAATAAGGAGGAGCGGGATGCTAGGAGAGATCAAACTGGACTTTGTCAACCTCATGGACTTCTTTAGGAAGCTTCGAGAGGGGGCAGAGAGCACAGACGGGTTTGACAGAACTACGTTTGGAGGGAAGCTCCGGATAAGGAAGGGGAAAGAGATAAAGGATGAGCTTGAGAAGATGGGAATAACTAAGGAGTTTGTTTTAAAGATCAAGAATTCAATATACGCAATCCAGAAGAATGAAGATGCAAAGGACCTGCTGAACATGAGTACATTCCATGTACTGGAAGGTCTTGACTCTGTCTTGTCTGCAATTCATTTCAGCGGATGCGATGCGTATTCGTTTGTGTTCCAGAAGACGAACGACGAAAACATAAGAAACTCGAGGTTATCCAAGTTTTCCTACAACTTCTGGCTACTGGATGCGGGTTATACATTCCGATCGTTTGTTGGGAAGGTGCGGTCGATTGTACTTCTGTCTGGAACCTTGACACCTTTTTCTTCGTTTTCATCGGAGTTGGGGCATGACTTTACTCATTCGATTGTTGCACCTCATCTAGTTACGGAAAAACAAGTATTTGCTTCGTGTGTTCGGAAAGGACATCTGCTGAAGGACCTGACTGGAACCTATGGGGTTTCGGACACACCCCAATATCTGGACCAACTTTCTAGAATCATAGTGGATGTGTCGAACAAGGTCAAGAGCCATGGGGGAACATTGGTGTTTGTACCGAGCTATAGCTTCTTGGAGAATCTGCAGAAGAGAATGGGAGGAGAGAGTTCGGGGTTGTTGATTGAACCAAAAAGCGGGGGAGGAAATGAGTTTGAAAAGGTGATGAAAAGATATAAGAACAGAATAGCAACAAAGCAGAGGGCAATATTCATGTGTGTCTACCGTGGGAAGGCGAGTGAAGGAATCGACTTCAAGGATTCCTTTGCAAGGGCTGTTATTGCTGTTGGAATTCCCTATCCAAGCCTACATGATCCGCAGGTAGAACTTAAGAAGGAGTTTAACGACAGATACAAAAGCTTCAATGGACGGCTCTGGTACGAGGCACAGGCGTTTCGAGCAGTGAATCAAGCACTTGGACGAGCAATCCGTCACAAAGACGATTGGGGGATTGTGATGCTCCTTGACAGCAGATATTCGGAGAAGAGAGTACAGACTCACCTGTCCAAGTGGGTTACAGACAACATCAGGGTTCATGACTCGTATGACACCTGTGCCTCTGAGCTCTCTGGATTTCTGTCTTTGATTAAATAGAAGGGACTTAAAATAAAATTGTGAAAGCAATGCTTCAACGTTTTTCTAGATTTTTCCGGCTGTTTCGAGGAAAACGAAAATATTTAACGGGAAATTCCCTAGCAATTAATGTCGTCCAAACAAGAATCATTGGCAGAAGGCACTATAAAAGACAAGCATCCTGAGACACATGGATTTGAGGTTGATGTGAATCAGATGATGGACACTATGATCAAGAGTGTGTACTCATCCAAGGAGCTCTTTCTTAGGGAGCTAGTATCGAACTCCAGCGATGCATGCGACAAGCTTAAGTCGCTGTACTATGAACTGAATTCCAAGGGATGTGATCTGGACCCGGTTACATCTCTAAGTATTGAGATAATCCCGAACAAGACGAACAGAACTTTGACCATCAAGGATAATGGGATTGGGATGACGAAGCCGGACCTGATGAACTTCATCGGAACTATTGCAAGCAGTGGAACCAAGAAGTTCCGAGAGGAGATGAAGGAGAAGGGGAATGCAGCAGATGCCTCCAACCTGATTGGGCAGTTTGGTCTTGGATTCTACTCGTCATACCTTGTAGCGGACAGGGTTGATGTGATAACAAAGCATCCTGAGGATGAGGCTCTTGTGTGGACATCTACTGGAAGAGATGTGTACACTATAGAAGAGTACACTGGAGATTCTTTCTCTCACGGAACATCATTGGTGCTTTATATCAAGGAGGGAGAGGAGGAATTCTTGGATCCAAAGAAGATTAGTGAGATAGTGAAGAAGTACTCTCTGTTTGTGTTCTATCCAATATACACATATGTTGAGAAGGAGATTGAAGAGCCTTCTGAGGAAAAGGAAGAAGAGAAGGAAGAAAAAGCAACCGAGGAAACAACTGAGCCAAAGGTTGAAGAGGCGAAGGAGAAGAGACTGAAGAAGGTTACACAGAGGGAGCAGATCAATGCGGAAAAGCCCTTGTGGAAGAGAAATATAAAGGAAGTTCCCGAGGAGGAGCTGAAGAGCTTCTACAAGACGATTTCCGAGGACTGGGATGACTTCCTTGCAGTTGACTTCTGGCGTGTTGAGGGGCTTCTATCGATTGATCTTCTTATGTTTATTCCGAAGAGAGCCAGGTTTGATATGTTCAACAGGAACAAGAAGAACAACAACATTAAGCTGTACTGTAAGAATGTGTTTGTGACTGATGATTTCGGAGATTCTATTCCCGAGTGGATGTCGTTTGTCAGTGGTGTGATTGCTTCTGATGACATTCCTATGAACATCAGCCGAGAGATGATCCAGGGAACAAATGTAATGAAGCTTGTCAAGAAGATTCTTCCACAGAAGATTTTCGAGATGATTGGAAAGCTTGCCATGGATGCTGAGAAGTACAAGACTTTCTACAAGGAGTTTGGAAACTGCATCAAGATGGCGATTGGAGAGGCAAGCGAAGGACAGCAGGATGGCTATGCAAAATGTCTTCGATATTTCACTACAAAGAGTGGAGAGGAGATGGTGTCTTTGGATACATATGTGGAGAGGATGGCAGCCAACCAGAAGCAGATCTATGTGATAACAGGGCTTGGAAAGGATCAGGTCAAATCAAATCCAGCTCTAGATGCATTCCAGAAGTACGAGGTAATCTACATGTACGATGTGATGGATGAGGTCATGCTCCGAGGACTCAAGAAATACAAGGGACATGCTATTCAGAGGATAACAAGTGAAGGAGTAGAGCTTCCCGAAGATGAAGAAAACAATGAGGAAATTGTCAAGTCGTTCGAGGAGTTCTGCAAGAAGGCAAAGGATCTTCTCTCAAACAAGGTGGAGAAAGTTACGGTGAATCCAAGGCTTGTGAGTGCACCGGCAGTTATCTCGACAACTAAGTACTCTCTATCTGGAACGATGGAAAACATAATGAGGTCCCAGCCTGTCACAGAGGCAAATCCGTTTGCAGCAATGACTGCAGTCAGCAAGAAGATCTTCGAGATGAATCCCCACCATAAACTTGTCAAGAATCTTAAGACACTTTTCGATAACAACGAAATTGAAAAGATGGGTAAGATGCTGGAGCTGTTCTTTGAGACGGTTCTTATCCACAATGGATTCATGCTGTCAGATCCTAAGACATTCTGTGCCAATGTCTTTGAGTTCCTTTGCTCCTCGGAAGTAAAGAGTGAGGAGCTTGTGGAAGAGGTCCAGTGAATCTTATTAAATAATTCTCTCAACACTTGTAACATTTGTGTTTCTGTTAATTGGCCCAAAAAAATTGCTGGGGATGGAAGTGAAATTATGCGAAGATGCTTGGAAAGTTCTAAGTGCAATAAAGCAGACAATTGTTTCGGAAAGAATGAAAGATACGCCAGAGAACGTTACGGAGGCAGCGATTGAGACGTTTCTGGAGATGAGCCGAAGAAATGATCATTCGAAAGTGGAAGAGCTTCTTCAGATAATCCTGGCACATAAGAACTACATCACCGAGAAAAGTAGCACAGAGCTTGTGAGAAGAATTCTTCTCTCCTTTAAGGAGAAGAAGGTTTATCTCCAAGGACTCCGGGTAATCAAGCATTTTGTGAAAAGCGGGAGATATCACATGTCGCACTTCAAGATTCTTGTCGAAGACTGTTTTGGCCGGAAGTCACTAAAAACAAGGTCTGTGGAACTTGCAAAGAGATATCTGGAACTTGAGGAGTTTAGAAAGGAACTTCTAGGGTATATATCGAAGCTCGAAGGAACCGACTTGATAAGACACATCAACTGTTTCTTCGACTCTATTGCAGATGGAATTGATGTTGTAGAGAAACTTGACTCATTTGTGAATCCGGATGTTTTTGAGGGGATGGAGACCGGCGAGGCAAGGGCACTGTACTCTGAATGCTGTGATATGCTCTACAAATATACGTTGATGGAGATGGAGGTTGGAATTCCGGATGAAAAGGTTTTTGAATACATAGTGAAGAAGCTTCAGATCCTGTTTGAAATTCCTTTTCCCAGGGGAGGAAAGCTCTTGGAAACTCTTTCATTACTTGCAGAAAAGGACTTGGTTGTTTCTTTAAGGAGCAAGCAGCATTTGATGAGATGGGATAAGAATCTGAAGAGAGAGGTTGTGAAAGAGCTCTGTGAGTCGAATTTGAAGAATGACAAAATATACGAGTTTATAAGATCTGTAAGGCACGTCCTTGTTCCCGAGTTCATGGATCTAATAAGACACATGGCAAGGAACTTTGTGGAAGGAGATGATAAATATCGATTTGCCCTTGGGGCAGTAGCAGGAATTATAGGAATCGAGGATCTATTTCTGGTACTAGAAGACATGGAAATAGAGATTAGGACATGGGCACCAATTATCCGATGTTCTTCAAATGGAGACATATCGTTTTTCATAAAGATTCTCCGGGATGTGGAGGAAAGAAAAGGTGTGGAATCTATCGACAGAACGATTCTCTTGAACTGTATTCCTGCATTCTGCAACTATGCAACTGATCGTACGGGTTCAATTGAAGGTCTCCTACAAATCATGAAAGCCAACCTAGGGAATTCAAACGTTTTTAATTCGATATGCACAGGACTAAGGAAGTTGATGCATTCCCACGAGAACAACATCAAGAACAACTTGATTCTTCGAAACCCGATTCCTCCTGGGGAGTCGGAGAGAATCCTCCACTCAATCAGGAAATCCGAGATTGCTTTGGACATTCTTTCTGTAGGAATTGGGAAGTGCTCTGATGAGCTGGATCAGACATTGTTCAAGCTACTGGAAACCGATGATTTTGGACTATCGAGCAGGATATTCCAGTATATCCTACTCTACCCTCAGATTGAGTCTGTTACAGTCGGAAAGTGGAATCTATCGGGGATTTCGGATGTAATGAAGGTTGCAAGGTACTTTGTTCCAAAGATGAACAGCGATTTCGAGATTTATAGCAAGCTCATGGAGTTCTGTCTTTCTGAGGACGGGGGAGCACAGAAAAGAGCATATCAGCTTCTGTATCACATGAAGAAGCATCAAAAGATTGATCTGTGCATCTGCGACACTTTATTTTCCCACGAAACCGATGAGAAGACAAAGGACTGCTCCCAGAAATGGAGGATTGCTCTTATTTATTCTGTTTATACAGTCGGATGCAAATGCTTTTCCGAGCGGAAGAAAGAATATCTCAACAGGATGCTTCCAGTGCTTGTGCTAGGTCTGAAGACAGGAAATGCTAAGGCCCGAAAGGTTTGTCAGGAAAATTTGGATGAACTTGTATCTGGGTTTTCATCTTCCGAATTTGATTTCTATTGTAGGCTAATGGTTGCAGGAACAGCATCGGAAAATGTAGTTCTCAGATGCGGAATACTGGAAGCCTCTGTTGCACTAATAGAGAGCCACAGAGAAAGACTTTCCCAAGAATTCATCCAGTCGATGTACGATGGCTGCCTCTCGACAAGTAGACTAGGAAGGGAAACTGTTCCCCATGTTCTCAAATTCTTAAATATCCTTGTTAGCACCTATGCAGTGAACCCTCAGGGATGTCTGGAAGTTTTAGAGCTATATGCAGACAAATTCAAAAGAAGATATGCAGAAGACGTCAAGTCGATTGTATCAAGACTGATTAGAAGAGATGTGGAGATCCCCAAGAGTCTCCGCCTTTTCTTGAAGGAAAGAAAAAGAAAAGGTCCTCGGGCAACCTTACAGATAACGAAGAAAAACAACGTGATGATCACACAAGGAAAACAGAAACAGGAGAGCATTCCGTTTTCGGGCCACAGAAGAACCGTCAAGCGGAACAAGAGACACAAGAAATAAAACTTCATTTAATTTTGGTCTTCAAAATAATTCTATCTGTTTTTTTATTTATCTCTTCTGTAGCACTAGAAGTCATGCATAGGACCGTACAAAGTTAAGCTCCTCGTCAAAACTGTCATCGTAGTCCATTGTTGGAGCCTCCATTCCGATGCTTTCGCAGAAATTAGTAAAAAGGATCTTTAGGTCGAGAGATTCCTCCTTGTTTACGCAATCTCTGAGTACAGAGAAGTATTGTCTTTGCATGTCTATAGGCATTTTTTGGAGGAGCATCATGGCAATCTTGCATCTAAAGGATGCACCCACCTTAAGCTGAAGTGCCCTGTCAACAAGATAAGCCCAAGTATCTTTATTCTCAAGCAGCATTAGGCTTGAGTACAGCCTTGCAAGGGAAATAGACTTGTGTTTCGAATATCCATACATAATCTCTATGCTAGGAATTATTACATTCATCACTTGCATGCTTATCTCGGCCTTGTGCACAACAGAAGCCAGAAAGTCAATATCCTCAAAAACCCATGGATGCAGAAAGATCGACATAAGTGTGGCCTTGCTCTTGATAAGACAAGACCAAAGTAAAGAGTCTCCGTCAAAGGCCTCCTTCCTGAAAAAGTATCTGAAAAATCCTGTGTAATCTGCACAGAGTATAGATTGGGAAGGGGAAAAGAGTCTTGAGAGACAGTTGTTTACATGTACAAAGTCTACCTTCGAAGCCCTGTAGTTCCTGATTCTTTCTATAAACTCGCGAATTCTATGGCTGGTTGCCTCGTTCAAGAGGAAATACCGTCCTATCCCATTGAGACACATACAGTATGCTTCAATGTTCTTGGTCTTGAAGAGATAATCCAAGAGCCCAAACATCTCATCAGAAGAAACCTCTCTGAACTTACACATCTCGGATATAAGTAAGCAATTCGATATCACATCGTTGTGGCTTGGGTTCTTTGCCTGATATATTTCTCTGAAGAGAACTGCTACAACTTTTCTTGCAACAGCTCCCATGTTTTTAAGTATCCTGGCTATGCTTGATATGAAGTTAGGGTTGAGCTTCAACTGCATAAGCATGAAAACAACCTCCTTCTGGTTGTTTACGTTTTTTATGGATTTCGATAATGCATCCAACTTCTCTGTATCTCCAGAATGCATAATGATGTAGTCCCTTATCTCTTTTATGTCCAGGCCCCCATCATAACATTCCAATGAGGCAGTACGCCCGGTGTAATAGTGGAACTCCTCGTTCTCCACATCGGCCATCTTCTTAAGGTCATATCCCTCGTCACACACCTTTATCCCAAGAGACCTTGCTACAACATCAAGCCTCCCACCCCTGTCTTCACTAGTCTGCGGATCTATCCTTTTAGCTTGGTTAGAAACCTCTGCTTGGCTTAGTTCATCCTTATAGTTTTCCATTATGTATCCGAGAAAGAGGATTCTAGGTTTTTCACTTATCTTGTTGCATAGATCTCTGATCAGATTTTCTCTTCTCTCCTCTTTATCCACAGTCCTTCTTGATAGAGTCTGCAAATCAAAGAAAAAGGCTGCAAGCCAGTACTTCTCCGTCTCCTCAATTCCATGATTTATGATCTTTCCTAATTCCGACATCAACAGCCTCATGAAGTCGCTGCATGATGTAAGTGCAGACGTCACCCGGACAACACTCTTGATGTCGTCTGTAGATTGTACTTTTGATAGAAGTATCGAAGTAACTATCTCGGAGGTGAACTTGCTCATGTCTTCCTTCTCAAGATCACTTTTAATCGCTTCTACACTTTCTGAATTTATGTTTTTAAGCTTCTTTATGATCGAAAGCTTTTTTCTAAGCGGAGAGTTTCTCTTTCTTTCTGTATAAGGAACTCCCAAAGCCATAAGCTCATCTTCCCAATTCATAGAAGGGACTTTCCTCCCAAAGGATTTATTACACTGGGGGCTTCTTGAAGCCCTTGGACATGAACCGGAACTATTTGAAGAACCTCTATCTCCAGCAACTCGAATCGGAACGGTATTCAGATGTATTCCGAGAAAGCCTACATAGCCTAGTGTCTGTGGAAATAATGAATACCGTTATACTCTTGGCTGTTAAGGATGATGACGAGGATGCACTCATCGATCTTCTGGAGTTGTTTCTGCAACATCTAGAGACCAACCCTATATTTTATGAGAAACTTGGGAAATCAAACCTTCACTTACTTCTGTTGGAACGTCCACTGAGGATGCAGAGCTACACAAAACTAAAGTTGGTTTATGATAAGGTTAGGCCCAAGAGAACTCCACTAAGCTTTGAGCATACAGAGTTTCTCGCCAAAAACTTTTACAATTACTGTCTCTACAAGTACGCATACAATGATTATCAGTTCGACCTTGAGATGTCTGTGGAAGGATTTGGGCCGGTGGAGATGAATTTGTTCAAAGATCTCCTTAGGAAGATATGCATTGAAAATAGAGAGAACGAGCATCTTGCTAATTATGTAAGAACTCTTCCCATGGACACAAATGTCTTTCTTGCTATAGTGGAGCCGGATTTCAAGGTAGATGCATCGAAGCTTGAGCCAGAGGATTTATTTGTTGTGTACCCAGCTCAGGTCCAAAGATGTAACCTGGGCTTGTTTACAAAGCCATTTCTTTGCAGTTTGAACTCTAAGGAGGGTCTTTGCAGAGTTTGTGGGAGAAGAGTTCTAGAATACCACTTTGAGGAGATCGACCACGAAGAATACCTGGAAAGTATAGCAGGAAATATCAAAGAGATATGTTTTGCTGTAAGTCATTGGGAAAAGGCCAGAACGCCTCGGGTGCTTATAACTGTTCTCAGGTCTCTGTTCAAAGGATGCGAAGATCTCGAATGTTACAAATCCCTAAAGTACTTTCCGGTGAAAGAGGAGAGCGATATGGAGGATATAGTTGTAAAGTTCTTAAGATATGCAGCAAGCACATTGAACATTGAGAACATCCAGGTATCCCTCAGGATGCTTCCGTTTACAAGCCACACCCCAAAAGTAATATTTTCATACTTTGTTATTTTATTTGAAAGCTTACGAAAGTATCCGGAAAATGGGTTTTTGAGAAGCATAGTAAAGAATGTGGTGATGAGGAACAAGGACAAATTTATGAAGATAAGAGCAATGATATTTGAATACTATATGAAGGGGGACGAAGAGTCGGTGTTTGACATTCCAAATAGAGAAAAAGAGGGAAGAGGCTTGAAGGATGGAAAGGACTTTAATACAAGCATAAGCGATAGACTTGAACGTAGACTTGCACCGTTGTCTGAATTCTTCAGCGAGGAGTGCGGATCTTTCGTTAAAAACAACATGTTCTACATATATCCTATCATATACTCACTATGGCTTCCTCGTTGCACCCAGGATCTTGGATTTACTCAGGCAAATAACCACTTTCTAGTAATATCGCTTTGCCTCCAAGGGGAAGAAAGCAGAATAGATGAAATAGGATATGAAAAAGACGAACTGTATGGAATGGGGGTTGATGTAATTGTTCCCCTTTTGTGCAACGGATACTTCAAATATGATATTCTGGAAAGGTTTTTTGGGGATACTCGGAAGTATATAAGCATCCACTTACCGAAGTTTTTATTTGCATTGAAGAAGGTGTATGTAGAAAGACCTTTTGAGTTTCGAGTATGTGTGTTTAAGGTTCTGAAGTGCATTATAGATGCAATTTCCAACAATGTGAAGATGTTGTTCAACTATCTATTTCCGTTTGTGGAGTTCTTTATGAGAAAACATGAAGACTCGTGTGGAATGGATTGCAAGATGATTTTCATTGAGTATTATTCATCATTTTTTGAGAACGATTGTTTTATCCGAAACATGCCCAGGATATTTCCATATTTAGACGTTGAAAAGATAGTGAAGTGGAGCAATGCAAAGAATGAGGAAGACTACCTGGATATAGTCCTTGGGCTTTTGAACACCAAAGGGCACTTTTCACAGGAAATGGCCACCTCTAAAGCGGTGGAACTTCTTACAAGGGTCTTTGGAAGTATAGATAAAGATGGAGTGCTTGATGAAGAAAGCTTTGTGGAAAACATTCTTACCCGATTCTTTAAGAGCCCTACGTTTAGAATTAAGGTTGGGAGTATCTACAGGCGACTTAGAGAAGTGGAAAGTGATGCAGCATTCCTGATTGGATGTATATCACAGGAGTTTCTGGAACCAGAGATCCATCCCTCTGTCTGTGACGTTCCTATTATGGGGAATACTCCGGAAGCAATTGCTAGAGTGATGATTGAAAGGTATCTACTCGAGATAGATCCTGGAAAACAAGATCTTCATTTTTTCATAATACAGGAGACTTTAAAGTTTATTAGAGGGCCTTTAAGCGACAGTATAGAAGAAGTTGTTGATCAGTTTAGAAACACACAGTATCTCTATGAGCACGTGCCTACATATTCAACGGAGAAGTTGTATGAAAAGACACATACATTTAAGAAGTTCCTCGAAAGGCTGTATCGGCACACCCTCTCAGAAGTTGAAAGGAGGAACAAAAAGGAATATTTTAATCTTCTTAGATATGGAGATCTGCTTGGGATTCCGTTTCTGGAGTTCCATTGCTTGTCCCTGTGCAGGCTACTTCTAGATTCGGGAGACAGCAGAGTTGCAGGGATTGCACAGAATATATCCCAGGACCTCGAGGGGGGAGTGGACAGAAAGATTGCAAGGTTTGTTCTGAAACTACACAGGTTCACAGAAGGGAAGTATGTTCCAGATCTTGTGATACTCAGGATATCTATTTTTCTCAAGGACCATTATAACGCTATCCAGGTTTTAGAGAAGATGATAAGAAAAGAAAGGAGAAGGGATCTCTTTGATCTCCTCCAATACAACTACTATTGGATCAAGGACTATGACAAAGTACTAGGAATAAACTCGGTATTTGGGAGACCAACACTGATCAACCTTTTTTTTGGGTTCTGTGTTGATAAAAACTTCGCAGCAGCAAGGAGATGCTTAGAGCCAGAAGTGATTCTTGGGAATTGTACCACGGAGTCGGATGACGAAGAAAAAGGGAAGGACTTAATAATTCAATCACTGGACATGAAAGACCGTCTATCGGAAATCATAGATGAATGCCAAGACGATGAAGTTATGAAGTTTATGAATGACTGCAAGAGAATTGAGAAGGATTTTTCCGAATGGAGAAACTTGGAGAGTAGAAATGAGGTCTTCAAGCATTTTGTAAAAGACTGCGAGCTTGTATCTAAGAGCAAGAATCTACTCAAGACCCTTGATCTGATAGCTGGGAGAAGAGAGATGGCTGGGGACGATAGAATGCTTCTGGAATGCCATGAAAGTCTTATGGCAGGAATTAGATCCATGGTGGATGGAAGAGATGATATATCATGTGATGAAATGTTTGAGTCTCTTTTCACTTTATCAAAGGAGAATGTCGGGGAAAGCCAGGATGTAGGTCTTGAGCACAGAGAATACTTTGACGACTTTGCATCTGTGGATATGGTCCGAGCTGAAAGGCATCATGAAAGGATAGGATACATAGATAGAAGTAGGTTCGGAAAGACAAGCGGATACAATTCTTTGGATGAATTTGAAAGAGATTTAAAGCTTGGGATGATAAGAAGCTACATGGGAGATAATGATTTTAATAAGTGCATTCAGGAGATTGGAAGCATGCTTCTCAAGAGGGAGTGGAGCGCACTATATGAACTGGCCAAGCTAAATGTTCTGCAGGGGAAAGTAGGAGATGCAAAGACGTCCCTCAAAAAGGTTTTGGAATTGTTTCCTAGAACATCGATATTCCATAAAAGAGCTTTGGCCAGATATGCAGAGATAGTGGATACAAAGACAGGATATGACTCTGCATTGTCAGTCTTAAAGGATTCTGGAAAGCTTTTTCTTCTTGGAGCCAAGAAATTTGAAAGCACAGAGCCGGTGAAGGCAATGGAGATGTATATTAACAGTGTAGTGCATGATAGTCAATATTCAGACGAAGCAATTCCTAGAATATTTCATCTGTTTTCCGAGATGACACCTCCAGGAGACATCAATGCGAGTAGTGCCTTGATTAAGAAGTTCTTAGAATCTTGCCTTTCTCTGCTTCCCCCATACTACAATCAAATTCTCTCCCGATTAAGTCATCCAAACCGAGATGTGGTGGATGTAGTGTCCAATATTGTGCTTGAGCTCATGGAAAATTATCCTAGCAAGACTTTTTGGAGATCTCTGATCATGATGAACTCCCAGGTTCCAAACACTAGGAAGCGCATGGAGGGAATCATCTCCGAGCTTACATTGGATAACAAGGTGGTTCTGTCCAACATCAGGAAGATATCAGAGGGCCTTATGGAAATATCAAAATCTAAAAAGAACGAGCTAGCCATGGAGGAAGACTTTCCGGGATTCATTAGAATGTTTCCAACTAATGTCATGGTTCCTAATACCGGGATATTGATAAACGGAGTGAAAAATGAGATAAAGGTCTTCAATTCTTTGCAGAGGCCTAAAAGAATATGCTTTGTAGGAAATGATGGAAAAAACTACTACTGGCTTTGCAAGAACCAGGACGATTTAAGGAAAGATAGCAGGTTTATGGACCTGAACCTCATAATTAACAGCATACTTAGGAAGCAAAGCAACAAAAAGTACATTCGAACCTATGCTGTGATACCGTTTAGCCATGAGAGCGGAATCATAGAATGGATCAAGGGGTTGAACTCCCTTAAGGTTATATGCGATTCCTACTATTCAAAAGATGGGATATCAATCTCGGAGACTGCATGTCGGTTTGTACAAAACAAGAAGATAGGGCCTCGAGAATGGCATAAGGTTATCTCTAAGTTCGGCCCGAAGTTTCATCTTTGGTTCAGCGACAACTTTCCGCATCCATATAGTTGGCTATCAGCTAGAAACAATTACACCAGGACGTATGCAATAATGAACATTGTGGGATGGTTTATGGGTCTGGGAGACAGGCATGCAGAGAACATTCTTTTTGATTCCAACACTGGCGACACAGTCCATGTCGATTTGAACTGTATCTTTGGAAAGGGAAGAGAGCTGCAAGTTCCAGAAAAGGTTCCATATAGACTCACTCAAAATATAGTGGATGCATTTGGAGTACTTGGGCTTGAAGGTTCATACAATGCCTCTCTTTGTTCAACGCTGGACCTATTTCTCAAGAACAAAAACATCCTTGTGTCTAACCTCCTATCTTTTGTTTATGATCCTTTATTTGAATGGAGAAGGAAATCCACCACCACTCCAAAGAGGATCATCGAAGATCTGTGCCGCAAGATGGATGATTTGGATGTCAGCAGTAAGTGTGATGTTTTGAATGAGGAGGCAACAAAAAGTGAGAACCTGTGTATGATGTACATAGGATGGCTTCCATTCATTTAGCCTCACTATAAAAGAGATTCCAATGGCAGTCCATTAGATTATCTATCCAAAATAACTTAAAATATACTTAGAATACTCTCAAGACTATTTACTTTTCAAAAGACCTTGAAGATCGTCGAGAAACTCCTCATGGATAAGCCTTCCGTTGGAATCAAAGAGGTCAAACATCGATTTGGTGTACTTACTAGGAATGAGCTTGTTTTTGTTGTAGACCATTATTACATATGTGGGATCAGGTGCACTCACACTTGTGGAAACCACCCGGTCCTTGAATACCATTGAAGAGCCTGTCCATCGAAAGTAGATTTCTCCAAGAATGTTGATTACGAAATAGATTAGAGTTAATATAGTTATGACTTGTTTGTGATACTCAAACTCCGATGTCAAGGAAAAATATGCAACTGCTGAGGCAATGACAGTCGAAATCAGCCCTATTGCTATTTTAATGTCTGTAGAGACCTTAGACTGCTTGGAATTCCCCACATTTTCCATGAAGTCTCGGATGACATCATCGAGAATAATCTTCAGCTCGCTTAGGTTGTATATGTCTCCTCTGAGCGGGTTTTTGTTGTACTTGGCTTTTAAGTTATCCATAGAGGGTAAATATTTTACAAAGGTGTTAACTAGGATAGGAGACACCCCAAATGGATTCCGATCAACAGTCCTCTGCATTTTCGTTCTATGATGCTAGTCAGGAGAATCTGTTGAATTTTACGCCTTCGCAAGGAGACCTCAGTTCTACTATCCTTCCTATAGTGGAGACAGAGAGAGTAAAGGTGATCTGGGGTACTACGATAAACATCCAAGAGACATCCGAGCGGTTCAAGGAGTTTATTAGAAAGAATAGAGACTATCATGACGTTCTTGAGCAAATGGATCTTACTCAAGAGTTTGTGTTTGATCTCAATTGTGAAGATCTTGATCCAGATCTTCGAAGTCAGCTTGCAACATATCCTCAGGAGATGCTTCCGATTCTCCAGGGATCATTACAGGAAATATATGTGGAGAACTTTCCAAGCTTCAATGGGACCATCAGAATCAGACCCTTTGGAATAGGAAAGGCTCTCTCAATAAGAAACATCAATCCAAATGATATCGACAGGATTGTGCAGATTACGGGAATGGTCATCAGGTCGTCGTCTGTGATTCCCGAGATTGTAAGGGCTTTTTTCCGATGCTCAAAGTGCATGGATGAGTGTTTTGTAGAAAGCATAAGGAATGTGATTGAGGAGCCAAGCAAGTGCAAGTGTGGAGGGAAGTATTCTCAGCAGTTAGTTCACAATTCAAGTGAATTTGAAGACAAGCAGATATCCAGGATACAAGAACTCCCTGAGGGTATTCCTGATGGAACAACACCCATGGCTATGACAATAGTCTGCAGAAACGAGTTTGTTGACGGGCTTGTTCCAGGAGATAGAGTTAAGGTGATAGGAATTTTGAAAGCAACACCGGTGAGACTCAACCCTGTGATGAAGAAAATCAAGAGTACATTCAGGACTTATCTCGATCTTCTCAGCTACGAGGTAATGAATAAGAAGGTCAAGGAACGGGATCCCATTTACAAGATTGATGAGCTTCGAAAAAACCCTAAAGTATATGAGGTGTTGGCGAATTCTATAGCACCCTCTGTGTGTGGAATGGAAGACACAAAGAAGGCGTTGCTCCTTCAACTATTTGGAGGAGTTCGAAAAGAATTGGGCAGTTCAAGGCTTAGAGGAGACATAAATATACTTCTTGCAGGGGATCCAGGAATATCGAAATCACAGCTACTGAGCTTTATACATAGAACGTCTGAAAGAGGGATGTACACCAGTGGAAGAGGATCAAGTGCAGTTGGACTGACGGCTAGTGTGGCTAAGGATCCAGATAGTGGGCAATTTATCCTGGAGTCTGGGGCTCTTGTCTTATCTGATAACGGAGTGTGTTGTATCGATGAATTCGACAAGATGAGCGATAGCACAAGAAGTGTATTGCATGAGGTAATGGAGCAGCAGACGGTGTCGGTTGCAAAGGCGGGAATTATAACCACATTAAATGCAAGATGTTCCATTCTTGCAAGCTGCAATCCTATTGAAAGCAAGTACAATCCTCGGAAAAGCATAATTGAAAACATCAATCTTCCTCCCACCTTGCTAAGCAGATTTGATGTTGTGTGTTTGTTAATAGATAGATCTGATGAATTCCAGGACAGAACCATAGGAGACCATATTGTGTCTCTATATTCCGAGGAGAGGGGAAAAACGGAATGTGTTGATGCCGACCTTCTTAAGGCATATGTGAAGGAAGCAAGGAAGATAGTTCCACGATTGACGGCCGAAAGTATGAGGTTGCTGACGCAAGCATATGTGGATCTTAGGCAAATGGACAATGGAAAAACAATAACCGCAACAACAAGACAATTGGAAAGTTTAATCCGCCTGAGTGAGGCACATGCAAGGATGAGGTTTTCAAGCACTGTCGAGGCAAAGGATGTTAAAGAGGCAGTGAGAATAATAAGAGAAAGCCTTCTTATGTATGCGATTGATCCATCTACTGGAAAGGTAGATATGGATATGATAATTACAGGAAGAAGTACATTTAGAAACAAGATGCTGGAGAGCCTGAAGGATGCAATCCTTCTAATGATGCGAGACCGAATCGAGGTCTCTGAAATAGTTAGGAAGACAGGTGCAAATGAAAAGATGGTGAAAGAGGCCCTAGAGGAGCTTGCACAGGAAGATAAAATAATGACTTCTGGACACGAGTCTTGTTACGAAAGGATAAGAGACTAGAATGGGTTTGCAAGGGACTAGTCTTCCTCCTAGGTTTGATTTAAATAAAATGGTGTCTTAATCTACTTCCTTCTGGATTTTGTTATGGAAATACCACCAGTAGTAAAACTTTTCCCAATCGGTAAGGCGTCTACCCGAATCTCCCTTACTTCCCTTCATTGCCTGGAGCTGAGACGACTTTAGTTTGCAGCTGCCAAAGAGTATGGAGTCTTCTATTAAATTTTCGATAACGGCACTTGCATTCATTAAGTTTTCCTGTGTATCTGCACTTATATAACAATGCAAGGGTTCGGCATATTTGTCCTTGTAGGATCCTCTTATGTATATCCTGGCTTTTGTAATCCTTTCAAGCTGCCTTTGGGTGGATCCTTTTGGACCTATTATCAAGCCCACAAAATTGCTTTCGGGGAATTCCTGGACAGGAATGTAGATTTTATTTGTATACATATTTCCAGATATCGAAACATTTCCCTGTATTTGGAGGCCTAGAATCTGTTGTTTTCTTGATTTCAGCCATTGGACCAGTTGTTGATTGTTGGATGCAACTGCATTTCTAAGGCGTCTATCTATTTCCTCAGAACGCATGGAACAGAGCAGTTTCTTCAACTCGGATTTACTTTTTACATCTTTTGGGAATGGGACCTTCTCTGGGTGTCGGAACAGCTCCATCAGATGGTCTACCAAAAAAATGCAAATTTTTCCTCCCCGATGGCAAGTATTCCTAAGTCGAACGAAGTAATCTTTGTAAAGAATTATTATAGCATGCTCTGCAACAGGCCATCGGTCATCCACCAATACTACATGAAGGATTCTCAGCTAACAATCTCCAAGGAGGCGAGCAAGCCCGAAATATGCACCGAGGACTTTGGGAAATACATCAAATCGAAGATATCCAGCCCAGTTTCCAAAGTATTCATATCTCACCTGTCTTTTCAAAAGATAGACAACCTGAAATCGGCTATAAGTGTCATCGGGCAATTTGTTTACAACGACTCGTCGCAAGTGAGAATATCTCATCAGTTCATTGTCTCGAGGATAGATTCTGTTCTATACATCAAGAACGAGATTCTGACGTTCCTAGACGAAGAGATTGCTTATGATCTGGACCATGATGCCAAGAAGGTTGTGGTTGTTGAATATGGAAAGAACGAAATGTTACAGGCCATCAATGCTATTTCTGAGTTTGGAAAGATTAAATCTATGAAGTCTGAGGACGATGGCAAGGTTGTCATGACATTCGACAGTATAGAGGATGTGGAGAATATCAAGAAGAATGTTCCAAAGATAGTCTCGCAGGGATATAAGTTGGAGTTTGATGGGCTGAAAGTGTGAGGAATCAAAGAACTTTTTGAAATAAATTCTTATGGGCATTTTGTTTTGCATGGTTCTTTGCAAATGATGTTTCTTGTCTAATAAAGGCCCTACAAAGGATAATGGAAGAAGAAGGAAAACTGGCAGAGAGATTTGTAAAGGCGTATAATAGACGTGTAGAGTTGTACAGACAGAGATATGCTCTGGAAGATTCTATAAATGCAAAGCTTGTCGACCAGTGTGCATTGAAAAAAGCAATAGAAATGAATAAAGAGCTAGACAAAAAGGATCAGCCAAGACCACCTGACCAGGGAACAATGTTTGGGACTGGAATGCACAGATTGTCTCTTGTTGACATAGGTAGACTTCCTACAGAGAATCTGGACATGTTCCATACCGAAACAGCAATCTACCCTGTAGGATATATGTGCAGAAAGAAGTATAAGAAGCACGACGCTTATAAAAAGAAGGCAAAAGACAGGATCCTGTATATATGTAGTGTGGATCCTCAAAAGGGTCCGATAATAACTGCCGATGACGGAAGGAAATGGTACGGGCCAAGTATGTGGAAAGATTTTGTAGAGAGCATCGAAGGAGGGACAGAATACAAAAGTGTTGAAGAATTTTTTGGGCTAGGAAATTCTGCGCTTGCCAGAAAAATTGAATCTCTTGGAGACTTATCTGCTTTCAAAAAGTATATTCCGTTGAACAAAAGATCTTAAATATGGTGTTTTCTGATTTCAAATTAAAAGAATTTATTGAAGTGGTAAAAACCAGATTGCTTTTTATTTTTAGAAGACAATCTTAAGAAGCACGAAAACTCCAACCAGAGAGAATAAAAGTAGCAGAATCGATTGGATAATCTTGGCTTTCCAAAGCTTTCTTCTTCTAGTAATACTCAGCTGCTCGTTGACGAGCATTCCATACTGCTCACCTTCTTCAAGATGTTCCATAACATTATCAATGGGAAATCTGGCGTCGTTGATTGCATAGTTTATGTAGTTCGAGACAGCGACAACCTCTTGAACACTTCTAGTAATCTCATCTATCGAGCTCTTCCGACTCAGTGCCTCCATATGCATTTTACATGCAGATATCTCATTATCTAGTTCTTTATAGGGACTTGAAATGCATTTGTATCTATTCTTCAGTTCGTTATAGCGTTTCACAAGCCTTGGAGGCTGCTGTCCACATTCAACAAGACGATCACAAATCTGAAACATAGCAGGCAGCTTGGACTCGTCCTCTCTGTGAGTACCTCTCTCCAATTCCTTGATGCTGTTATCCAGCATGTCTATCCTCCTGGAAAAGGTCATTTCATTCATCTAGAGACTTGTTTATCCTGTCTTACCTCCAGATGAGTTTGATGATCTTTGTTACAGATTGGTAGATCATAAACCTATATTCAATTTCAGTCAAGTAATTCGCTCACTCCAGCCCGAATCTTGACATGACACGTTTCTCCATTTCAACAATATCTGCTAGGATTGGAAGAGGTATGTCCATGGAGTTGTGCTCTTCGGGTTCCATGAGAAGGAGAATTCCTTTCATGTGTCCTTTTTTCCTTATAGCCTGTCTTGTGTTCTGAAACCATTTTTGAATGGACTTTGGATGGACATTGATAAGCAATGCCAAGTCAATAATTGTTTTTGACGAAGGAAACTTCGATATCTCGAATATTCTATTCAGAACACATGTTTGCAGTCTTGTCTTTCTCATTTGCTTTCCAGCGCAGTATCTATTCATCTGGAATCCACTCAGCTTCAGCAGCCCAAGTGCTGCTTCTAGCTCTCTTACGTTTTTGGTTTTTTCACTAGCCATTTTTAGGAAGTGAGCTGAGTTTCTTTAAAACAAGTTGACGTCTGTTCACTCACTGATATATTAAATTATTCTTGAATGTCATGTATTGTAATGCATCTTAAATTGCTTGTTTTTACAAAATTTGAACTCTAATTAATAACTCTATTGGTCTTAATTTAAAACGAACAGAAGTTAATCATCTCCAGGTCTTAAAAGGCCATATTGGCAATAGGATAGGCTCTTTAGGCCTGGCTCCCACTGAAACATTCCTCTCTAAAGACATTCTATGCCTCTGTTTTATTAAAATATCCTCTTCTATGCCCCTCAAGTCTTCCGTATTCATAAGCTGTGCAATAAATGTTGGAAGAAATCTAAAGTGTTCGAAAAACATAGAACAATTTTAATTGGCTGTTCTTTTTTGCTTAGTAAAGGGCAATAGATTAAATACCAAAAATCCATCGCAGTAATAAAAACCATTTCGCTCAAATTGAATCACATCTCCTTCCTTAATGTCCACAACGGCAGATTCAGCATACCAATACTCCTTTTGGATGGAATCCGTGTTGAATCTCGCTGCCAGATCCTCGTCGTCCCCGTCAGTCATCAGACTTCCATATTCAATAAGCTCCACAACTACAGATCCCCTCTTGGAAACCCACGATATTTTGTTCTTTGTCTGCTTGAAATCACCTTCTGGATTAAGAATGATTTCCATCTTAGTCACAATTCCGTCCTGGACACTTTTACTTCGAACAATCGCATTTCCCCAGTTCATCAATGTAAATTCTTCATTTTCTTGGAGTATTTGCCCATCTTCTTGAGAAAGAAGTATTAAACTTGAGTAGAAGACCTCCTTTGTCCCGATGTCTCCATTCTTCTTGTGCCTTGGAACACTCATCATATATTCCGATGTATTTTTAACAGACACTTCTACAACATTTCTTTGCTGAACGCAGAAATATCTTGGTGCCACAGGATCAACTCTTTTTTTGTTCATTGCCCAGACCTTGTCCCAAGATATGGTACAGGTCTTTTGAGAAACTCCCTGCATCAGTATATATTCTCTGAGAACTTCCATGTTCATCCCAAGCCTCCTTATTCCCGCAACTGTTGCTAGCCTTGGATCATCCCATCCCGACACAAATCCGTTATCGACGTAGTACTTAAGCTTTCTTTTACTAAGAACGGTATTCTCGAAGTTGAGTCTCGAGAAGTCATGAATTTTAGGCCTATTACTTAATTGAAGATTCTCTATGAACCAGTAGTATTGAGGATTTCTATCTCTATATTCATTAGCACGAAGTGACAATGTAACCCCCTCCAGACTGTCGACAATGGGACATGAAAAGTCATAAGTGGGATAAACTTTGTACTTGTCGCCCGTTCTATGATGAGGAGATTTGTTCATTCTGAAAATAACAGGATCTCTCATGGCCTTGTTGCAGTTGGACATGTCTATCTTTGCTCTCAGACAATATCCGGAGGCTTCCCCGCTGATCATTTCCTCAAATATCCTTTTGCTTTCCTCTGTACTCATATTCCTGCATTTGGACTCAATACCCTTTCCTCTTTCATCCCTCATTTCTTCCTGTGGCGTGTTATCTGCATATGCCTTACCCTCATCTATCAAGAAAAAGGCCAAATCTATTATCTTTTCAAAGTAGTCACTGGTGTGGGAAAGAGTGTATTCTCTGATTCCCAGAAGATCGAGATCCTTTAGAATTCCCTTCTCAAACCTTTCTTCCTCCTTCTCGGGGTTTGTATCATCAAACCTAACCAGCAGACGTCCATTCCCTTTGCTGGAAAAATACCAATTCAAAAGTGCTGCTCTTGCATGTCCAATATGGAGGCGGCCGTTAGGCTCTGGGGGAAATCTGGTTATAACATTTTCCGACGGCCCATCTATTTCAAGGTTCCCTTGCTCTTTCTTAAAACTTGTGTTAAACTCCTTAAGCAGGTTCTTGTTAGCCTTGAATTGCTCCGAATACATCTCACAGACATTCGGAAACTTCTCCATTTCCTTCTTGTCTTTTATGAGCTTGGTAAGTGTCGAATTTATATTGATCATTCCAAAAAGAATGTCCCTCAGCTCGTCAGAGTCAATGCAGCTTATAAAGGAGTTGAGCGAAAGTAGAAAATTCACTCCTTCTTCTCGATTCGGATTTATGGTGTAGGAATCAAGAACATCCATAAGACCGGCCGGGAAAATTTCCTTAGATATTTTTCCCAGTGCATTGGAATACACTGGAGGATCCTCTGGCTTTGTGCCATATTTCTTTAGCAGGATGTAATTGATAAGCTCCTCTTTGAACTCGCCTTTTCTATTCATTTTGTTTAATGGGCCAAAATATTATCTGCCTATTCGTTGAGTGGCTGGCCGCAATACTACTAGAGGTATTCCAAGTCTTATACAAAGCCCCCGGGATGAGCAAAATTTTGTTTGTAGATTTCTGTACGGTATTGGAGAGAATAAACCAGACCACTAAGCGCTTGGAGATCCAATCAATACTTACGGATTACCTGAAGGATGTGCATAAAATCGATCCTCCTTCTTTGGCTCCAGTTCTGTACCTGTTTACAGCAACAGTGTATCCAGAATACTTCAATAAGGAACTGGGAGTGGGAGAGAATACTTTAATAAATGTTGTTGCTGAGCTCACAGGAAAGTCTGCCAAAAATGTTAAAAAGGAATATTCAAAGGAAGGAGATCTGGGGACTATAGCAATGAAGTGTAGAGTATCGCAATTGTTTGTGTTGAAGACACAGCTGGAAGTAATGGATGTGTTTCTTGGAATGAGAAAGGTGGCAAACGAGGGGGGACAGAAATCCTCTGCATCCAAGAAGAGAATCATCCTCGGAATGATGGTTAAATGCTCTCCATTAGAGTCGAAATATCTGATAAGGTTAATTGAGGGAAGACTTAAAGTAGGACTGGCACTTAAAACTGTACTGATAAGTCTTGCAAATGCTTTTTCTAGTGACAAGGCCGACGAAGTCAAGGCAGCTTTCAATAGACAACCGGACATAGGGAGATTGGCCGAATGTATTCTTGAATACGGAGTAGAAGGGCTTCCAACCAAGTTCCAGGTTTCTCCGGGAGTTCCTCTGAAGCCCATGTTGGCAAATCCTTCAAAAGACCTGACATCAGCTTTCAAAAAGGTTGAAAACAAGAACTTTACTTGCGAGTACAAATACGATGGAGAAAGGATCCAGATCCATAAGTTCGGAAATAGGATAGAAACTTTTAGTAGAAATTCCGAGAAGACCACAGAAAAGTATCCGGATTTAATGGATCTCTACAATATATCGGATAGAGATTTCATTATTGACGGAGAGATTGTTGCATATGATAGAAAAGAGAGAAAAATTCTTCCGTTCCAAATACTAACAACAAGAAAGAGAAAAAGGGTGGAGAGCAGTAAAATAGATGTTCAGGTGTGTGTTTTTGGATTTGATCTAATATACTTTGATGGGAAAACTTATATTGACGAGCCATTTGAAGAAAGGAGGAAGATTTTGCACAGCTCATTCAAGGAGATGGACGGGAAGTTTCAGTTTACAGAGTTTAAAGATTGCGAGACTCCAGAAGAGTCCGAGATGTTCTTTAATGAGTCTGTCGAAAAGGGCTTTGAGGGGATGATGATAAAGATATTAGGGTCGGATGCAACCTATCTTCCATCACAGAGAAGTAACAAATGGATAAAGATAAAGAAGGATTACCTTGAGGGAATGTCGGATTCGTTGGATCTGGTTGTGATGGGAGCATATTATGGAAAGGGAAAGAGAGCTGGATTCTATGGAGGATTCCTACTTGGAGTCTACAATGACGAAGAAGAGAAGTTTGAGGCATTGTGCAAGATAGGGACGGGATTTGATGACAATATTCTATCGAGGCTTTATGAACAGCTAAGTAGTAATCTGTGCAGTGCACCAAAGAACTACTCATACAAGGAGTCTGTTAAGCCGGATGTGTGGGTAGAAGCCAAATATGTGTGGGAGGTCAAGGCAGCCGGACTTTCTCTGTCGCCCATATACAATGCTGGGGGTAATAGAAATGAAAAGGGAATATCGCTAAGGTTCCCCAGGTTCTTAAGAGAAAGAGAGGATAAAGATGTGAAAGAAGTGACCACATCTTCCCAGATTTATCAGATGTACTTAGACTCTAAGGTTGAGAATTCCGAAGAGTTCTACTAATCAATTGGTGTAATATGTTTTCAAAAATTTTTAAGTTTGTGTTTTAGTTTTCACCCCAATGGAGCATATGAAAAGTGGCTTTGAAAGTCCTCAACCGAATGAGGAAGACCTTTCTCCAAGGTCTATTATTGATGAATGCAACTACTACAGATCGACTCTGACAGCCATTCCCGAAAAGCAGGATTTAGTAAGAACGTCTGGAATTCCTTTTGTTATTAATGTGATACTAGAAAACTATGAAGAAGAAGAGGTTCCATTGTGCTCGGACGACATAATCCGATGTGAACGCTGCAAGTCTTACCTGAATCCTTTTGTTGAGATTATACCTCCAGGTCTGAAGTGGAAGTGCAATCTCTGCCTGACAATCAACGATCTGGCAACTGCCTTTCAAGTTACCAGCAGAGGGATATCTCGGACTAGTAGTCTGTTTGACCCCAAGGTGAATGCTATGCATAATTACAGCTACTACACCCGAGGGGAGCTGAGAAGTACTGTTTATGAGCTAGAAGCACCACCGAATTACTCGCTCAAAACACCATCCCCTCCATTAATATGCTTTCTCATAGAAGTGACTTTTGAAAGCATGAAATATAGATCTGTTGATGCAGTTATAAGAAGTATTCTAGGAGGGCTGAACCCAAGGTTCTTTGATCCAAGGTCTCGTATGATGTTTGCATTCTTCGACTCGTGCATATACCTTCTCAGGAAAAACGGAGACTTCTCCGTAATCTCGGATGCAACACATATTCCTTTCTTCTTAGAAGAGGACTTCTTGCTACCTCTTGATCATCGCTTCGACGTTGATGGGATAGAAAGGTTCTTCATAGAAAACAAGTCTACAAGAAACAATTACGGAGATGCACTAAGGATTGTCCAGAACATCCTCGGTACCACTGGAGGATGCATAATCTCCTTTCTGGCAACATATCCAAACGTAGGCCCAGGGTGTGTGGACTCCAATCAACATGAGCTAAGATGCAAGTCGGTATTTTACAAAGAAATATCGGTGTATTTGTCGAAGCAAGGTATATCTGTGACACAGTTTTTGTTTCCCCGACTTGGAATAGAACTTCCTACTCTTAGTGTATTAAGTAAGTATACAGGAGGAATGGTATACTATTACCCAAACTTCGATGGAACCGATCCTACATTTGCCACAAAGTTAGCTAATGATCTTGCTTCGCATCTCGATTTGAATATAGGGTTGTATGGAATGTGCAGAGTCAGAACCAGCAAGTGTGTGTTTATAAAGGAGTACTTCGGATCTTTACACCATAGGTCTGAGGATTTAATATCGTTTTCCACCTTCTTTCCTCCTCACTCATTCAGTTTTGAAATAGACATATCCAAGGAAGAAGGGACAAGGGGCGTTTGTTTCCAAGTGGCTATTCTTAGAACACTTCGTACTGGAGAAAGAAGAATCCGAGTAGTGAACTTTTGTATTGAAAAAGTGTCTAGATCATTGTACAGTGTTGTGGATCCTTATGCAGTAGCACATGCATTTGCTTTGAAAGCCTTTTTCTTCGAGTCGAGGACAAAGGGAGGAGGTAATGAGTATCTCAATAAGTCCATGAAGGATATTGTCAGATTGTACAAGCAGCTTTCCAATACAACAACCCTTTTACCTGCAACACTCGAGGTGCTTCCGATGCTCATCCTATCTCTTTGCAAGTCTATTCCCCTCAGACCTGCATCTTATACACCAATGGACTACAAATCCTACTACATATACCTGATTAGCAATTCCTACCCAAAGCTGGTTGATACAGTGATATATCCAACTTTACTCGCTTTACATCGGCTGGACTCTATACAGCCACTTAACCTAACTCTTAACTGCCTCGAGACAAACGGATTGTATTTACTAGATACCGGTGTGACCATCTTCTTTTTTGTGGCTAGAGACTGCGATCCATCTCTCCCGAACTTACTGTTCGACTCGTCCATAGGATCGGAAAGATTTATCTTCGATCCTGAAAGGAACGAATTTAGTGATTCTGTATGTAAGATAATCAAAGAGTTGAGAAGTAATAGGCATTTAACTCCCAACTATGTGCTGGTGAGGGACGATGGCACAAGCAGCATATATAAGGACATATTCTTCACTTACTTTGTGGAAGACGAGTCTCACGGCCTTCCATCCTATTCTAAATATCTTGAATTGCTGAGGGCTTAATAAAACTGTTTGAAATCTCTTATCATATTCCATGGACTGCTTGAAAAGCCATGCCTGGCCTCCCCCCAATGCAAAGGGAATTGGAAGACCTCATAACAAAGCTCAAAACAATGGCAATAGTTGATAATCACGAGGACTACAACTATTTAGTGTCGTGTACAGACAAGTACGACAACAAAGGAAAGATATTTGAGCTTCTGAGAAATAGGAACAATGCACCTGGGGAGATGGCACCTCTACTGTTTACATTCACATCGAAGCTCGGGACGGAGTCTGACGAAGGTCTGCTTGTTCGAATCATTGACTTCATCAGAGGATGCAGAAGAGACTCGAGAGAGACCTCAGAATGGATGGTCAAGATCCTATTTTTGATTCTGGAAAAAGTCAAAGAGAAAAGGAAGGATTCTGCGATAAGGCTAAGGCTTCTTGAATGCATTAGGATTTACAGCCAGGACATAGGATTGGTCAACCACATGATCGATCTTATGTGTACGAAGAGTAGCTCCGAGATTATCGGGTCGATACTTGAATCCATTCCCTCAGTATCTCATGAGTTTATTGAATGTGCCATGAAGCAAGATAATCCAGCTCTGCTGAAAAACCTGTCTCTTGTTCTTCCTTCCTTATCTGAAAAGGATATAAGTCTGTTTGTAAACTACGAGTCCTTTGAAGAATTTCTTGAGTCTGAGCACTTTTTTATGAGGAACTGCTTCCTGGAAATATGTGCAAACCTTGTAGAGCACTTTAAGAAGAAAGGAATGGTTGAGAAGATGAACGATCTTATAGGAATGGTTGTAGAGAGGTTATCTGACACATATTTCTTAACTCGGTATAAGGCTCTTCAGGTTCTAGAATGTCTCTTCCAAAGGAACTCAATAGGCGTAGGAAGAAGACATGAAATCATTCGGGAGATTGGAGGTCGGGTTCTGGACAAAACGGTTGTCGTTCGAAAGAAGGCCATAGGGATTTGTTCTGGCTTACTTATGAGCCATCCCTTTGCATCTGAAAAAAGTCTTGAAAAGAAGAATTTCAAGCCAAGCGAGGATGAAAACAACAGTAACTATCCTGACAATAAGAAAAAAGAGGTTGAAAGAAGGTATCATGAAGACTTGAATGAGTTCCACGACATCATGAGGGAAATACAGGACAATGTCATAATTCTCCTGAATGGAGAGACTAAAACAGAAATTGCCGAATGTGTTGAATTTGTAAAGCTTTCCTTCTACTATAAAATAGATGGGTCCAAAGAGGCATTTGAATCACTCTTTGATCTTGTATGGACCCAAGACCAGGAACTCTTGGTTCTGTCTTTCAAAGACCTTATTATGCAGATGAAGATGAGCAAGATCAGCTTATTTGGCTTCTTCAAGGAGTTTATAAGGAAGGAAGGAAATCATTCGTTTGAAAGAATGATTAGAGAACTCAGTACAAGGAGGTATATAGATAAGTCATTTGTGGGGGAGCTATACAATACGTTTCTTCAAGGAGCTTATCTCTTTGAAACCTCTTATCTTTTAAGGCATATAGGAAGGCCTGTTCCGGTAGATATGTTCCACTCGTTGGCCCTGTCTATCACAAATCTTTTATTCTCTATCCAGGAGGAAAAGGATTTGGTTGAGATGCTGTCCGTGTACAAAAACATAATACAGATCAAGATACGGGAGAGGGTGGAATTCGATGGTGAGATAATAGAAATGCTCATTAAGAACCTTGTGAAGATGACTTTCTTTGAACATCAGGTAACCGAGATAACTGTTTCTGTGATATATTCAATTAGCAGATTTCCCGAGAAGAGCATTATCATGCTACTTGAAAAGCTTTGTATGATGGAAAAAAGCATGCTCAAGGTTATTTCTGCAGTAGGATATATTGGGCTGAAACACATGAAGTATCTAGAGGAGTTGGAAAGACTGGTGAAGTCCAACAGGATAAAAGTCAAGGTGGATAAAACAGTAATTACTCCTGAGATAGTGGAGAGGAGAAGAAGTATAAATGCATCTAGACAGAGTATTAGCACCATTATTGAAGAAGAAAGGGATGGGAATAGTACAATTCTAAGCGACCCTGGGTTTAGCAATAATATTTCCTCTAGGATTGGAGACAAAAGTGAAGAGGAAATCATTGACTTTTTCTTCTACATTAAGGAGAAAGAGATGCTATATGGAAAAAGTATTCTCTCTATCTTCAAACGAATTGTTGAAGATGGATGCCACTCCAATGATGAGGAGATACAGGTTTGCTCGTATGTTTCCCTTTACAGGCTCATGTGCATTAGCTTTGAATTTTTTACCGAGCATTACGATGTCTTTGTCAGGTCTATGAATCATCCGGTCTCTAGAGTTAGAGCAAATGCTGTTGTTGCAATGGGGGATTTTCTGTTGAACTACAATACCGTTGCAGAACAACATACTTATCTTTTGCTTGAATCTCTTTCTGACGCAGATGTAGATGTTCGAAGAAATGCTCTTCTTGTAATTCACAATCTGCTTATGAAGAACATCCTTAAAATCAAGGGATATGGTTCCAAACTTGCAGTTCTTCTAATCGATGAGGAAACCGAAATTCGAGAAATGGCAGAACACCTTCTGGTGCAGATATCCAAGAAGGAGAATATGATGTCTGTCCTTCTCTACGAGACAATAACTGCAGGCAATGACCAACTATCTTCTGTTATAGGATTTTTTAGAGATTTGGTAAGCGAAAAAGTCAAGGAGAGTTTATTCTTGAAGGCCTTGAAGTCAAAGGTTGAACCAGAAACCTTGAGGCTTCTTCACAGTGCCTTTGATTTGGATGAAAAAATGATGGAGGTGGTTAGACTCCTCGACGGATCTAAATAAATGTTCAAAGCCTAAGTCCAGTCTATATCCAAAGAACTGATCTAGCTATGTATTCCAGGGTGCCTTTTTGAACACCTTTATGTTGGGAATTTTTCTGTGAAGCCTCCTATATGCTTCATGTATGTGGGAAGGAAGAAGAGGGCCGGTCTCTTCTCTTTCTCCCTGAACAATCTTTGCCATTTCTATCATCTCCCCCACAAATACCTTTGCAAGCCCACAAACTGCGATGACGAAATTTGGATTTACAGCCTGGCCTATTACGCTGCTTATATACTTTTTAATTGCAGCCTTTGGAAACCCGCTCCCTCGAAACTTTTCATACCTGTGCAATTCTTCCTCAGTCATTGTCCCTGTAATAGAATGTAGACGCCCAGGATCCTCTCTCTTGTATGTAGAATCGTCTGTCATGAGATTGAGGTCGTCAGATTCTGTGTCTGACTGAACGTCTTTAGTGTTTTGGTCCTTTTCTCCTTCTTCATTACTCTCGTTCATTTCGAGGGTTAATTTTCGAGTAGAGATAGGCCCATGATAATAAGAATCGATCGGAAGCACATAAGTAGTTCTATTGAGGAGTGGTTCCAACTCCTGAAGTCCAACAACGATTCTTTGGAGGATGGAAAGACCTCTGGATGCGATCCATCAATGGAGTACGAAATAGAAGTAAAAGAAAGTATCGGGAAAAAAATAGCCTTGGTTACTGTAAACAGGGTTGGTATAAAGCATGAAGTGTCTTTGGATAAGATCGAAGAAACTCTTCTGGAAGTTGTTGGGACCCTTCTTGGACATGAACTGGTGGTTATTCATGGATTTACAGTTAAGGATCAAAGCGGAGAAAAGACGAAACCGATTATTCCGATCTTCTTCAGATCGACTCTCGGGATTCAAATTCCCAAGAGAATGGGGTATTTAAAGAACGATGGAGCCGGAATTCCAGAGATCGACGAGAGTATGATGGTTCCATTTGTGCATACCAGTCCAATTTTAAAGTCATTACTAAACTCAAGACCTTTGAGGTTCTCAGGCGAGGGTGTAAAAGCTTTGTTAGTTCTCTACAACGGATCTACATTCATCATCCCAGATACAGCTAGAATTATTCCTATGATCCGTGGAATGCTTTCCAGGGAAAAAATGGGAGAGTTTCTCAAGCTTCTCAAAAAGTTCCCATTTAAGTTTGTTGAAACCTTTATAAAAGCATATATGCAACCTTCTTCACTTGAAGTTAACAAGGAGTTGAGTGGTTGCTTTTCAGAATTTCAAAACAACCTTACCAAGCTTCACATCAAATGCATACACAAGATAGTATCTAATGCTCCTGTGTTTTTGGATGCTCGGGACAAGATTACTGAAAGAATCGAGAAGTTTTATATTTACAATGCAAAAGGATTTAAGAGAAAAAGGGGGGAATATCTTAAGTGTAGAGAGGAGCTTTACATAGACAAGAATCCCATTGGATCTTTGAAGAGGTATTTCCGAGATCTCTAAAAAGCAGTTATAGCAAGCCTGTGTATTGTACCCATGGTAAGTGTATTAACCTCAGTAGATGATGTGAACAAAGTAGTCGGAGACACATCTTGCAGACTTGTAGTTATAAGGTTTGGAGACAAAGAAGATCCGCTGTGCACCCATACAGATGCACTTCTAGAGAAGATATGTCCTCTCCTTTCTAATTACGTTGATATATATGTTTGTGAAAGAAACTCAGTAAAGGAACTTGAAGAAGTGATGAGGTTAGACTCGCCTTTGAATATCATGTGTTTCTTTAACAGGAGACATATAAAAATAGATTGTTCAAGTGGAGACAACGACAAAATAAATTTCCTAGTGGAGAATGAAGAAATGCTTGTAGAAATATTTACACTGGCATACAAGGCAGGTGTAAGAGGAAAAGGAATTATAAAATCTCCGTTTAAGGTCCAAGAGCTGCAAGGAGAATTATAACATGCTAGATATTTATCAAAGAAAATCCTCCTAGAGGAGCACAATCGAATAAATAAATCCCTTATCGAATTTTTTTGAAACAAGAGGAGGGTCTGCTCTGAGCATTGTGTTAAGAATGTCGACACATCTGTATCTTGAGATTCCTGTGTTTTTGATAATTTCTTCCAGCACGGCTCCTTCTCTATTATCATAAAGAAACCTTGCTATTTTTGCAGCATTGTTCCTGAATAGCTTATTACCAGTTGTGGTGGATCCCATTCTTTCTATAAACTCCTGCAAGCTTTCCTCTCCTCTTATGTTTGAGAAAGATGATGTTGTCTCTTCTTTAGTTTTTTCCTTAGGAATAACTTTCTTAGGAAAAACTATGGTTTGGGAAGTCTTGTCCAAGTCTAGATTGTGCTCAACACCACGGATTGTGTATGCGTCAAAGGCTGCCAGTAGTGCCTCCACCTTGTAGTTAAACTCTTTGATGTGGGAGCTACTTTGGATTATTACTTCGAGTTTCCTTTTGACTTCACTCACTAACCTTGAGATTTCCTTAAGCTTCTCATCCATGGGATAAGACCATTGATGGATAATATCTTTAAGCCCCAGATCCAGCTTCCAAAATCAAAAAACAGCTTCTTTATGCCCCCATGTCTAACGATGACTTAGGAACCTGGCTAAAGGCAGCTGCTGAAAACAAAATCACAACAAAGAATACATGGAAGTCAACCCTAATTGACCACTTTACAAATATAGATGAGTTTCGAGAAAAACAAGGGATTAACTTTCAGAAGGCCAGCTTTACGTTGGATGGGTGTGCCAAGGTTTATTCGACGCGTGTAGACGACGTTTCTGAAAATGCAATGAGACTTCTGGAAGGATTTGGGAGAGAAGAAGGGAAAAAGAGGCAAGCTAAAAAGAACAAAACAACAATAGAAAAGAACATTCTTAATCTTAATATCAAAGTAAGTGCGTCGAGAAGGCTGGTTGATCCGAAGTTTCTGTACTTGTCGTCGTTGGCTGAGAATGCTTTAATGATCGATGCATTGGGAATTTCGTCAGACGGAATGTTTAGGATGACGTCTTCTAGGGATTGGGAGACTGTAGTTGTAGACGATCTCAAACTATCTGTAAACCTTCCTCAGGGACTGCAGATTTCTCCTAGTATAAACGAGGATAAAGAGATAAAGGATATTATTATCGACCCTATAGTAGGCAATGATGACGAGTCCTCTGGGGGATCGGGGGGTTTTGGGATTGACAATCATCCTGACTTCTCCGAGTTTCCTCCTACTGCGGATAACCAGAATCTTGCTTACAAAGAGACTTCGTTTTCTTATTTCAAGGGATGGGCAGGGCCAAATCACTGGAAAGTACAGGCAAAAAAAGGAAAGGGAGGATCACAGAAACCCAAGGAAACTTCTTTTTTGGACTTTACAGAAATAATAGACCACGAGGGCATACTTGAGGCAGGAAACACCCTCTTTGAGCCTTCTTTGATAGTAGAGCGTAGAGAAAACCATCATGTACTACCTCAGGACTTTAGATTGGAGGTGGAAGATCTGTACAGATATCTAGTAAGAGATGGGCTTTTTCATAGGAAAGACCAAAGTCATATGGATGAAATCTCTTTTGATTACTCTCCAGATCCGTGCATTGTGGAGGAACCTGAGGACGAGTTTATAACTGATGCTCCTTCTCAGGGAAACCAAAGAAGCACAGTCCCGCTTAGAAAGACATCCAAGAAAATCAACATCAAAAAGCTGAAGGATAATGTATTTGATTTCGTTAGAGAGGGAAGCACCAGTTTGCTTTCCATATTTAAAAGTGTACCCAAGATATATGATAGCGAAGAGTCTAAAGATATTTCTATGCATCTTTGTTTTATTTCTCTTCTTCATCTTGCCAATGAGAAGAATATTCAACTTAAAGACGTAGGAGATGATGTAAAGGTATGGATATCACCAGATTCAAGAACTTAGGGATAAATTAGCTTCTTCACTGTCCTTTCTCTATGAAGTCCCAAGTGGGGATTATGCTGATTCTTCTAAGGAATTCTGTCTCCTCGCCAAATCCGTAAGTTAGTCTTGAGTAGAGGAAGAAAAATACAATCACAAAAAACGTAAACACAGCAACAAATCCCAATCTGGCAAATTTCATGATATAGCATAATGAAAACAATGCAAAAAACAAGGCGGGATAATAGTGATGGAAGTACAGCACTCTCTTAACAAAGAAAAAGGGAATGTAGTGCAGGAGCCATCCACAACAAGACAGAAAAACCATGTATCCTTCGTTCCTTAGGAATGCCAGTGGTTTCCCCTTTCGCTTTCGGCTGATTACTCTGCAAAGAAGAACAATCGGTGAAAGAATCACACAAATTCCTGAAGAGTACCATACAAGTGGATTTCCAAACATATAGAACTTCTCGTTCTGTCCGTCCCACGCGGTCATTCTTAATCCTCTTTTGAGGATGAACCACTCATATGGCTTTGAAACAATTCTTTCCGGCTCCAGATCTTCATCCTGAATGAAAGAAGCATTTGTAATAAACATAGCCTTATTATGCTCCACAAACTTCTTTGAAAATGGATATCTTGTGATCTCTTTATACACAGGATTTTTCTCTTCGCTCAGCTTTGCAGATGTGTTTTCCTCGACATTCCAAAGAGTTGCCTCGCCCTTCTTGGCTCCACAGATGACCTCTCCCTGCTCAAATCCCCACGAAGGATATTTTCTTGATGAAGGCTTGAGATAGCAGTTATGTTTGGTGCTGAACAGCCTGAATTTGGTTGTAAGAGTTTTTACTCGGCCCTCCTTTTTTATGGCGTCTTCTACTATTTCTATTTTGAACAGGTTCGTATCGGAAAGGTGGCTTCCTGAGGACTCTGCTCTCAAACCACTTGACATAAGAGAATGGTTGCCTGGAATGTCCAAATACTTCCTAGTCTCCATGTGCAGAAGAACAACTGTGTCACCTGACGAAATGAACTCTGCATCTTCTAGGTCATCAGTCACCTTTTGAAGTACCCAGGCGTTGTTTTCGTCCTTATGATGATAGATGGTTACTTGATTATTCTCTCCGTTCGGATACTTGTGGTCGTGGGAATGGAGATATCCTCCTCCTGTCTTGGAGGACTTAATTGTCACCTTAGTTCCAAACAATGGATATTTTCTGTTGTTACCTATGTCACTTCCCTTGAGGGTTGCTTGAAAGAGTGAGCTCATATGTCCATCGTCGCTACTACTCCTGTTTACCATCTCAAAGTGGATGTAAAACAATAGAACGTACAAAGACGCCGGAATACAAATCAGAAAAAACGCCTTCATAAGAAACAGCTTGGCAAATCCCAAAATGCTTTCTTTAGAGGTAATATTACACCATAGACAATAGATGGTAAACAATCCAACCAGGCTCATTGTCAAAAATCCAATCCACTTAATGCTCAGGACGCAGCCCAAAGTTATTCCCAGAAGAGAAATAGAGGCCAAATCTATCTTTTCCTTAGATCTAAAGTACATTCTAGTCATGAAGTATGCAACTGCAGCCGTAAATGTCAGGAGATGGGAGTCCAAAAGTATTAGTCTTCCAATGGATGTAAACCCATTCTCAAATATAAATATTAAAGAAAGAAGAATTCTACGCTTGTATGAATACTTCATTTCTTTAAGCATTAGGTATCCAAGAACTGGCATAAAAGACGCTATGGCAGAATGAAATCTCCGCATTCCCGAATAATCAAATCCTTTAGGAAATTTCTCTCCTGATTTAAATTCGAAGTCCAGAGGTTGGTTAAAAAGATATCCTCCAAGAGAAGTTAGTATCTTACCGAGGGGAGGATGGACATCAAAGTAAAACTTTCTGGATAGATATTTCTCCGAAAACTTCCCAAAATGGGCTTCATCCCATACAACAAAGTCTCCGTTCTCTATCCGGTAGGTTTTCATAACTATACTCAATGTGAATATCAAGAGGACGGTAGATATCTCAAGGTATTTGGACTTTGCCATTATATTTTTGCCTTTTCTCCTTTTTAAGCCACACCTGAAACATGTTTCAATTGTCGATCAAATTACTTTAATCACCTCGATCTTCCCTGGCTGCTGAAAGCCTTTCTACCTTTCCTCCAATGAAATCTCTTATTCCTCTTTCGTTAATCGTATGAAATACATTCTTCTTTAAAGCTTCCCTATCCAACTCTAGAACATTGTCTTTACACTTTACAAATAAATTGAATAGGGCCACCTCGTTATAGAACGGATGGTCTATATTACACAGATCCATTTCTTCTTCAGGCCTGTCATAAAGAATAAAGTTAAGCATCTTCCCATATTCCCTATCCAGACTACTCAATGAGGAGGTTGTCTTATTTCTGGTGCAGAAGTCATAATGAACTCGGAGAGCAAAAGAAATGTCTCCTGTGATTCCCTTTTCGCTTTTAAGAATTCCATTGATGATTCTTCTTTCGTCTGATGTATTTTCCCGATTGGCAGATGATTTGAGCATACCCATTATTTTTCTCTTTAGAGATATCTCCGGACCAAAATCCATACCGGGATCAAGAATACTTACCAGCTTATCGTATCCGTAAATATCTCTTTTCGCCAGATTCTTCCATGCTGTCTTCTTTCTCTCGATGGCTTCCTTAATCATTTGCTGTCTCCTATTTCCACAAATGACGGGGTTGTATTTCCCCCGAGTAACCAAGGATACATACAGCTTCAGGTTCTCTGATCTCCTCTGGCCCTTAAAATTACTCGAGGATCGGAGGCAACCCTTTCCACATATGATCTTTTTCTCTTGGCATTCGGATGCAGATATAGATGTGATTTATCTGAGATTCTTATTCTTACAGCTGTAAACTTCGTTCTGTTTCCTACTAGCATGTATCCCTCACACAAACAGATAGAAACCTTTCTTGAAAAGAAGATCCCATAATCCAAAATCATTCGCTAGGGTTGGTTGAAAAATTAAAAACACCACATCCAGAGTCATCGAAACAAGTGTGAAAATATATAATCCGTGCTGTACTTCTTTTCGGCAGACACTTCTCCCTTATAGTTCTTAGATACAAAGCAGTGTGTATATTCATTCCCTTCTGTAATTGTTCCTCCTCCGTTTACGATGACTCTTGCATAGCTTTCCCTCTTCTGTTCATCACAGTACAGTCTAACAATCCATCTGTGGAATGCTGGCTTCCCTTTGGATGCCACTCTTTCTCTCCATTTTTTGATTGAGGCCACAATCTTTCTCTCCTTTTCTGGAGTATTCTCGTCTGCAGTCCATTCATACTTACCGAAATCAAAGTTTGCCGAGTTATCAAAATTATCTATGAAATCAGGCCTGAGAATCCATCCTCCATTGCACAAGCACGATAAAAACTTTTCGGACGTACATACACTACCCATGATGAGATGGGTACATTTCTCATATCGGTCTCCATCACTATACCTTACCCTTAGTTTTTCAAATCTCTCGATTGCTTTGCTCTTCAGGATTGGAGATAACCCTGTAAATTGGAACAGCATAAATCTAGAAGCAAAGATCCCGGTCTTTCTGGACATTTCATCTTTTTTGTTTTCTATAAACAAATTTGAAGGTTCTATTCCTATCCTATACTTGTCTTCATTCACATATCTCATCCGATGCAGACACTGGTCAACCCATGACAGTAATACGACTTTATATGGAGTATGTCTATTTCCTGTATATTCTTTCCTGTCTCTTATTATTAGATGTGTACAGCTCGCATCAACTTCTTCTTTCACAATCGCTCCTAAAGCTCTTAGTTTATTAAACACTTCTACCTTCAGTTCCCTCAGACTCGCGTCAATGCAGCATACCGCTTCACTCAGAATAGCATTACTTCTTCCAAAATAAACTTTATAGGGCCCAGGAAGTAAAATAGAGTCTGTCTCAACGCAATCGAAAACATACTGATAGTGAAAGACCTTTCCATCATGTCTCTTAAATTCCCCATGTGATTCCGCCACTATGAAATCAACATCTCTATCAACAACCGACACACGTGTTCCTCCGTTCGATATAATTAATCTTCTGAGACGATTGAAAAGGATCTTTGGAAGCTTCGAATCAAGGAAAAATACCTTCCCGTTAAACAAAGGTTCGCCGGCTGAGTCTATGGCTTTAAAATGAGGTTCCTTTTTGTATGCTCCATAGTCATTTCCAAACACAGAATGGGATGTGACAACCGGAATTCCATACTTCTTACAGAACTCTGTCTTCTCATTGCATTGGGAATTAGTAATCAGAAAATCTGTCCAAGCAGTAAGATTTTCGGTGAAGGATGCGCCAAGAAGACAATGGTAATTGATAAGAGAGTCGTCGGTCACTCCGGAGATTGTAAAACTAGACCCTGAAAGTGGTGTCATCTCATACTTCTTTGTGTTTTCATCTGTATCGTACAACCATCTGACATGGAGAATCTTTATATTCCATTTCAAAGCCTGGATATACTTCTCTGTCATCATTGCCTTGTAGGAAACTAGGTAATCTGTAGTGGTGGACAGCGTATCCTCGAGAATCACATGTTTTGGGAGCTGGCTCCTTATTAAGTCCTGTTCATCTCTTGAAATTCCCGTTGTGCACACAAACACATTTGGCTTGAACGTGCTCTGGATTTCAAAATCCATACCCTCCTAGCTCTAATTCATGGCTAAATATAAAAGGTGATCACTACTCCAAAGAATACCAAACAAAGAATTTATTTTTCGCTTCCACCGGAGACATGCTCTACCAACGCAGAAACAACGTCTCCTTTGTTTCTCACATCTCTAAGCTTCTTGACCTTCATCTCAAATTCGGATTTTAGCCTTTCATCAACTACTTTTATGTATTCCTCAACTTCCTTTTCTAGAAGAAGTAACCTACTTTCGTTTTCCTTTCTAAGGTCCTCAACCATCAATCCTGCATCTCTTCTCGCTTGAGCCCTCATCTCCTCAAGCTCCCTACGTGCCATCTCTAGCTTCTCTTTGGCATCGTTCTCGCACTGGACAAGTCTTTTAATACTTTCGACAGACATACCCCTGTGTTGGGCGCGTTGCTTGTCTTTTATAAGCCCGAGTGTTCAAACCCAACATAAAGCAAATGTGTTTATTTGTACAAAAAATAGACAGATATTTTCTTGTAATATTTATTTTCGTCGTCTTCCGTATACAACTCTGTGTATTCTCCCAAAATACAATGTCTCTCCTCTCCTCAGAAAATATAAGAAGACCCTTATTTTTCTTTTTCTTCTTCCCATGCATACAACCTCTGCGATGTTGTTGTTTTCAAACTCGATGTCCTTGTCTAGGTATTCTGCCATATCCGGTGTAAAGAACAATCTTTTATCGGAATATGCAATTAGCTTCAAGTTGCGCGTCTCAAAGCATTCCATCAATCTTTTAAAAGTCAAGGTCCCATCGTAAAGAACTCCATACCAATGATAGGAGCAGGTACGACATCCCGGATTTCTTTCGCATGTCTCTAGCTTTCGGATGATATTTCCATTGTCGACACAGTAATAATTGCACTTATTCTTAACAGATAGGATCATCAGGGATGCGATTATTGAGTTTATTGTGCTCAAAGACGGAATTATATTCCCTGCTATCGTAACTGCATCGTCAAAGGATAAGGGTTTGATTCCTGCACACATTCCTCTTATGTATGCCACATTGTAAATGTATTCCAAAACATCTCTCTTGTCTTTGTCAAACGAGATGAGATCCGAACTTCCTAAAATCTCGACTATTTTCTTGGTTTTTTCTTTGTAGTCTTCACTGCTTCTGAACTTCTCTAACTCGCCTGGAGTCGACATATCTTCGCAATTTTCTATAATGTCTTTCAGATGTCTTGGATAAAAGTCTTGTTCACCGTCTACCTTCAACTTCATTTCGAGAAACACGTACTTTGCCCAGGAAATGCAATGTTCAAAACTGGTCGGCCTTGATCGGATCGTGCACACCAGATGCTCTCTTGAAATCCTCTTTGGAATGCAATCAAAACATTCCGAGTTGTAGTCGAAATAATACGCCTGGCCCTTGAACCCACCGCTTCCTCCATCAACCAAGGGTGTTTTTGAGATAAAGCATCTTTGATTCACATAACTTCGTACTTCGATACTGTCCAAACAGCTATAGACTGTCTCATACTCTGCAAAAAACCTTGCATCAAATTCTGTGATGTCTGCACATATTGGAAAGACTTTACATTTCTTGTTCATTTTCCTAAAAACTTTGGCTGCTACAATTGCTTTACTTTTTCCAATGTCTTTTCTACCGAAGAAAAACTGCCGGTTAAGGTTTGAAAGGTCAACGTTATCGCAGTCTATCAATGTTATACTCTCTAAATTCTTTGTTGCTAGCAACTTCAGCAATTCACATCCTATTCCTCCACACCCCACTACCAAGACTCTTCCACGGATCATGCAAGGCTTCTGGTAATGGGGCTTATATAGACTATGCAATGAACATTAAAGATAAAGCATGGAATGGAAATCCATATGAAATAGCTTTAATCCTTCTTTTCATCGGAAACGTAGAAGATATTTATGGTTCCTTGTTCGGAGCTCAGCTTAAGCTTATAGAAACCTTTTTCATATCGAGGATATTCCATTATGGTTTCCGAAGGTGCCTTAACTGCAAAAACGAGGTTTCCATCTAGAGAAGGAAGGTTCTGGAGGTCTGAGTATGTAACATATGCATTTGCAAGATTCTTTTCCGACTGGGAAAGCATTGAAATCTCTTCATTGAGCCTGAAAAGGGTTTCGTCCAGATCATCGCCTTTTAGAACATTTTCTGGATTTAGATAGGAATTCTCCTGGTTTTCCTTTTCTTCATCATCAAGTAAATACCGATCTATGTTTCCGCCAATCCACTTTGCGTTGCTTACAGACCATTTACTCAAAAGTCCTAATCCTTCCAATACATTCGTTATGTCGTATATTCTTCTCTTTCCTACATTCAGCTCTATCGATGCCTGGTGAATGCTTATGTTATGGTCTGGTGCCATACTCACAAGCTTTAGAAATCTCTTGGTAAGGTTGTAAAGCGAGTTTTCCGATCTAATAGACGACAATCTGTCCGAAGTCGATTTTCTTGCCATGAGGGAGTTTCGGCAGAAATGGTTTTAGTCGAAATAAGGAAGCAAGTTTTTGATTTGGGGCAATTCCCACACACCCGAAAATGAAAACCTAAAGCATCAGGCAGTTGCATACATGGCAGAGGCGAAAGCATGCCACACTTGAGAAAGACTTAAGGTTCTTATAAATGTTATTAATTTCTCCACCCTTTATGACTAAACAGAAGTTTGGGCTAACAGCCAAAAAAGAAGAAGATTTTTCCGAATGGTATGTACAGGTTATAACAAAAGGAGAGATGATAGATTACTACGAGATTAAAGGATGCTATGTGATGCGCCCCCAGGGACAGTTTGTCTGGAAGTGTATCCAGAAATGGTTTACCGAAAAGATTGAAGAACTTGGTGTCCAAGAATGCTATTTTCCCATGCTAGTTCCCAAGTCGACGCTTGAAAAAGAGAAGAACCATGTGGAAAATTTTTCCCCCGAAGTAGCATGGATTACTAAGTGTGGAAATGAGGTCTTGGGAGATCCAGTTGCCGTGCGTCCTACATCCGAAACAATAATATATCCTTCTTTTTCTAAGTGGATAAGAAGCCACAGAGATCTTCCTCTAAAAATAAACCAATGGTGTAGTGTGCTGAGATGGGAGCTACATGGGACCCTCCCTTTTATAAGAGGGAAGGAGTTTCTATGGCAGGAAGGGCACACAGCTTTTCTGACGAAAGAGGAATCGGATGTGGAGGTTTTTGCAATTCTGGATCTTTACTCCAGAATATACTCGGAGCTCCTTGCAGTTCCCGTGATAAAAGGAAGAAAGTCAGAAAGCGAGAAGTTTGGGGGAGCAGATTACACCACGTCCATTGAAGCCTTTATCCCTGGATCAGGCCGGGGAATTCAAGCGGGAACCTCCCATTCCTTGGGACAGAACTTCTCAAAAATGTTTGATATTAAGGTCGACACAGAAGAAGGATCCGAAAATAGCAGCTTTGTCTACCAGAACTCCTGGGGGCTAACCACCCGATCCATTGGAATTGCAATTATGATACATTCGGACAACCTTGGGTTGGTGCTTCCCCCAAGAGTAGCTATGATTCAGGTTGTTGTTATTCCCTGTGGGATAACAGCATCCTCTTCGGAAGAGGACGTTGAAAGTTTACGCACATACATAAGCAAAATACATGCCCAGCTCAAAAACTTCGTTCGTGTGCATGTGGACGATCGGAATAATGTAACTGTTGGATTCAAATTCAATCATTGGGAAATAAGAGGGGTTCCGTTAAGGTTAGAGGTTGGGTTCAAAGATATGGCTAACTCGGAAGCTTGCTTAGTTAGAAGGGACACCCGTGCCAAAAAGCAGGTATCTGTGGAGGATATCGGGCAGACAGTAATGGAGGAAATAGATACCATGCACAACGATATGCTTAGTAGGGCTACCACAGAAAGAGATAGGAGAATTTCATATGTAAGAAGCTTCGAGGAGTTTATGTCTTCTCTTGAAAACAAAAAAATGATAATGGCACCGTGGTGTGGAGTTGATAAATGTGAAGCCAACATTAAATCTAAAACCACAAAGTTTGGGCCCAACGGAAATGTAGTTTCGACTGGGGCAAAGACCTTATGTATTCCTTATGAGGCAAAGTCCTGCAATGGAATGGAATGTATCAACTGCAACCAGAAGGCTATCCATTATGCTTTATTTGGAAGATCCTACTAACTTACAAGTCTCTGTCGCTACCATAATTATTAAAAAGACAAGGAAATATTAACCGATTTACATTCCATGGAATAATTCTTTATATTAAGAAAAGATATTTCTCCTCAATGGAAGAAGGGCCGTACCTGGCCCAATCGCCCCTCTGGAAGTCATGCTAAAACCTGAAATCTCTCTTCCAAGAGAAGACAACCTTCTGGAGTATGGTTTTTGGGCTCGGCCTTATCAAGTATCCTTTTTTCCAGCAGAGCTTTGATTTCTTTATACGACTCCTCGTGGGATTTGGGAGAAACAATTTCCGAAGAAAAGCGGTCGAGAAAATGAATGGCAATTCCATTAGTCCATCCAAATCCGACTTGCGCCGTATATTCCCCCTTATATCCAGGTGACCCAACCATCTCACAACTATATTTTTCAAAGATCCCCCTCTTTGTCTCGTCAACAACGGATGTAGAAACAGATATGTTTTCTAAGTAGGATCTAACCATATGTAATGCCATTTCACGCTCACCCACTCTTTCTAAGAAAAACGCCACTATATGCACAAGGGGAGGCCACATGTTGGGAAAATCCCATTGTAAGGTACTGTCCTTATTCTTAGATCCACTTGCAGGCATCCCTCCCGGATGTCCAAATATATCTTCTGCAAACATATTCAAAATGTGGTAAACGCTGACACCTTTGTCTTTTGGAGGAGGGATCCCATAGCACATCGGCATTAAGTTTGAGGCATAGAACCCAGGAGATGTATGCTCTCTTGTTTCAATATCAAAGTCATTCCATACACCTTGTTGATCGTTCCATAGCACATTATTAATGGCATCTTTTCTTTCTTCGCTCTTTTCTTTGAAGTACTTAGAGTTCTTGGAGTTTTTTCCTTCGATTATCTCATATAGCTTCGAAATGATACATTCATTGGCATACATTACTGAATTCAGATCCGCAGGAATCCTTTTGGAGACTCTTATGGAATCAAGTTGCCCGCTTAAGCCTAGCCATCTGGATGAAAAGTCCCATCCCGATTCGGCTCCGGCTTTTAAGTCGGCATAAATGTCTTCTGCTCTTCTTCTGTACTTCTCATCTCTGCTCTTATTTTGCTCTGCAGTTTCCCTGTCTTCACTATAAGACTCTGCTCTTGGCGTAGTATCGTTAACCTTGTAAACATTAAGTACATACGACTTTCCGTTCTTTTCAACCCTTTCAACTTTTTGGGTCATGAAGAAAGTATGCTCTGTTACTGCCGCATCCAATCCCCTCTTGATAGTGTTTTCTATCTTCTCCCATGGTAAGTGTTTATAAAGAGTGAGAAGCATCTGAGGAAAGTATGGAGGCTGAGACCTGTTTAAATAGTATGTCCTAAGTCCATTAGGAATGAATCCAAACTGCTCTATCAGACCTATAAAGTTCTCCACCATTCCCACGGCAATTTTTTCCATACCGCTTCTGACAAGTCCTTCTAAGATCCAGCTACTATCCCAATAATAAGCCTCTTTGAATCGGTCTCCAGGAATAATAAATGGATTCTTGACCTTTATCATCGTTGAATACTGTCCTCTCTTCAACCTATTCTGCCTTACGTAGATCTTACCCCATGCATTTTCGAGTTCTTTCCCGATTCTAATCAAGTTTGCTATAGATTGTTTGTATTGGCTGGTCTGGAAAAGAGGATTGGAGCCATCTGAAAGCTTTTCCTCAAGCTTGATTATATAGCTCGAGGTGTTCTTGGGCATATCTGCCTGAAGCTCTTTATCATCTTTACCAAATATAAGTTCGGTCTCTGGCTCAAAACTATTTTCATCTACAAACCTCCAAAAATCCTCCTCTTTTTCAAAAGATCTATTTTCTCGAAGCATGTTTCTAAGAATCTCATCAATTTCTTCTGGAGGCTTAGTAAACACCTTATCAACCAAAATCTTGCTATCCTTTGTAATCTTACTTACAAAAGAAACCTCGAGAAGTTCTGAACTCATTCGGGAGCCAGGATCCATAATTCCGGAAGCCCTTACGGGGATTATTGTACAAGCGGCAAGGAAAATATAGCGCAATTTTACCCCGGAAGCCATCTCCATTTCTAACCTGTTTTTTGCTTTTAAACATTTGTAATAGTTTATTTAAGTTAAATTGTGCAAGCTAAATTATTCTATAATCATTCCTGGTTATTGGTGAGATGTCATCTTAAGAGTCATCCCTAAAAGGAAGTTTAATATCATTATATTGAATTTACTTAGAGGAGGTGTGCAGCTTAAGTTATTTATATGTTTATTTCAAAAAAAGCCTACCCTTAATGGCAGGAAACTTTTTGCTAAGTATTTCCATAATGAACTATGTTTTTATGGTTTATTTGAAAATACGTGAGCTCAGGCAGTTGTTCAAGCCTCCATCCAAGACATACCTTAGGCTGGCTACAATGGATCAGATAAAAAAGACCAAGGAATACAATAGAGACAAGCTATTTATGTCCGTTTTCGAGCTCACAATTCTTCTTGGGAGGGATATATATCTGATCAAGAAAGGAGTGTTGGAGGAGGTGTACAGCATCAAATACTTTATGAATAGTTACTATGGGGATACATTGTTCTTGCTAGGATTCGCCCACTTCCAAAGACTCTTTGACCTTCCTTTGGATCTAATTTCCACATTTTACATTGAGGCAAAACATGGATTCAACAAAACCACATTTCCAACATTTCTATTGGACTTCGTGAAGATGACGGCTATAATCACTGTTATATTTGCTCCTTTTTCACATATTGTAATGAGCATTATTCGGAAATACCAGAAAACATTCTTCTGCATCTATCTATGGATTTTCATAGCCATTTTCCAGATAGTCCTTGTTATTATATATCCGATTGCCATTCAGCCTATATTTAATAAGTTTGAGGAGATGGAAGAATCGGATCTTAAGACGAAGATCCAAGAATTGGCAGAAAAGGTTGGGTTTCGTGCCAATAAGATACTGATTATGGACGCCTCGAAGAGATCTGGCCATTCGAATGCCTACTTCATAGGAATTACTAAGGAAAAAAGGATTGTTCTGTACGACACTTTGCTAAAACAGGCAAATGAAGAGGAGGTTCTTGCCATTCTGTGCCACGAATTTGGGCATTGGAAGCATAGCCATGTCATTAAGATGGCATCTATGGTTCTTTTGATTCAGCTATTTTACTTGTTCATATTGAATGTTTTGATGAACTCCCGTTCCTTTGGGAACTTCATACTTGGGAAGGATTTGCCACTGCTTATAAGGTGTGTTTATTTCCTCATGATAATCGGAGCTCTCAGCGTTCCTATAGACATGATAAAAAACTCTGTTTCGAGATACTTTGAAAGACAAGCAGATAGGTTTTCTGTGTCCCTTGGTTATGGAAAGGAGCTTTCATCAGGGCTTATCAAGCTTTTTGAAAAGAATAGTAGTAATATGGATCCTGATCCGCTTTATTCAGCTGTAATGCACACACATCCCACTTTGATTGAAAGAATCAACCTGATTGAAGGCGAGATGAATAAAATCAAGTAATTTCTTAAGTATTTATTTGGTGCCCGATCCCTTGAATGAAGATGGCAGAGGCTTGCATAGATTTAGCTCCACTGGTAAAATCAGCAGTGAACTTCTTGTATCGTCTATCTTTATCCAAAAATATGAAGTCGAGGCATTGCTACAAGAAAATGGCCCAAGAGTTAGAGAAAATAGAAGGACCTCTTTATTCGCTGGACTACCTGAAGAACATCAAGTGGGCTGGAGCTAAAACAATTGAAAAGATCCAGGAGTTGATAGACAGAAGAATTCTAGAAGACATAAAAACGGAGGAGGATTTTGAGAAGTATCTGAATGTTCTCTCACCGAGGGCATATGAAGAAAGCAAAAGAAAGTTATGGAAAGAAGGCACAGAGAAGAGCGATTCCAAGGATAAACAATACAAGAAGGAGAAAGACAACATATCCAAGAAGAGAAAATACATTCCTGGATATAGAACAGGAAGTTATGGAATAATGAAAGCACTATGGATAAGAGAAGGGATTGGTAGGCATGAGATAGCACGGATAGGAAGAAATTACTGTGACTCAGAGTTTGACTTTGGATCAAGACATTCTGCTTGGTCATCCATGAAAACACTAGTTAGAAAGGGATTTGTGTATAAAGAGGGAAGATCGAAATTCTACCTTACAGACGAAGGAAGGGAGCTAGCAGCAACAATGTTTGCAAATACATCTGTTGTTGAGGAGGAAGACGAGATTACACTTCTGGTAGATACTAGGGAAGTAAAGAGTAGGAGATCCAGGCTGTTTTTCCAAGAGTATTTTGAATCTCAACAAATCAGGCACGAGACAAGAGCTCTTGAGGTAGGGGATTTTCTTTGGGTCAGAGGCGAGAGGGTTTGTAGCTCGATAATCGAAAGGAAAAGAGGAAGCGACCTTGTAAGTAGCATAGTAGATGGAAGATTTAAAGAGCAAAAGAACAGGCTGAAAAACACAGGAATAAGAAAGATTTTTTATATTGTAGAAGGACTAAAGAACAGCCATATGCAAAATGTAGGTAAAGAGACTATAGTATCGTGCATGGCGGCAACTAGGCTGGAGGGATTCATTGTCATGGAGACAGAAGACATAGGCCAGACAGGCTCAGTGATCCGTATGATAGATTACGAAGTGAAAAAGGAACAAGAGAAAAAAAAGAAGACTTCGAACAAATTAGACCATTGCGAAGAATCCAGTGAATGTCTAGAAGATCCTGACGAAGAGATGGAGATGAGCTATGAAAGCTTTATTGATAAAAGCACTAAGTCGAAAGGAAAAACTCAGACCTATCTGCTGTACATGTCTCTTCTCTCTATTAAAGGAATAGGCCATAAAAAGGCGCTTATACTGGCCGAACGGTATAAGACAATCGGGGGACTAATAAGTAGAGTAAAAGCTGATGGAGTAAACAAGCTTTATGACTTTGAAATAAACGGAAAAAAAATATCTAGAAAGAATGGAAATGACATAATAGACTTTTTTCTGAAGTGACACGGATTGATAAGTGGAAATATTTTGCTCCCAGGATGGGAGGGATCAGCGAGAAGTTGAAAGGACTAAAGTTTATGCAAAGAGCGGAGAGAAAAAACAATGGGGATGGAGAGGTGTCGTTTTCGACGTACTTTTGCAAGAAAGGAATTTTCAGTTACTGCAGCAAGCAAAAGATCCACGATAAGGAAGACGAAGCTCAAAAAAAGGCCAGGAACTAGAGCATTCCCATATCTCTTATTAAATATATGTATCCTATACGTAGGCTTTCTTTCTGGACCCTTTTGTGTTAGTATTAGATGAATGAAGATGGAGTGAACATAAAAGAACTGATAAACGCCAGATTTCAGAATCCAAAGTTTGTCTACGATGGAAAGAGGATGAGAGTCCTACAGGAAAGGAAGGTAGTTGACTATACATCGGGTATTTGTGTTCAAAGAGTGAAAAGGAGAATTGATCCACTACAAGTCAACACGAGCTTTGAACTTTCCTCACAGATTCTTAACCTAAAATCCCCAGAGCTATGCTACAATGATTTATCCAGCCTATTTACGACAAAGATCGAGCATGTCAGTGTCAACAAAGTCAAGTGCCCTGTTAACATTGTCAGATGGACTCCTGATGGAAGAAGACTAATGAGCGGAACAGCTACAGGGGAATTCACATTGTGGAATGGCTATGGATGCAACTTTGAAACTATCCTTCAGGCACATGAATCACCTGTTAGAGGGATGGCTTGGTCTCCTTCGGGCTCGTTTTTGATATCCTCGGACAACTTTGGGATAATTAAGTACTGGCATCCATCGATGAACAATATACAAATAATACAAGGACATGCAGAGGCAGTAAGAGATCTTTCATTTTCTCACAACGATAGTAAGTTTTGCTCGGCTTCGGACGATTCAACAATAAAGATTTGGGACTCGATTGAAGCAAAAGAGGAATCAGTCCTTAGAGGTCATAACTGGGATGTAAGAGCAGCACAATGGCACAGATATAAATCGTTGATAGCAAGTGCAGGGAAGGATAATTTGGTTAAGATGTGGGATCCACGTACTGCAGAGGAGCTATGCACTCTACATCATCATAAGAATACAATACTAGCCTTGAAGTGGATGGGCGATGAAAACTATCTCCTTACAGGAGGAAAGGACCAGGTGATAAAAATGGTGGACATTAGAACAATGGCTGATGTGTTTACCTACAAGAATCACAAAAAGGAAGTTACATCAATAGGAATACATCCTTGTATTCCAGATATGTTTGTAAGCGGAGGTACGGAAGGAGGGATCTACTTTTGGCAAGCATATACTCAGGTGCCTTTGGAGGTTATCGAAGAGGGCCATGAGGGTACTGTGTGGTCACTAGATTACCATCCTGTGGGACACATCCTAGCATCTGGATCTGTAGATCAAAGCGTAAGATTTTGGGTTAGACCAAGGCCAGACGAGAATGCTGAATCTACTGTTGGAGGATTTGTTGATGAAGAAAACAATTCTGATGGAGGAGCCATTCCAGGACTGTAGTGTGGGTCTCCCTCCATGAAATATATATTTAAATGTTTGTGTGCTTCTATTATTAAATATGTTGTTGGGCTTTTTCTGTTTATCCTAGAAAGTTGGATAACTACAATTGAGAAAAAATAAAAACAAATCCTGGATGATTACCGAGTACGAATACGATTTTGTTATTCTTGGAACGGGGCTAGTAGAGTGTGCGGTTGGATGTATCTTGGCTGGAAAGAATAAAAAAGTTATTCTAATAGATAGGAATCCGATGTACGGATCGGATTTTGCAACGCTGAGATACACAGAATTAGAGACGTACTTTCGGAGCTCAAACATGGTCCCCGAACTGAAAACCTATGATTCCGAATTTTCGGTTGATCTTACTCCGAAGCTGTTCCTTGCGGATAGTAAGATGCTGAAGATGCTAGTCAGGTATGGGATTGATGAATATTTAGAGTTCTGTAGAATTCCCGGATCTTTTCTATGGAAAAGAAAGCTATATTCTGTCCCGACGAACGAGGCTCAGTCCATGACCACTGGGCTTATAGGAATATGGCAAAAGCCAAAAGTCATGAGGTTTTTTTGGAATGTCCGGGACTATGCAAGAGCCGCAATGAAGGGCAAGTCTTATCAATTCAAGAGTACTATGAGAGAAGAATTCAAGGAGTATGGACTTACGGAAGAATCGATGGAACTTATAGGGCATGGAATAGCCTTGAATCTTGACGATTCCTATCTGGACAGACATCCCAAAGAGACGTTTGATAAGATCTTAACGTACGTAAGGTCTATTATATGCTATGAAAACTCGATGGAGTCACCTTATTTATATCCAAGATATGGGCTTTCTGAAATTGCTCAGGGATTTGCGCGAAGTTGCTGTACAAAGGGAGGGGAGATAATGATAAATGCGGAGATGCTGGAAATCGATGAAGCAAAGATGGAGTTGTTAGTTCGAGAACCTGTCAACAAAGAAATCTTGAAAATAAAGGCAGGAAAGATAATTTCAGATCAGTCCTATTTCCAGAAAAGTGTTGTTTTATATGAAGTTATAAGAGGAATATGTATAGTACGAGGGGATTCGGTTGATATAACAAAGGGAGCTTCTTCAGCCCAGGTGATCTTCCTAAAAGGAGAGCTTGGAAGGAAGAATGACATCTTTGTTGTTGTATTGGGATCTGAGGAGAAGTCTACGCCTGAAGGCTATAAGGCGGTTATTATAAGTACTGTGAGAGAAACAGATAATCCTGAGAAAGAGATAGAGGTTGTTTTGGAGAGGTTGGGGGATGTTGTAAGGTACTTCATTGATGTAAAGCCGGTATACGAAGCGGAAGACATGGAGAATATAGTTTTTACAAAGGGTGTGGACGAATCCCCCCACTTTGAGGACATTTATGAAGAGATAGAAAGGATTTGCAAAAAGCTAGACGTTTGTTGACTAGCCAATCACCTCTGAATTTCCGGTGATAAGAGGCTTGTTAATCTTTAGAAGCGAGGTTACAACTATTGGATTTCATAAAGCCCTTATGGAAATAAAGACAGGGATGATAAGTGGGGCTCTTTCGTCTTGCTATTTGAAGACTAATAAAACATCAGTTATATGCTGCATCTATCTAGAGCAAAAAGGAGAGACGGAGCCACAAACCGAGGTACATTTCTCCGAGGGACTACCTCTGCAGATTCGTTCAGGAGTTAGCTCAATCGTAAAGTCGTTATTTTCAACAAAAACTAGATCTACAAGGATCAAAGTGACATTCCATGCTGTGAGATGTGGAGAGGACTTGTTTTCTTGTCTTGTAAACTCTTTTTCCGTATGTGCCATACTATCTGGGATTGGGATCATAGATACCATTTGTTCTAGTACTGTATATGCTGACAAGAATAACATTTCGCTTACAAGTCAGTTGAATTCTTTCCCTCTACACATGGTGTATATGATTCACAAGAAAAGAATCATGCAGGTGCATTTTGATGGGTGCCTTGACTCTTCTCTTTTTGTTAAAGCCACTGAGAGGCTTGTCCAGACATGTGTTGAGCAGGCCGACATGTTGAGATTAACAATAGAGGAAATTACAAGAACAGGATGAGTAGATGGAATTCTTGGATCTCAGCATGATGAAATGGAGAATTCCCAGGAACCCTGCTATGAGCTTGATAGAATCGGAAAAGAAGGAAGAGGATGGAACAAGAAGAAAAATTTTTGTGGTGGTTGGAATGGCAGGAAGCGGAAAAACAACTTTTTGCCAAAGATTATATTCATGGATTTCTCAAGACAATTGCACGATAGATCCAGCCACAGGATTAAATTCGCATATATACTCTATAAATACTGATCCAGCAGTGGTGAATACAAAGATGCCTTTAAACCTCGACATAAGGGACGTTGTGGATTATCACGAGACGATGGAGAAGTACGAGTTAGGGCCAAACGGAGGAATTAATACATGTTTAAACCTATTTCTTTTGAATATAGGGGAATACATTGACAGAATAAAAGAAGAGTACATCATCATAGATACACCTGGGCAGATCGAGGCCTTTACATGGTCATCGCCAGGATATGTACTGATTGAGGCGTTGAAAACCGTTGGAGAAGTTATTCTTGTATATGTGGTTGACTCTGTGTCTTCGCACAAGCATGCTGTGTTCATGTCGAATATGATGTATGCAGCTTCTTTAATGTGCAGATATGAGGTTGAGACACTATGCCTTTTCAATAAGAAGGACTTGTCAGGAAGTGAGCTTCTTGAGGAATGGATTAGCGACTATGAAAGCTTTAGGGATTCGTTGAACGATGAAGATATGTTTTCTCCTATTCTAGGATCCATGGCCCTCCATTTCGAGGAGTTTTATAACTCGATAAAGACTGTGTCTGTTTCTTCGTCTACAGGAAGTGGGAAGTCCGACTTTTTCGATGCTGTTAACCAAATTATGAATGAGAAGTATCCAGAAAATAAATTTGAATAATGACAAAGTCTATGCTTGCGGAAGCAGTTCTCTTCTCGACCAAATTTTTATGATTTGCGATCCCCTGGCGGTCTATGAAAGCTAAGGATAGAAGGAATCGAACCAAGATGAAAAGCATAGATAGTATTTCCAGAATCAAGGAATCTAAGATTGCATACTCTCTACCTCATGGGCCCTACAGAGTAGTTTCAATTGTTTCTCTAGGAGGAGGCTGTGGAAACTATTTCGACAAGTACTTGCATGAGAATCGAGGGCTATTCTTCTCACCGGAGTACAAGATCAACTATCTATTCAAAGAGACTTGTGGAGTTAGTGAGTTCCATATTGGATACCTCTGCAGAGCAAGCGACATAGTGGTATTTTTTATTAACTCAGATGAGATTGATGACAGTAAGCTTAAAATAATCAAGAAGTTTGTTCCAAGCTGTCTATTCTGCATATCCAACCAGAGATTTAAAGATGTGGCTAGAAAAGTTGTGAAGAAACACTTCCCAAAGGAGCGAATAGTTGAGATAGATGGACTTATGGGGGTATTGAGCAACGTGAGAGTTAAGAACACGTCGGTTTGCAAGAGGCCGTATATTGTTCCAAGTAATGCTTATTCTGATGGAGAATACTTCTATGTCGAGGGCTTTCTAAAGCGTGGATTCCTGAGTGACAAGGTAGTTGTTAACGGACGGTATGAAATGACTATTGAGGAGATTTTTACGGATCGGCTATATAAAGGAGAGGATTTATGTGTAAGTGTTGACATTGAGAAGACTTCTCTAGCAGAAGGTGAAGAGTTGGAGTCTGATTGCAACTCGGAGTCCTTGGAGTCTGGCTGCGATGAATACGAAGAAAAGGAAAATGATGAAAGTGAAGAGTTTACCACTGATGAATCATCTACTGAGGATCGGCCATCTCTTATAGACAAATACTCTGAGTATAGAGGAATAAGAAATCTTTCAACATGTAGCTTCAAGTCATACAACTTCCCAAGCCATTACAAAAGTCTTGTGTTTTTTGATGACTTTAGGAGAGCTGAAAAGCTGATAACTGAACAAGATAGCATAATTCCTAATGACCAAATGGTTAAGATAAAGCTTAGGTATGAAGGACTTATTGAAGAGCAGATATACGTGGTGTTTGGATGTTACGAATATGAAAAAAGAAAGACCATACACAACTTCCATTTTGAAGGAATAGAACCTCTAAAGGAGGAAAGTATGGTGGTTGATCTAGGCCATAGGATTATTGACATACGTCCTATGATCACAAGAAACTTAAACCATAGAGTTTTCAAAAAGCAAGAAGAACTTGAGTCTGGGGTTGTTAGCTTTATTGGGCCAATGGCGTTTGGCCTATCCAGAGTGCTCCTATACAAGAAGTCTGCTCTGGGGGAATTATCTAAGGAAACGCTTGTTGCCGTCGGGATGAATGGATTTACAGGAGACAGGATTATTTTTGAGGAGGTAGTGCTTCAAGGAATCCCGTTCAGAAACAAGAAAAGATACAGTCTTGTCAAGCGCATGTTTAATAGCAAGGAAGAAGTCATGTACTTCCGAAACATTCAGCTGTATATGCGAAGCGGAAAGATTACTGGGTTTATAAAGAAGCCGATAGGTACAAAGGGGATGTTCAAGGGATACTTCACACATCCAATAAAATCCGGAGATAAGGTGATGATGTCCTTATACAAAAGAGCCTTTTTAGAAGATCAATAAATGCCATACTCCAACCGTATTTAGATTTAGTTTTTGTTTCCCTGGATGAAAACGTATATCAAGGAGAAAAGACTAGGGGAGGGAACATACGCCGTGATATATCTTGGATATCGATGTCTTCCTCAGGACAAGCCCCTTGTAGACTCTGGTACAAAGATAGAGGATACGCCTGTAGCGATAAAGAAGATAAAGCTAAACAAGTACACTCAAGGACACGAGATAAGTGCCATAAGAGAAATTAAGGCTTTGAAGAGAATAAGTTGCAAGTATGTTGTCAAGCTCCTCGACACTTTTATATATGACAAGTGCATCCATATAGTTTTGGAATATGTCGAGACCAATCTTGAAAATGTAATAAGAAATCCTGATAAAATCATCATGCCGGGAGACATTAAAGCATGGATGCTAATGGTGCTGAGGGGAGTCTACGAATGCCACAAACTATTTATAATCCATCGGGACATAAAACCGAACAATATACTTATCACAGCCGAGGGGATGGTTAAGCTTGCAGACTTTGGACTTACCCGAGGAATAGGAAACAAGATGACCCCTCAGGCAGTAACTAGATGGTATAGGGCACCCGAGCTTCTCTTAGGATCAAGGGATTATGGAAGCCCTATCGACATGTGGTCGGTGGGATGTGTGTTTGCAGAACTTTTTTTAAGAGTTCCTCTATTTGCTGGAGACACAGATATCCAGCAGCTTGACATGATCTTCAGGGCTCTTGGAACACCTAAAGAAAAAGAATGGCCGGGGTTGTCTACTTTACCCTCGTTTCTTGAGTTTCATCAGTACGAGAAAACGTCTTTGCGTCCTTTGTTTTCGGCTGCGTCCTCAGATGCAATAGACTTACTAGAAAGACTCCTTACTCTGAATCCCGGCAATAGAATAAGCTGTGACGATGCCATAAAACATCCATACTTCAAGTCATTTCCATCCCCAACACCCATGGGAAAGCTTCCTGTCTAAGAAATACGGTCTTTCGTACAAAACTTGTTATGATGATATAGCTATACTGACTTATATAAAAGAGCTAAAAAGATGGATTCTAGGTTTATTTCCACTTAATTGCATTTGGCCGGAAAACAAAAAACCCTTCAAATAATGCACTCGAGAGATTTTGCATCCCAGGCCATGCACCAAACGAGTAAACAGTTTCCAAAAGCATTTGAGGGACAGAGAAGGCCAAAGATGAAAATTCCAGACTTTCCGTCAGAACTCGAGAAGGACCAAGCATCCTTTTTTTCCTTTGATACATCAGTCCAACCTCCACCTCTTAGCACAACAAATTGCTTTATTACCGAGACAACAAACACAGATCCTAATCTTCTGAGATCCACAATGTATACTCTTCCTACGGATACTGATACCTTTGAGTCAATGGAAATTCCCTTTGGATTAGTTCTCAATCCTTTCAATCAGAAAGCTATGGCAACCGAGTTGGACAAAAGCATTTCTATGAAGTGCTGGCAATGCCAAAGTTACGTCAACATATTTACAAAGATCGAAGGAAACACTTTCTACTGCAACATTTGTAACTCAAAAAACCAGGCAAAAGAGAAAATAAGTAGCGAGGTTACCAGATATTCCACAATAGAATATGTTGATAGGGTGAAAGAGGAAAGAATCACAAGGCCAGAGGCTGGAAACATAGTTTCAGAAAGTCTTTTCAGGACTACAATGATTGATGGGCCAGCATTTATTTTTGGAATCGATACTACTGCATCTCCATTAATGGAGCATGCATTCAAAGCTATGAAGCTTTTGATTAACGATGAAAACTTTCGATTTCTGTTTAAGAAAGTTGGAGTGATCCTGTTTTCCAGCACTGTTTCTTTGATAAAGCCATCGGGGGGGATGATTACAGAGGTTCTACTGTCGGACAGGCTTCAACTTCCGTTTATCTCTCCGGAATTCTTAATGGATTCCGAAGACGATGGGCTGATGAAATCATTAATGGAGTACGTTATGGGAAAATCCGAAGACAAAGGAAAGTTCAAAAATGGATTTGAAGATTGCTTAAGGGTTGCAATTTCTATAGCAGGGTATTGCAAGGGCTCAAAGATGGCGGTTTTTTCGAATATTCAAGACAAGGTGGAATATGAGGAAGTGGCAAAGCAACTCATCGAGGTGGGATGTTCGCTAAATGTTTTTTCAACACAAAAGACATCTGCCACCAAGCTGTGTGCTTCCACTACAGGTAAATGTTTTATATATAGCCTTGAATCCCTCAGCAAGCTGGGCCCAGACCTCCTAAACCTAGGAGTCACAAAGAGCTCATACAAAGTGCAAGTCGAGGCAAAGACTTCGGATGCCATAAGGAAATTGAGTTTTTATGGAAATACAGTCTTTGAACATCTAGGGTTTCAGGACTTTGCACATATGGATGATAAAACTGCATTTGGAATGACCTTTTCCTTGGAAGAGCCGCTCCAAAATAAGTCTAAAGTGTATGTCCAGGTGATACTAAGATTTTACTCTTTTGACGGGTCAAGTAGGGTTCTTGTGATGAATTCCAGCTTTGAAGGATCGTCGAGAATTTCAGAGGTCTATGCAAGCCTCAGCTTTGACACTCTGGCATGTATATATGCAAAATACATAGCAATGGACGAAAGCACTGCCAAGGAACATTGTAAGAAGGTAGAAAACTCGATTAGCCGATCTCTTAAGTATTATAGGGATAACTGTTGCAAAGAGGCGTCTAGTTCCCAGTTTGTTCTTCCTGAATCTATCAAATTGATCCCTTTGATATACCAGGCAATGGTGAAAAATAGCTGTTTTTCCAACAACATAAGCACAGATACCATGTCTCGAGTGACTGGCTTTACTGTCGAGGAAAATCTCAGGTTTTTTTATCCGCGCCTATTTGCATTTACCGATTTCTACATAGACAAATCTCTGGAAAAGGTCAAAGCTCTCAGACTCAATGTTGAGTCGCTTAACTCTGAAGAAATATATATCTTAGACAACTCTCAGAAGATATATATCTACATTGGAAAAGACGTAGATATTTCTCTGAAGGAGGCTATATTCAGAGATAAAACAGAGGAAAACGAAGTTCTGGATAAGATGATTGATGAATTCTACACTTACTATGATAGTGAACTTCCAGTTATATTTGTGGAAGAAGGAAAAGGTGGGTCGGAGGTTGAATTTGTCGGATATATGGTTGAGGACAGACTCAACGACATACCCTCTTACTCTGATTATATATGTGAGCTTCATTTTAAGGTCAAAAATGCTTAGGAACAGTTTCCTTTTTACCCTCCAGGAGGGAAGGCAAACTTAAATAAAATCGTGAAATAGTTTTAATTAGTTGTCTCTTTACACTTCGTCATCTCTCTGTAAGTCTTCTTCAAGCAGCATGGAATGCGCTAGGGTCATCATGCCACAAACTGCGGATATCGCAAGAAGCCCCACTATTGCTTCCCTGGAAAATATAAAGAAAATCAGTATTCCAACAGCCCCAGCTATACATACGGATCTAGGCTCGAGCTCAACATTAAAGAGAGTTGGCTTCGTCTGGTACGCATATGCAGTGACAGCAATAATCCCAATGAGTATAACCAATTCTAGACGATAAAGAACATATATCAATGCAAATGCACTTGACATTGCAAGATAATGAAATTTAAATCTATCAAGATTCACAAGGATTCTCCTTTTTGCAACGCTGAAATCTCGTGGGATAGAGGCCTTACGTATGCTAAAAAAGTCTCTTGCTGCATTTTTGTCCCCAAGCGCCTCCTTAATGTTTTTCTGAAAAGTCTTTTCTTCGTGCATTCCTCCTTGCATGTTTTCAAGGGGCTTCTTTGTTTAACTACTAAAGATATTCAGCTTCATTTGTTTCAAAGGTGATTGATTTCAAGCAAACACTGTTCGTTACCAATAAGATTTCCTCCTTAAGAGACGTTTGTTACAAATTATCCAATTAGATTTTTTCCCAGATGGAATTGGTTATTTCAAATAGGGAAACATCCGAACCAATATCAATAGTAAAGACATCTCCCATTTTCTTGCTCTTAATCCTGCAATACTTCCTTCCGTCACCTTCAATGAACTCGGTTCCAAAGCCCTTGACAATCTCAAGATATATTTCGTTGAAGGAAGGTCTCGAAAGTGCTCGGAGTTTCTCCTCTTTTTCTTGAATCCTTTTATCTGTTGTGATGATTCCGGCCTTTATCTTTTCGTTTTCGTCTTCGAGTTCAACTATCTTCTTAGCAAGCCTCAACTTTTCATTGTTTATCTCCACAAATGCGTCATTTTTCTTACTATGGGTATATGAATACTTTCTTACCTCTCCCTCAAGCTGCATGTTTTTCTTTTTAAAGAGCTGAACATTTTCCTGAAGAGTCCTGGTCACTGTTTCCATCTTCAGTCTTTCTTCTTTCCTTTGGCTATCCAGCGCCATGAGTATATTCTTTTCGGCCGGATTCTTGAATTTTTCGCACAGATCTTGTAGCAACGTCTTTGCCTCTTCCATTTGGGTATGCTTTTTTTAGTTTCAGGTATTCATGGGTTTGTAGAGGTTGGGACTCTGTAAGGCCCCGTGTCTGCAAGTGCATAGGTTGGATGGCCGAGTGGTCCAAGGCGCTGGCTTAAGGTGCCAGTCTCTCAGGAGGCGTGGGTTCGAACCCCACTCCAGCCATTTTTCTTGGTGGAATTCCGGGCTTACTTTTGAATTCTTATCAAAAATACATTAGAGATTTCTCTGCACAACAATAAATAGGTAGAAAACCGATATTTTATTTCTTCAACGAAGCAGACCTTTGGCATCTTCGTAATTCATTTTGGTATGAATACTTCCTTGAACAATTCCTTTACTAGCCCTTACATGGGAATTTGGATATCTTGAAGTAATCTTCTCAATTAAGCCTTTGTTGTCAGACACATTTCCAGCTAGGATAGTTTCCTCATTAACAAATACATAAACAAGACATTGAACACTACTCTTAAGGGCTTCACCACAAAGTAAGCCTATAAATCTAACCAAATCTTTTCTAGTACAGGAGTCTGTTGGCTGATAATAATAAACCACCGTTTTGTCATCTAAATTTGAGGTATTCTTGGCCTTTGCTATCAGTTCGAGAATTTCCTTTTTGTTTTTGGCATATTGAGCTCTGCTAAGCTCTTCTCCCTTCTTCTTATTCTTTTGGTTCAACACTTCAACTTTCTGTCTGTAGAATAATGGAATTGTCTTATCAACATTAACAACTTCCCCTATGCTAAGCTTGCTCAAGTAGATCTCTGCCTCCATATCAAGCTCCTGTGCCTTTTTCCCAGTTACTGCAACTATTCTTCGAGTGTTGGCAGATACACCTGTTTCACTAATGATCCTGAATTTTCCTATGTCGGAAACATTAGTTACATGCGTTCCCCCACACATTTCTTCAATAGTTAGTCCATTGGCCTTCATGGTTATAACCCTCACCTTTTCTGGATACTCTTCATTTCTCATCCGAACAATATTAGGACTTTCCATTGCCTGCTCCCTGTCTAAAGTAATAGCTTCAACGTCTGTGTTGCTTTGGATAAACTCATTGACCTTTTTTTCAACCTCTTCTAATTCTTGATTTGTTAATTTTCTCCCCTCAAAATCAAATCTAAGCTTTTCTGGATCAACAAGGCTTCCCCGCTGCTCCGTTTGGATTATAGTACGTAGAAAGAAGTTTAGCAAATGTGTTCCAGTGTGGTTCTTCATTATTTTTTTTCTCAATTCTTGATCATACATCTGCAATGCCTGGTATGATGCACTTCCCTCCAATATTCCTTTATGCACTACAAACCCTTTGATTGCTTGTGTGTCCATAACGTTGAAAACACCTACGTCCTTCTCTCCATCATAAAATATTATTTTTCCAGTATCACCAACCTGGCCCCCACATTCTGCATAGAAACAGGTTTTGTCAAATACAAGCCCAAGTTCTCTTCCTTCAGGTATTTCATTGGGCTTAGTGATGATTTCCTTCCCTTCTATGCCAAAAAAAAACGTGGCATTAATGCTATTCTTTGTATACTTGAAGGAGTCATCTGTACGGGGGAATTTGGACTGAAGGCCTGCATCAATGTTTAGTTTCATTCCTTTGGACATCTTACTAATTTCAACTGCTTTTTGCTTGAAGCTCTCAAAATTGGTGTAGTCGATCTTAATATTTCTTTCCTTAGCCATAATCTCCGTTAGATCAACTGGAAATCCATATGTATCATACAGCAAAAACAAATCCTCTCCACTTATTTTCCCGTTGTTCTCTGCAAGCTTGTGGAATCTTTCAATTCCTTTCTTTAAGGTCTTCATAAACTGGAGTTCTTCCTTATTCACACAGTCCACAGACTTGAGTTCTATTCCTATTGCATGTGCAGCAATCCCAACAAGTTCTCCAAGAACCCCCTCCTTCAATCCTAGAACTTCATGAGCATATCTAACAGCCCTTCGAAGGATTCTTCTCAGCACATATCCCACTCCGTCATTACTGAAGTCAACTTTGTCGTAAGTGCAAACAGCTATGGTCCTGCAATGGTCGGCCACAACTCTGAAGGCGACGTCAATACTCTCTTCTGTGTCGTTGTATTTGAAGTTGCATCGATCCTCTATGGCTTTGATTATCACTGCAAAACTATCTATCAGATAATTAGATCGAACATCTATAAGTATACTCAAAAGCCTTTCAAGGCCTATCCCTGTATCTATACATTTTCTTTCAAGAGGAACAAGGCCAGAGATGGTTCGATTGTATTCTATAAATACAATGTTCCAGATTTCAATAACATTAGGATCGTCCTTGTTCACTAGCTCAGAAGCATCTCTGTTTCCAATTCGGTCGTAATGGATCTCCGTACAGGGTCCACAAGGCCCCGTATCCCCCATCTCCCAGAAATTGTCTTTGTAAGAAGCCGATAGAACTCTCTCTGAGGGAAGATATTTGAGCCATATATTTCCACTTTCTTTATCCAACTCTTCATAATACGTCACATATAGTTTGTCCTTGTTCAGTTTAAGTACATCGACCAAAAATTCCCAGGCAAATCCTATTGCTTCTTCCTTGAAGTAATCCCCAAACGACCAATTCCCCATCATTTCAAAGTATGTGTGATGATATGTATCCTTCCCCACGTCGTCTAGATCATTATGTTTTCCTCCTGCTCTAATACATCTTTGGACGCTACAGGCTCGACGCAAGTCATCCCTTTCTCCAAGCAAGTTCTTTTTGAACTGCACCATCCCACTGTTTGTAAAAAGTAGGCTGTCATCTTCAAAAGGAATCACAGAACTCGAGCTTACAATCTTGTGCGATTTGGAGGCAAAATAGTCTAGAAAAGATCGGCGTAGCTTTTCCGTTGTCCACATCATTAGGGTTCAAAAGTTTTCACAATGAATAGATATTTATTTTGTTTTTATAATCTAGGATCCACTACAGCCTTAAATAAAATATTCATACTTTCTAACACCATTACCTAATCCTTCCAGATAATTCGTTTCTTATTTCTTTAAGAAGTTGAATGAGGTTCTTCGGGCTCATTCCAGAATCCAAAAGCTTGTACATTTGATCAATTGTATCCTCTCCAAAGTGCAGCTTTAGCTCTTTAGCAAACTCCAATATGTCCTTGTATCCATCTTCCATGCCAGACCAGAGAACAACACCAGGGGGAGACAAATTTTTTGTTCATTTTTGCCGATGGTACGGCAGAATTACTTATTTATTCTGGCGACTAATCTCTGCCATCCTCTCTAGATGTTCACTAGTCGGGAGGCTTTTAGAGCCTTGAATCTCTCTTCCTCCAAAACTGTAGTCAAAGTCCTTTTCAATAATAAATCGTATATCTCCATTGTCCACAATATTCTTTCCCTTGTGCTTGCACAGAAGCGCAGATCGATGAATTATATCCGATAAAAACTTCTCTGTTAGGAGCTGAAGGTTCCTTATTACGTCCTTATCAATCTTTTTGTTACAAAGCTTCAAGAGCTTTTTTGGGCAAAGAAAGTGATGTTCGATGTTCATTTTGGGGATCAAAAACTCAACAAGACTATTTTCCCCTTTTTCTCAAATGGTAGAGATAATAGATAAAATACGGGAGATAAAATATGCAGATGAAATGGATTATATTGTTGAAGGATTGGTTAACAATGAAATAGAGGAATCCTTGAGGTTAATACTTGACTTGACAAATGATGAGAAGTTCAAAAGCTACATGAAAGAATCCAGGTATTTGGATGAAATAATCCAGGTAATATCTGAGAAGGGGGTATTAGAAACTACATCCGGTATGGTGCTTGAGATATTATCAAGGACTTTCAATCCATATTCTCTTGTTGATTTCAAGGGTTTATTTAAGGTCCTGGCGATGGCATTTAATAGGTGTGAAGTGGAAAATATATCGGCAGAGTCTTCTATCTGTGTCCAAAGGGAGGCAAACTTCATTACAGAAATACTAGAGAAAATTCCGATTAAGTGGTATTCTAAATTTTCTAATCACACAGAGCTCAGAAAAGTGGTTTTTTCCTTACAGATGTGTACAAGCAGAAAAGTGATAGAATGGAACAAGTTTCTGATTTCTCTTCTAATGAAGCATCCTGAATTAGGAATTATCGATGATTTTGCTTCCATTCTATTGAAGAAAGGTAGAAACTACGAAGTAATAGCAAATTATACAATGTTTAGGGAAAATGCTGAAAAGTTATTTCTTAGTGAGAACTTCAGACAGTGTTTAAGAAGAGTAGTTATAAAGGAGTTCATAAAAGACAAAGATTATAAAAGGCCCAGATACATGCTGAAAGGACTTACCCCGAAGTCTCTTGTCCTGCCAGTTCCCGAAACAAAAAAAAAAGAGAGCTTGGGAGGAATAGAAAAAGACTCAAAAAGCTTGAGTAGGAAAAGATTTTTGATAATAATACTTATCAATTTGCTTTTTAGAGATTTCCATTTAGACATTCCTCTAAGCTTGATTGAAAGAGCCTATTATAGTGTGGATGAAATAACCAGATGTTACATAGCCATACTTCTTCTTTCAATTGAATATTCGGAAAAGAACACTGTTCAAAGTATACATGTTGAAGATCTTAAGAAAGATGCGAGACATCTACTTTCCATCTCCAATACATGCTTATGCGAAGAAATCCTAAATAGATTAATCAAAATATCAAGTTAGCCCCAAGAAAACATTGTGATTCATCTCGATTATCGATTGAGTTTCTTAGGCAGAATTTATTTTGTTGTATTTTAAACCCCAGCCATGGCAGACAAATCTCTAATTCAGGATGATAAAGAAGTTGCAAGAGAGTTATTTGCAATGATTAAACAAGACACTACTGCAATAGAAACAGGCCTTGATGGAAATGTCAGCGGTGTGGTAACCGATAGAGGAAAGCTTTTGGTTGCAGAACATTTCTCCGATATGGGCTTGTCAGACGAACTTCTAAAGGCCATTTACAACAGGGGTTTTGAAAAGCCGAGCTTAATTCAAAAGTCTGCAGTTCCCCACATCCTTAAAGGACACAACATTGTAGTCCAAAGCAAAAGTGGAACTGGGAAAACAATAGCTTTTACCTGTGGGATCCTTGGAAATGTAAATGCTGGGGAAGGGACCCAGGCATTAGTGGTTACACCCACTAGAGAACTAAGTACTCAGGTCACCGAGGTTATTTCAGGCTTTGCAGAATCTCTTGGAATGAAGGTTTTTTCGGCATTAAAAAATAAGACTACAGACATTGTTAGGGAGGAAGTTGTGGTCGGAAGCCCGGGAACGATTCTAAAGCTCATTGACCTTGGGAAGCTTAATCACAAGGAAATTAAGATGGTGGTTCTTGACGAGGCAGATATCCTCCTTGATAAAGACATGATGGGAACACAGACATTTAGAATACTCAAGCTTGTTTCTGGTGCACAAATTATTTTCTTCTCTGCAACATACTCTGACCAAGTGAAACAGACAATCGAGTTCTACACACCAGATGCCGTCAAGATGTATGAAGAGAGAAATGGAAAACCCGAAGAGATTAAGTTATTTTACATAGAGGCAGAAGGAGATAACAAAAGAAAAGCATTGAAATCACTTTATGAGTATCTTTCAATCAGCCAGATGATTATATTTGTAAGTACAAAGGCAACGGTCAATTACTTAAGAAAAAGACTGGAAGATGATTTACATTCAGTATCATGTCTTCATGGAGATCTGGAGATTGAGGAGAGAGAAAAAGCAGTGGAGGAGTTTAGAACTTCAAAAACCAAAATTCTCCTTACAACAGATGTCTTTTCAAGGGGGATGGACATTCCTCAAGTCAATCTAATTGTGAACTATGATCTTCCAATATACAAAGGTGTTGCATCTACACAAACGTACATTCACAGGATAGGAAGATCTGGAAGATTTGGAAGGACTGGGTTTGTGGTGGATTTTGTTCGGGATGAAGAGCTGGAGGCATATCTGAAATTCCAAAAGGAATTGAAATTTGCATCAAAGAAATTTACAATCAAGGCGCTTGAGGAGGTTGCAGAAGAGATCGACTAGTAAATAAATATCTTGAGACTTGGAAGTATGAAAGAGTCGGCTTTCTGCTTGGCACAATATATGTATTTATTTCAAATAAAACTTTTGATATGTAGGCATGTTTAAAAATTAATTTTCAAAGTCCTTAGAATGGAAGGTCTAGAAGATGATTTCATACCGGATTTTACACATTTGTCTGTTGCAGGGGAAGTGGCCGATAGAAATAGCTTGGTTAGACAGGAGGGGGATGTCGTGTACATTTCAGTGGGTAATCGACTCAACGGATGGAATTTAAGATTTTCGGAAATTGAGAAGAGTATACCCACTCTTAAGAAAAGAATAACCCATTTCGACTTTTCCGATGGGGTATTGGTGATAGGCTATGAAAACGGAGCTATCCAAGTGCATTCAAGCGAAATAATATCGTTCCGCCCACACTCTAGAAGAGTCACAAAAGTCTCAAAGATAGGAGACTATATTTTGTCTTCTTCGGCAGACGGCAGCATCATTTTATACGACTTAATTGGAGAGGAAATTCGAATATCGTATGAAGGAAATGACATATGTGTCGAAAAGTTTTTTTCTGATTCTTCGGTAGTTATTGGAATTTGTTCTGATAATGCATTGAGAATCTGGAATCTCGAAGAGAAGCATGTAAAAAGCGTCCACATCTTTGGAAAGGCCATAAAAGACGTGTTTGCCGTCAATGAAGAGGCCTTAATATTTTTCAAGGATGGAGAATGTATTTTCTATAATTTAGTAGAGAAGACATCTCGTCCCTTCAACAAATTTAAGAAACTAAGGAATATCAAAGTGAGAGGGAATAAGATGTTCCTTCAGAACAAAAATAAGTTACACATATATGAAATAGATAGCAAAGATAAGATTGTACTGAGAGATCTTGAAGCTGAAAAAATAAGCGATAGATATACTGATTTTGATGTGATGCCAGATGGAGGGCTTTTGTTTGCTACTATTGACAACAGTTGGGAGTGCTTAAAGGATGGAAAGATATACCCATTTGGATTTCACAGAAGTGAGATTCTGGGCCTTGAGACCTGCGAGGACAAGATTGTCACAATGTCGAAGGAAAGCATAATCTTCTGGGTGATAGACAAAAAAGAAATGAAAAGAGTTGGAAACATACAGATAAAAAACGGAAAATGCATGTGCATATGGAATGGCCATGTGGTAATTGGCGGGAGTGAAGGACTTTCTTGCTACTCAGGCTTAAATTATCTCCTAGTTAAAGAAGAAAATATAGGGCCTATATCATCTGTTTTTGCCACCAGACAAGAACTACTTGTAGGGAAAGATAACAGCCTTCTGTTCTATGACAATAGATGGGTTGTTTCAAGAACATTAGAAGTAGAAGACCCCATATCGTCGATAGAAGCTTCTCAAGACGGATCTCTACTTTGCATAGGTCTCTTAAATAGCAAGGTACACATATATGGTATGAACGAATTGAATCTAAGAATTACCCTTTATGGACATGCTCTTCCAGTAAGGTCTATGAAGCTATCTCCCGACAATTCGGAAATCCTCACATGCGGTTCAGACAAGACCGTTAAGATGTGGGGAACACAGTTTGGAGAATGTAGGAAAAGCTTCATTGGCGATTCAAGAAGTATAGAATATTGGAACAAAGATCTGTTTATGTTTACATCAGGTGTTATTCAGTACTTTAAGAGATATGAAAAACTTAAGGAGTTCAAGAACCGCGAATCAAACTTGGTCAAAATAAGAAAGGACATGATGATTTCCTGTGGAAAGTTTAATGTTGATCTTTATACCATGAACAAATATGAATTTCAAAAAGAAGATGAGGAGGAAAGCAATGAGGAAGAAGTTATGAGGGTAGCCAAGATAATGAATTATAAGATGTATGACCGTTTTCTAACCGAATTGGAAGAGTTATCAAAGGATTTCTCCAGTGACAACATTAAGACGTTTTTTAATGTTTTAATGGATATAGACTTTTGTGAACTGGACAAGTTTTTATGTCTAATGAACTCTTCCGACATTATCCAGGTCATGAATGTATTGCATGAATGTTGTAATTGGAATGCGATACTGGTTGCAAGGGTATTCATTTCTTTGGTTAGACTCCACAAAGATATATGTATTTCCCATCCAAAGTTCAAGGTTTTTCTTCAGACGATTACCGATAAAACAAAAGAGGTTAGAACTCAAGTTAGCAGAAACCAGGGACTTCTTCTCACGAGGAAAAGTATAAACAAAGAACAAAGCTTTAGCGTGGAATAAATTGCTTTCAAACCTATCTAGATACAATAACTATTCAGAAAAAAGGTCCTAACAGAAAGAATTTAGATCTGAGGGACAAGTATTTCAAAGTATCTTCATCAGGCTTGGCTCAGTTTGATAGCATCCTACGTTTTCATTAAAAGTTTTAAAAATTGGCTCCTTAAATGATTATTTGAATTCACATGATTTGTTGAACTAGTAGAAAGATAGAAGTATATCTTGAGAAGGATCGGATTTACATTATAGAAAGAAACAAACGCTCAGGAATTTCTAATAGAAATACTGGAAGAAGTTCTGGCATAGTGGAACTTTAGATTATAAGATAGTAGAATTTGGAGAAGAGACTATAGATAATAAATAATGTATTCCAAATGTAAGT